TATTATCCGCTATTATTTCATTGACCAATTCATGAGTAGCTTTTTGGAGAAGGAATAGTTGCCTATTATCATCTAATCGAGCCACCATCTCCATTCTCTGGGCCACATCGCTCCAGTAGCGATTTCTCTCTCACCGTGCTGGTGTCGTTGTAATTCTTCGAATCCGATAGTCCAGATGTCCTAACATTCTTCCTTTGTCAGCCTTTTCAGATGGTTGAGCAGTTGTTTCCGATACTCAACCTACTAGCATATCCTAGTATTGAAGTGGCTGAGTGGTTTTGGAGACCTGCTCCAATTATCACTGGAATTACTTTGACCTTTTCTTTCTTCATTTTCTCTAGATCCTCTTTTTTAACCCATAGTATTTTTTGACTTTACATTAAATTTTACTTTACGTTACATTAACTTATCATATTCCTTCTTCCTGACGTTACTTGGTATTGTTATTATTGTTATTTTTATGGTCATGGTCAACCACAGCAAGCTGTGAGAAAAAGTTTTTAATAATTTAATAATAATAATAATTTTTAATAATTTTAATAATTCATTCTCTCTTATTTTTCAATTATCTACTTTAAAATTAATCAATATCAATATAATAATCATCATAAAAAAATATCTTTAGCAATATTAAATAACTCTAAGCCCTTTTAAATAAGCTTTTTTTATATTTAGAATCCATATACTTTTTATCAATGAAGGAAAAAAGAAGAGAAATAACGAACCTGTGATACATCAATGAAATAAACCTCGCCGTCCTGATAAAGGATATTAAATTCACTGAGATCACCGTGCACAAGACAACAGTCATTATGCATGCGAATCATCATCTGTAATAATGTTAAAATCATTTTAAATATTCAGTAAAATCATCTCTACTAATATAACTGTGTCAAATTTTATACCAAATCTATAAGAATTTGTAATGATTTATACAGTTTTGAATGCAAATAAAAGACAAACATTTCTGGTTTGTTGAAATGCATCCATTTTTTCATCTTGACTCTCCCAAACAACATTTTTTAATTTCTGAGCAGCTTTTCCATGCATCCCAATGAATGTCATAACCAATACATGTTTTTTTAATACCAATGGTTTAGGGCATTTTAAACCAATTCGAACCATTCTAAAGGTAAACGAACTACAATAATATGATAACTAAGAAATTAACAAAATTAATAAAAACTTTACTTTCTTCATCCCCTAATCATTTTATTCCTAATTCAGCTTCGAGAAGCAGAATTCACTCGAAAAGATAATAAAATATAAAGTCTGTACAGCATCTTTACCTATTTTCAAAAAAGATTAAATAATATAAACCATGATATTATTTGAAAGGTAGTTTGAAATCTAGATCATTTATCATCCGAATATGAATATGTACCAGCAATATATTCAGTGTGACTTGAATTACTTTGTAATTCCATTTTATTTTTCTTTATACTGTTAGATCCTTTTGTATTATATATCATTCACTAATTTCTTTTCATTGATCTTATTCTGTTTTTATTAACACAAGTATATGGCGCTTGTCGCCCTGCTTGGTTGTTTCAAATAAATAAATAAAATAAAAAATAAAGAACTGCAAATTTATGATCCATATTCATAGAAATATATAAAAATTCTTGAAAAAAATAAACAAACTGAAAGAACTGAAAGAATAACAGTTTACCTATTTAAATTCATGAATTCTTTTTCAGCCCAAATACGCAGAACTCTTCTTGGATTTTTAAATCGATAATCGTTCTGGACATATTCAGATCGGTTTTTGAATTCGGTTAATGTCATTTTATAAACTTTTATTGCAAAGTGCTCTTCGGAAAGGGTATTAGGCCGAGCAATACTATGTAATACTACCGATTCCTTAAAACTATATTAAAAAGTAAAATATGAATAAAAATGAAAATTATAATAAGAGAAACGTAAATTAACAAAATGAAACAGAAATAAATTTGCCTTTCCTGTAGCTATTACGCCGAGAACTTCATCAAAAAGGCTGTCGGAATTTATCCACTTATAAAGAATTATTCTTGTTTCTTTATCCATACCTTGATCACTAATTGCTTTTTCATCTTTATCCTAAAAAAAAAGATTGCATTTTTTAAAATCAATTCAATAAAACATTTCGTATAAAAATGATGCTAACGTTTAACAGAAATATTTAACAAAGAATAAGGAATTTGAAAGAAAGAAATAAAATGTAAAAAAGATGTTGTAGAAATCATATTAATTTGAATTATGCTTATTGTTATTATGCTTATTGTTTTCTTTGAATTTCAATACCGCTAGAGGTAAGCAGTTTGAGAAAGATGCAAAAAATTTTTGAAAGGAATTGTAATTAAAAAATTTTGTCTATGAAGGTTTAAATAATAGAAATAGCAGGGAATTTTAAAGAATTTCAAGGAATTTTAAATAGCAAAGAAAATTGCTAAATTAACCTTCAATTCAATTAAGGAATTCAATAAATGGAACCTTTAAACGAATTATACGTTTCTGATCAACTTTAGAACATTGTCTTAATGAGTTATAAACACGATTATTCAATCGCTCATCTTTCAAATCACCAGTTGGAAAATCAGTTGAAAGCTATAAAAAGAATGTTGTGGTCATATACTATACTATGCGATTATGATATCGTTATACAAATTTTAACTTTTCCAAGTATTCCAAGTCTTTATAAAATTCCTACTGGGATGATCTAGAAAATATGAATTTTTATCAGCCAAATATGATTGCGCGAGCACTTTTATTTTCTAGAAAATCTTTTATTTATTTTTAGAAAACCTATTATTTACATGCAAAATTATTTTTTTATGGTTAGGTGATTTTTTGTAAATAACCTGCTGTTTACAAATTATTAACAAATTTTTCATTTAGTACTTCTTATTAACGTTAACCCTCACCATCAAAGAGATTAAAGAGACTGCTTTTCTAGGCTGCACCATTCGTATTCTGAAAAACTGGTGGTACGAATTTCGTTTTGCAGCAAATCTAACTTACTTCCATTTAAAACTAAAGGCTTATGGCATGGTTGCCTATCTCCGATAATATCACGTTAGTCATATCTTTTCATCAGACAATTAACAAAATAAGGATTAAGGATTAAGATTGATTAAGGATCAAAAAAGAACAAATCGCAAAAAATTAAAAATAAAATAAAACAAAAAATAATGATCAAATCGGATTTTTCAAAAATATTTGAAAAAGAATAGAAGCGAAAATTCCTATGAATATGTTACCTAGTTTTATATTTGATAAAGCATCGGATAAAATTTAAGAAATAAAGCAAACACAAAAGTTAACCTCCATTATCTTTTCTGTATTTCTTCGTTCTGATAAGTTCTTATCATGTTTCGTGATTGTATTACTACTGTTACCTCTAATGAAGCCACAAGAAGGTATCTCTGATTTCACAGCTAAAAGCATTGTAAAATCTGTGTATATTTCAATAATTAGAATAAAATAAATCGCACATTTTTGTATAAAATAATTCCGACCGTTGAATTAAATAATCGCTGAAATAAGCTATCCTTATAAACCAATATTAATGAATTATAACCAATATGATAAGAACCAAGTGGGGAAAATATTTACAATAAAGAAGAGAGTCTGCGAATTCTCTAAAATTATCATCAACATCGCCATCATCATTATCACCATCATCAATATTATCATCATCACCATTATCACCATCGTCATCACAATTCTCTTCATTATAGCTAGAATGATACGGTTCCGAAAACAGTTCAACTATAAAATGAAAAAATGAAAAATAAATATCAAAAATAAATAAATCAAAAAATCGAGAATTGAACAGGAAAAGTATTCATGATGATAACGAAAACTCCTGAAAATTCTAATTCGTAAGCCCTGGTTCAGGTGGCTTTATTAACTAACAAGATGACTTTTTCCCAGAGATTATTTGTTTGAAGATAGAAAGGTGGAATGGATAAATAATTTAGATGATTATAGGAAAAAATTAAGCTGGCACCGCCAAATAAGCCTATCCAGGAGGTGCTAGCGACCCATCTTTTGGTAAAAAATTCTATCCAAAAATCATCGGAGCCGAACCAGAAACAGTAACCAGTAGCCATATAACATAAAAATTCACAACAATTTCATCAAGTTCTTCTTTTTAAGGATGAAGCCAGTTTATGCTGATCGATGCAAGTCGAAGTAATACCCACTCCATCGTTCAATTCTTTCGAAATGCCTGTCAAGAATTTATTGGGCTCTTTCAGCAAAATTATTAAACTGCATTATAAATTTTTGAAAAAATAATAAATAAATGATGAAAAAAGAACTTTTGCCGCGTGGACTTTCTGTTTCATTCATAGTCATAAAACTGTATTCACGATCGAAATGATCCTGAAGAGCTTGTGCAATAGCATGGTCATCTAAAGTAGCATTCAAAGGTAAACCATATTGTGCGAGAGATGGATCCAATGCAAAATCACTCTAAAGTTATATTTAAGTCAAAATTTTTCACAATGCATATTTAATATGCTATACTGTTAAATATTGTTATAATATTGTTAATAAGTATACAATCCGGGGATAATAAAGTCACTCTAGGGTCTAAGAATAGAATATGCTTTCGAGCTGGGATAAATGCTCGAAATCTACCAAAGGGAACGAGAACCAAGCTAAATGATCAGACTCTTTCTGAATACCATGTTGTCTGTTCGTCGGAAATTCGTCTTCCTCTCTTCGAATCTCGAATAATTTTTAAATTTTGCTACCGGCAGAGATATTAACTATATCACTGCGGTGTTTTTCGGATAACTCCAGGCGAAATGGTGTAGCAATTGCCACATCCGAAAAAGTTCGGTCCGCTGTGATTGAGTGGAAACAGGTAAACGAACGTATGGCCTATGTTTGTTTCAAAGGAAAGTTTTGCAATATTTCGATCATTAGCGCATGTGCTCCATCAATGCATGAAGTTTAAGAGCAAATCACCGTGATAACATAAGTTCTATGAGGAACTTCAACTTCTAACAACATCTCTATCGAAAGATGACACGGTCATAACTGGGGCAGAATGGAATAAACGCGTAGTCACAATCCACCATGATGAATTCGGTAACTGTAACTGGCATCGGTACGCCAATGTATAACCCTTTTTCATTTTGCTGACCAGTTTGGTCTTTTTGTTATTAAATACATATATGCTTCCAGTAGTGGAAAAGGCATCTAATCATGTGGAACTCCGACCAGTCTGAATATTTTAGACGGTCGCCACTGGAAGAGTTCTGCATTGAAAAGTGTGGTTTCCATCGAGGCTGGTAACCCTCAGAGACCAGACCGTGTTATGGTTCGAACCAAGACTGGCATATAACTCGCAATGTTTACAACTTTCAAATCTTTCGACTATTATTCGAATTCGGCCGATCATTTCAAACGAATTATTGAAGCATCTAAGTGAAATGAGCGTCATCTCTGGAATGGTAGATAAATACTGGTCCCAATTAAAGTCATGTCTCCGAAACCACTCAGCCACTTCAATACTAGGATATGCTAGTAGGTTGAGTATCGGAAACAACTGCTCAACCATCTGAAAAGGCTGACAAAGGAAGAATGTTAGGACATCTGGACTATCGGATTCGAAGAATTACAACGACACCAGCACGGTGAGAGAGAAATCGCTACTGGAGCGATGTGGCCCAGAGAATGGAGATGGTGGCTCGATTAGATGATAATAGGCAACTATTCCTTCTCCAAAAAGCTACTCATGAATTGGTCAATGAAATAATAGCGGATAATACTGGTGTGCCTGTTATAAGGATCGCCTTATAACGTGGAAGAAATTTTTTGAAGCCAAGTTTAACCATGATATGCCATCTATTATCTCGGACATAGCTGAATCTCTCGTCGAGCCATATGCTTGTAACTGCGAACCGCCTACACAACAGGAAATAATTTTTATTATCCAGAAGCTTAGAATGGCTCAGTGGGTTGTTACTCAATTTGGAGTGCCGAGAGTGGAGTGTTGAGGTTCTATGCCCAGAAAGAATAAACCTGTCCAAAAATCCGGGTGATGCTGGCAACTCACCTGTACTTCTATCGGCAAGGGATTGCCTGGCATATTGCTCAATTGCGACAAGTCAGTGAAGCGAGTTTAACCAGTAATGGTGAGGACTCTCCAAAGAAAAAATCCAGAACCTTAAGGTCAATAAAACTGTCGAAAAAGATAGCGTTCAGGCCGAATTGTTCAAATGTTCATCGTCCTTCATACCACACCTTCAACAAATATCTCTAGTATGGAAAAAAGAAATAATACTAGATGACTAGAGCAGATCAATTCTACTCCCAATTCCTAAGAAAGGTGACTGTAGCAATTATCGAGGAATCAGCCTACTAGATTTCTCCGAAAAAATTTTTGCTTTCTATTAGATAGATTTATGGCAATACGAGAATACACTATAAACAAGCTACATTCACACCAGGATGTGATTTTGCTGACCAGATATTCACGCTAAGAAGGGTGCTGGAATACAACTTCAAATATCAGCAACCCACCGTCAATTGTTACATCGATTTTGCATCTACCTTCGATCTCATTGATAGATCGGCGGTTTGAAGGATGGTGTTGGAATATGACGGCGTTCCAGTTGTAATCATTTGACTCATAAAAGCATTTTTTCAGCGTTCATCAGCACAGGGTTATGTATATGAGGAACTGATAGACTTGTTTGAAATAAAAACTGGTGTCCATCAAGGCTACATCCTTTACCCTACAATATTCAGTTATGCAGTAGACTGGATAGTGGGCACTACTTATCAGCATTTTAGAAGTATGCAAATCAATCCAGTGCAATCCAGTGTATGTATCACAAACGTTGAATAGAGTGAAGATGTAAGCCCTTTTTGCTGAAAGTTGCGATGAAATGCAAATAATGCCAAATAATGTGTCGACAAATGCAGCGAGAATCGGATTTAGGATCAATGTAAATACGAAAACATGTAATAAAGCGAAAGACTTTTCGTTTTATATACAAGAAAGCTGATAAAATACTATTTTTTTCAATTCATTGTCAGTTGAGGAAATGCCAGACTTTAAATATCTCAGATCCACTCTAATTTCAAACGGCCAAGTGAAGGATGAAATTACTTTCTTCCAGTTGATGAAATCTTCATGGAGTCGTCGCGAAATCACTGTAAAAATGAATCTGCATCTATCCAGCTGCAATTCGCTCGATCTTGCTATATGGCTGCGAGATATGATGAGAGTGGAGGATATTATGGAGTTCTTTCTTTCATCACACATATCTAGGATGCATTTTACGGGTCCACCGAGCAGATAAAATTTCACGTGATTGCATCCATCAAATACCGTTTGCACTTGACAGTGCCAGCACAAAGAATTGCCTTTGCTAGTAAAGACACGTTCTTCGTTGCCCTATACAGGAGTTGACATATATTTCGTTACTTGATAAACCCTGTGATGGATGGCATTAAAATCCAGTTTGAAAAGATTTTGAATATAGATGAACCAGCGATATATGGACTGTCGAAAAAGTAATGGCTTTTGTTATTATCAGCGATTGCGCAGATCGAACAACTTGGAGATGTTTATTCATGTAATCAGCGGAACCTGCTTAACCAGTAATAGAAAAAGCTGTTAGAAGGAGGAGATATTAGTTGATATCGAGTATTGAATAGTGGTTTAAATGGTTGTATTTTCTGTAATAAAGGTTATTTATATAAATAGGATTAGAGTTTTTTAAATGATAGATATAATTAGAATATTAGATTGAGATAGGAATTTTCTAAATAGGAGTCAGTTAAACATAAATATTCAAATTTAAACATTTTGGTTAATAGGAATAATTTCTCATTAAAAATTAATTCCGTAACCTGGCTAGATGGTTCTAACCCATCTGCACTTCTATATTTTATTGGTCTTATGGCTAAAAAATATTCATTATTCAAATATTCATTCAACTGGTTAAAAAACGTGGCCTGACCAAAAAGAGTATTTGCTGCTAAAAGGAAGTTTTAGTTGATCAGTAAGTAAAAAAGTAATAGTAAGAATAGATAAAGGAATATTACTGCTCAAATTCTTTGTAATTCTTGTTGTAAATTTGTAATTCTTTTGAACATAATTAAATTTTTTTTCTGATGATCCCTAAATAAATTGATTCATTTGTTTCTTATCGTTAAACAAATTTTATTATCATATTTAGGCAATGGATAAAACTCATCCTCGCGCTCTATTTTTTTTGTTACGCGATATCGAGAATGTTTTGGATTATTTTGGCCGTATTGGTGCTGAAAATTTACCTACTAGTACAGAATTTTTCAATGAAATTACAGGCATGGATATGGATCCTGCAAAAAATCTTTTAGTTCAGGTTGGAATCGATTTTAGTATGCATAGTATGTATTTTAAAATTGTAAGCAGTTTCTGTTAATTTTCTTAATTATGAAGAAATGCATGATGATTATTGTGATTACAGGTAGAGCATTTCGAGGGCGAAAATCGTTGTATTCAACTGCGCTTAGATAAAATAAAGCCAGCTGATATGGAGATAAGGCTATATAGTGCTGAAATTGCCGCTGATCCAAATAAAGAAGACTTTGCGAAGCCGTATAATTAACAGGTTGATTTAGATCTTTTACAGAAACACTTCGTTGCAACTTTAAATTATGTTCGAAATCAATTTTTCAGATTTATTACTTACTGTCTTTGGTATCTCCGACTTTTATTTCTTCTGTATCAATTTCAATTATCAATTTCAAGTTTTTTATATGTTTATATGTCGTTTATATGTATATGTTTTATTATATTCGCTTAGAATATGGTGGAGTAGAATTTTGTTTTCGAATGCATATTTTAAGACGAGAAAAATTTTAGAAAAATTTTAAAAGTTTGCTTGAATTTTTTCTTTTTGAGTATTCATATTTCTCATTCCATACTATTATATATTTGAATTTCAAGGCTTTACGCTTAATTTTACATTTGCGGAATTCATACTTCTTGCACTTTATATAGTATAAAAAACAATAACAATAAAAAACAAAGGTAATAGTTATATATAGCATAAAATGTACGTTTAAGCTACCATTTTTATTCTTATCTAGCATCCAAGATTATTGTCAGATGCATATATGGTATTTAATTCTAGCATACATACGTCAAATTGGAAAAAACATCACAATTTGGATTTGAATGTTCGATATTTACCTTTAGAATCGCAGAAGTAATAAAATTTAGAAAATTTGTTTGCTGGTGTCGATTTTAACAAATTCGTCAATATTCTTTTTAAAAAATGAAATGGTATTTCCTCGTGGATTTCAGAAAAATCATAAGTTGCCAAGTTTCCTGGTTAGAGATTTTTTTGTATTCGTCATATTTCTTTTTAACCAGTAATATGGTTTTGGCATAATTATTGCATGTTTTGCTTACTTTCACTGTTTAATGTTTTATGTATATATATATTTTATATATTTTATGTTTTTATATATATATATTCTTCTAACAGCTCTCTCTTACCATTGCTGGTTAGGCTGGCTCCAACCAAGGTGCTTCCAAGCGGCACGGTCTGATGCCATCGTCTATAGTAATAGAAGCCATTCCTTTTTCCACTGAAATCTTCTGTCCGTATAATGTATATTTCATTAAATGGTGAACGCTTTATCATGAGACCAATATTTATGAGTGTTAGCTTAATAATTGTGCCGTAAATATGCTTTTTTGCCATTTTTTCTTTTATTTTTTCTGTTTTTCTATATTCTTTATATTTTTTATTGTATACTTTTTCTATATTTATATTTTTCCCGGTTTATTTTAGCTTCTCGGCTTCATTTTTATAAATTTTCAGATACTGAAGATACTGAACAGATTAATCCAATTTCATTTTTTCCTAATCTTCTGCGAAATAAAACGTATTGAGCATATTAAGTCATTTTGCTTTTAAATTATTTAAATTGTTTATTTAAACTTAAACTTAAACTTAAGTTGGTGCATTTAATATAATATATAATATTTAATATAATTAAATTAATATTAATATATTACAATTAAAATTTTTTCACTAGTTTCATTCATTAATAATCAAAATCTTTTCATTAATTAATTATAATTATAATCGTTGCATACGCGATTCTTCGCAGCCTATCACAAGAAGAATTGAAAATCTTATTGAATCTCAAGTCTTGCGAATAGACTGAATCAAAAGTATAAAGGATAGGTTTCGAACCTATAGCGATAAGCTCAGACGATGTAAGAAAAAAGTTTTAAGTACAGAACTGAGAAGCTTGGAAAAACCTTAGCCTTATTCTTTTAGCCATTTAGTTTACTATTAATAGAAGTGCGAGATGAATTGAAGAATATATTTGAAAAAAAAATGATGAAATGATGAATTCTTCGATTGCTAAATATATTTTTATATTTCTGTTTTATGACTCAGTAGACAGTAAAGATATAAAGCCAATGCTTATATTATCAAAAGAAAAGGGGTTGAATTTAAAAAGCTTTGGTTCTTTGGTTGTAAAAAGGGTAGAAAGAAGAGGAGCCGCTGTGAGGATGATGTATTCAGTCTTCTAACAAATCTTACCATTATGCTTAGGATAGATCTGATGGCTATAAAGATAAAAGTCCTGAGCATCTATACTTGCTGGCACGCCTGAGATTATGAGAAGCCACTCATTTTTCCATCTTTTAAGCTCATATATCTCTGGGTCGTTCAAAACCTTTTTGGATAATCCAGATCTTCTTTATCCAGGCTCTGATTGGTCCGTTTAACACCATCCATCATAATGTTTAGTCAAGTATAGAATGTGTCAATTGCGATATAGAATGTGTCAATTGCGATAGGTGGCAAAGTAAGGTCTAATCAACATAGATGACAGTGAAGGGCATTCAGGAGAATATTCAAGAGATGGAAGCATTCATGTGATTTTACCCCACTCGATAAACACGTAAATTGCATGAACATGCAGTTTTTCCTTATTTTTTACTTTTTTAATTAACTCAAATTTTTGGTGTGATATTGGTGTGATATCCTGAATATTTTTGATTTTTTTAAAATCATCTGATTTTTTGATTAAAATATTTTGATAAAATTTATTTGCTTTGATAATGAGCAGGGCATTATACTATGAATCCGAATTTATTATTGCGATTAAAAAAAAAATGTAAAATTACGATGTATTATTTAAAAAAAGAAAAAAAACTATTTGGTTGGCGATGTCCGTACAAAAAATGAAGGAAAGAATAGTGGAGCAGAAGAATAAGAAATTGAAAACTGTAGATTAATATTGTAGATACTTTCTTTTTCTAACCACTGCTGGTTAGGCTGCTTTCACTGGCTGCAAGGATAAAGATAAGTCTGCGTGCTGCTCGGTCCGACGCCATCGCTGATAGTACTAGAAACCATTCCTTTTTCCCTCATCTAAATCCATATATCCCTGGTCCCCCTATATTCAAAATGTTCAAGATCTCTCCTGACTGTATCATTCCAGGTGTTGATTGGACTTCCTCGCTTTTGGTGCCAACCTTCACAAGGTTCGGCAAGTAGCGAAATGCGTCAATTCCTGTAGTGGACGACGGGAAACATGCCCTAACCAGCGAAGGCAATGCATTATGTTGGTGTTATTAACACAGGTGATTTTGGAAGGTAGATACGATCATGTGAGAATTTATCCGCTCGGCGAACATGTACCTTATGAGTGGTCATATGCAGACAATTTCTTAATATTTTCAATCCTCATTGGCCGTGTTTCGCAGCCATATGGCAATATTAAACGAATCGCGGCTATATGGATTTTCGTCTTTATACAGATTTCGCAACGGTTCCACAAAGGTTCAACCGGAAAAATGCAATTCTGGCAGTGATTGTCTGGGTTATAATTTCATCCTTTACTTGGCCATGTAGAATTAGAGTAGATGCAAGATATTTAAAGTTGAGTACTTCTTCAACAGGCAGTGAATTGATAAAAATAGGTATTTTATCAGCGTCTTTCATTTTGAAAACACTTTCGTTTAATTCACATTGATTTTGAGTCCAATTCTCGCTACAATTTATTGACACATTGTTTAACATTATTTCTATTTCCTTAATGCAAATAAAATATGAGCCGAATGATCTTCTCTGAGACACCGTCACATGCTATCACTTTCCGGAGCACTGCTTTATCAATCGAATCGAAAGCTGCTGCAAAATCGATAAAACAAGTGAAGGTGGATTGCTGTTATTTGAAGCGATGTTCCCTTTTCAGTCCCGGGTCAAAATATTGATAATTAAATTATCGAAACAATTTCAGTGCTATTTATGAGATACACCAATAGCCGTGATAGGTAAAGGAGGCTAATCATTTCTGGTAAAACTTACTTTGCTGGTCACTTATCGAATTAGGCAAATTTTGCAAGGGAATCATTTGGCCGTGGAAGTACAGGTGAATCGCACCCAGGTACCCAGATTTTCAAGAACAGGCTAATTTCTGCCGATAATAGGACCTCAGTACTCGATGTGAGAACAATACGCTTTTATAATAGTAGCAAGAATCCTAAGATAATCTTAATAAAATCCGAGCTATTATATTCAAAACGTTTTGCAAATGATTTTTTCCAGTATCAAGCAATATCACTAAAAATTTATTTTCGTTTAATCTATTTTCAGAAACTTGATGCTAGGCACATCGAAATTATTCAAAAAATCCTTCAATCCTTCAATTCAATTCGAAAATTGTTTCGACTATCAAATTTTTTATGAGTAATCGATTAATACATGTGATTAATATTTGTTTTTGCTTCCCTGCTACTCAACAGACTTATGGAAATACGCGACAGCAAGATGCGTCCTAATCAAGCTGTTTTCAGAACAGGGCGCGGTTGCGCTGACCAGATATTCACGTTAAGAAGGGTGGAACATCGCTTTAGTTATTTGCAACCCACTGTCACATGATTCTTCGACTGCTTTTGATTCAATTGATAAAAAAGAGGCTTTAGAGGATAATAGAATGCAACAGTGTTCCAGAGAAGATCATTCGACTCATAAAGGCATTTTATGAAAGGTACGTCGGTGTAGGTCTGTGTACATGGAGAACTGACAGACTCCTTCGAGATAAGAACTGGTGTCCATTAAGGATGCGTCCTTTCCCTTACAATATTCAACTATGCGATAGACTGGATAATGGACACCGCTTGTCGACACTCAAGAGGTGTCCGAATTAGTCCAGAGCATCGTATCATAGATCTTGAATACGCTGATGATGTATTCTTCTTCGCTGACAATTATGACGAAATACAAGTAATACTAAAAAACGTGTCAGAAACTGCAGCAAGAAGAGGACTCACAGTCAATGTATGCAAACCGAAACTCTTTTCGTCTTATGTACAAGAGGCTGATAAAATGCCACTTTTTGTAAATTGCCTAGAAAGTGCCCGATTTTAAATACCTTGGGTCTACTCTAATAGCAAATGGCAAGGCAAAAGACGATATTATAGCCCGGAACATGGCAGCTAAAAATGCATTCTTCCGATTGACGAAACCTTTATGGACCCGTCGTGAAATTAACACTAAAAGAAAAGCCCGCATTTATATAGCTGTGATCCGTTCGATCTTGCTATGTGGTTCTGAGATATGGCCAATGAGAGTGGAGGATATTAAGAAGCTATCTACTTTTGCCCATTCTTGTCTGTATATTTCACGGGATAAAATATCACATGATCGCATCCACCTTCGTTCAAACACCACCTGTATTAATAATAATGTTATCACAGTGCGCCGCCTTCGCTGGTTAGGGTACATTATCAGCATTAGCCAAGTTTTTATAAGATAAAATGACTCTTTTCAGAACGAGATTAACATTAGTTCTGCAACATGATTATACTAACTTAGCCATTCTGCTTCCCAAAAGATACCACACGAAGTAGTTATAATTTTCCACTTTCAAAAAGGCGGAAACTAATATATTTATATTAATGTGGTACTAAAAATCTAATAGTGCTTCACAAAAATGGTTTTCAGTCGCATCATTAATTATTGGAATAAGCTGACGTGACTCCGTCGTCCACCACAGGAGTTGATGCATATTTCGTTACTTGCTAAACCGTGTGATGGATGGAGCCAAAAGCGAGGTGGGCCAATCAAGACCTGGGCTGATACGGTGAGAAAAGATTTTGAACATATAGGTGGACCAGCAATATATGGACTTAGACGATGGAAAAAGGAATAATTTCCATTACTGTCAACGATATCATCAGACCGCGCCGCTTGAAAGCGTCTTTCTCTTGTAGCCGGCCTAACCAGTAATGGTGAGAGCTGTTAGAAGAAGAGGAAGATTAATACTTTTATAAATCTAGCCAAAAAAAAATGTAATTCTGGCCAAAAAATTTCGATTTTCTTCTTCACGATTACAATGATATATCTCATAATATTAATTTATAAATGAAAGTATTAATCTAATCGAAAATAAATATAAATTATGAATAATTTTAAATTTTAATTGCACTTTAAAATTCCAAATATTAAAGTATGAAAGAAGAGAAAGAGGAAAAAGGAAAAAAAGAATATTTTTGGTATTTTTTCCATTAATTTGTAAATATTTATAACGATTGTTGTTCGAAAATATTTATATCGTTTAAATTATATCGACTTTATATCGACTTATCCAAATATTTATATCGACTTTTTTTAAATTATATTTTTTACGAAAAATTTATTTGAATCGGTGAATAATTGTTTTCATTAATGGTTCGAGATCGTCGTAAGCAACCGTCATCAGCCATCTTATCCATGCAATTTTTTTAATTACCTACTCAATAATTCTGAGGGTTTTAGTCATCCTTCATTAATCGTTATCTGCTTAGGAAATTAGTACCATTAATACTATTATTGAGTAAATGCAATGAAGTGTCTTATAAATTGCAAACAAGTATATTTTATTATTATTATTTGTTTATAGTTTATTAGTTTATTAATCAGTCATTATTTATCGAAAATTCGATCAAAATTATATGAAGTATTAGAATAAACTGCAAAAGAGTAATCATGGATCAACAAATTATAAATTAGTCGCAAGCCAAGGGATTCTCCGGCATATTTGTGCAGTGCGACAAGCCAGCGGAGCGAGTATAACCAGTAATGGTGAGGACTCTTTAAAAAAATATTTCCTCAACACCATATCAAAACCCGTTTGTCTTATTGCAAGCAGTTTCCATTTAATTAATCATTGTTATTGAAAATTCAATCTCAAAGTCCTATCATACGAAGGTCAACAACGACATACACTTTGGATTTTGTGGTGTCGAATAAAATTATGAAAAATTTGTAAGAATGTTATCTGATTTTTGAATAGTTTTTATCGTTTATTTCGTAAATATTATTCATAAATTTTATATTTTACTTCTTTTCGTATTACTGGTAAAGATGGTTCCATTTGTTATGCTGGCGAAGCGTTTCCAAATCTTCCAAGTCGAGCCTCTCGAATCATATCTAAAAGCAGCTGAAATCACTCGTTTATCCATCCATCTATCATTTTATTTCATTACAGTTCTTAATAATGTTTATTGATAAATTTATGTGAAATTTTTACCAGTTAGTTTTTCTAATTTTTTTGCCATATTTATGTCGCATTTTTTATCAATGATGACGGCAATTAACACCCACTATTTATCATTTAGCTTGATTCTCCTGTTATTAGAACAGTCTTTATTAGGTGTTGGAGTGCTAGAGATTAAGTATTATATTATATATATATATATATATATATGAGGCTTTTTTTCACCTTAAATTAGTGGATGATGATAAAAATCTTTCCAAGCGAGGCTAATTCCCTCTAACCAATAATGGTGAGAGGTGTTAGAAAAAGAACTCATTTTTGACAATGATCATCATACATCAGTTAAATTATAATTAAATTGTACTTAATGAAAATTATGATTAATATAGGCAAAAATAATTTTGTACAATATTCTTTACACAATTGAAAAGAAAGAATTTTTTTAAATTGACGCTATTTTCGATGGACTTTTGTGCAACAAATACAATAAAAATTTAAAAAAATATAAAAATAAAAATGCACAAAAGTAAAGTAAAGAAATATAAAAATATAAATATATTTATTTTCTTAGTTTCTATACAGGCATGTATGTTTGCTAATAATAAAAAAATAATTTTTGATCACTTGAAAGCTTTTCCCAAGAATTTTCATTGATACAATTCTAAATAACCGAAATTCTATAGATTTTTCCAGGTTTTTCTTGAATCGTTTTTCAGTTTTCTAGTTTAGGGAGGTGGAAATCTATAAAAAACCTAAAAGCTGAAAACAAAGCTGAAAAAAATCGACAGTCTAGGGGAAATTAAATAGGTCTTTGCCAATATTGATGTTTGCCAAGCTTTCCATTCAAAATCAGTATGAAGAGTGCGCAAAAGTTCTTTTGTTCGATTGAATTTTTTTATAAGAATTTGAATCCATTAAAGGATTTGGCTGTTCCCATATTCTGATTATAAATAATGTTTTGTTACTATTAGTGACCAATTATTTCGGATAATGATTAATAATTTCGGTTGTTTATGGGAGAAAATTTAGTGATTTGATCGATTCTGTGCAGTTCCATCCGATAAGAGTTGTCTCCTTATTCAAAGTGATTCTGCAAAACATTGAAATCAATCTGCTTGTAGAGACTGTCCTGTTTTTTATGCGATAGCTGAATGCTTACATTCATTTATTAATCGTCAATTTTTTTACTATAATAGTACGAAAAAAGCTTTTCATAATTACATATGCATTAGCATTCAGCATTTCTGGTTTGGTTTATCTCTTTCGCTTAACGATCTGAATAATGCGACATTTGATGACTATTTGGTTAGCGGTTTATTTGAAGATAGAATTACATCTGGATCCTCACGAGTCATCTGTGGCATCGTATTTGATAAGATATCTGAATGCTGATCTCATTTCGAAGAGCCGATGCAGGATTTTTACTCTCAAGAAAAAACTTGTCTTTCCAAAATCCGGCTGACACTAGCGATTCAAATTTATATTGATTCTATCGCCAGTTGATTCCATCGCAAAATTTAAGCTCGATAAACCGACTGAATGAGTCTAATGAGCCTAAAAGTAGTGGTCTTAAAAAAATGTTCGATTTATGTATAAATGTACCCATGGTATATTTTAAATTGATAATATAATTTAAAAATTATATTAACACGCTTCAGATAACCAAGTGATGGTTGAAAATAATTCCGATGATTATGGTGTTGAGGATCTTGTATTACTTACTGATTTGAATCACGAAATTATCGTATCAAATTTGGAACATAGGTATTTCCCGATAAAATTATTATAATTTTCACTTTAAAAGAAAGAATAGGTGATGGTTGTAACTCAAGTCTCGAGCATAACGTTCCAATTATACCTGCAATTTAAAAATCCGATCTCTCATCCATCTACAATTCTACCATCAAATGACTCCCTAGCAAAAATTTCATATCATACTATAGAGTGGTAAAATATCAATTGCTTTTTTGTTAATTCTCTTTTTTCTGTACACTCAGAAATTATTTTATTTCGGAAAATTTAGATTCTCGAAAAATCAAATATACACATATATTGGTGAAGTTTTGATAGCGGTCAATCCATATCGTGAACTTCCATTGTACAACGACGATATTATACAAAAATATAAAAATCGCGAATTGTATGAACGTGAGCCTCACGTTTTTGCAATTGCTGATGCGATTTATAGAAGAATGGAACGATATTCTCAAGATACTTGTATTGTTATATCAGGTTATTTTTTTATTCTTTTTACAGTTTTATCGCTAATTGCTTGCTAATCAGATGGACAGCATTAGCGAGAAAGATTCTTCATTCTCTTTCTATTTTTATGACCTTTTTTTATATTCTTTCCCATGGTCCTATTACTTACCCAAAGGATTAAGTATGTTCACATGCTTAAAAAATATGGTTTCCGGCATTCATTGTAATAGCTTATGTGAAATACCATTAAAATTTATTACAAATATTAAAGGTGAATCTGGTGCGGGTAAAACTGAAACGAGTAAATATATAACGAAATATTTAGCAGCTATTACTAATACTCATCAACAATATAAAATTGAATGGTGAACTGGATTTTTACAATTTTATTTATAAATTATTATTTATTTTTACGATAACTTTACTGCATGTTTCTAGTAAATCTAACTTACTTACTATTAAAAGAAAAAATATTAAAATTTTACAAAATCCATTCTAATATATTAAAATTTATAAATGAATTATCCATAATGATATCTTTTTAAAAATCCATTAGATTCCTTCAATAAGTTTTCTATTCAAGAAAATAATTTTTCTTTAATTTTTAGTTTATAATTGTAGTTGAAAATAATTTTATAAAGTTATTCTATTTATAGCGTAAAAGATATTTTTCTTCGTTCAACAATAATCTTGGAATCATTTGGATGTGCTTCCACGAATAGAAATGATAATTCAAGCCGATTTGGCAAATATACATGCATTAATTTTGATTATAACAACGATCCTATCGGTGGACACATTTATTATTATCTTCTCGAAAAAGTAATGCCAATTACAATAACATACAGTAGTTATAATGCATATATAACAGCAATTATAAAAATATTAAGTGGCTAATAGCAAGTAAAAATAGCAAAAATGGTGAACTTACCATTTTATTGAGGCTACCTCTGTTGTAGTCACTTGTCGATAGGTGAATCGCACCAGGCGGATTTAATGGCAGGTATACTCCTGTCAGAGCAAGAAATTGAAGCTGTGATGCTCAATATGAATCGGCCTTAGCACTGGTTATATATACATCAGTTATATTAATAGTAATAGTAATTAAAAATAATTATAATTAAAATCCACAAAAGTGCGTTATAAAAGTGCCTTAAACCTATTTCATTTATTTCTTTCTTTATTTCTTATTTATCTTTTTATCAATTTTATATTAATTAAGAGCTCTAAATCAATTATTTCTTGATTTTATTTATTAAGTCACGAGTGGTTCGTCAACAACGAGGTGAACGAAATTTTCATGTATTTTATCAATTCTTTACGGGCTTAGATACAGCCATTTTGGCCAATTTTCATTTAGAAAATGATGCAATGAATTATTTTTATTTAAGGCAAGGAGGAACCACTAAGGTTTGCGAAATTATCAGCTTTTTCAAAGTTAAAATCCTCAGTATAATTAAAAATAAGAGGCAAATAAGACAATTTAAATATAATCTATATAATATAATCTATATAACTGGGATGAGATGGTTTACTGCTTCGATGAAAACCAAAAGTTTCCATAAGCCAGCTTTTTATCACTTTTAATAGAGTCTGTTATTAAAAATGAAATGAAATCCTTCCAATGGAGCTGAAGGCTCACCTTTCTCTTCGTCTCTATCTGCCTGCTGAAAGAGCAATTAATATTTAACTGGGTCATTCAAATCAGAAATGGTGCCGAACACAAATAGTGCCACAAGGAAAACTAGAAAGGAATGTGAAATGGACAATTTTAAATAAAATTTAATTGCTTAGATTGATTCAATCAACGATAAGAACAGTTTCAAAGAGGTTGAGCAAGCTTTTCAGTCAATTAACACATTCGGCGAAGGCGAAGTTCAGCAGGTTTCTTTTTCTTCTTACTTGACTCGTCCATCATATTTCAAAATTTTTAATTATATGTTTAAGATATGGCGAGTAATTGCTGCGATACTTCTCATTGGTAATATCGAATTTGCTGAAAAGAAAAATAATTGCGATGAAACCGAAATTAGTAATAAAGTTTTACTGGAAAATGCAGCTGATGTTCTACAAGTTGAAGCTGAAGAATTAGCAATTGCGCTTTGTCGAAAAGTTAATTTTATTCAGTTAATTGAATTTCAATAAGATATTACAATAAGAAAATATGATAATCTTGGGAAAAAAATGATCAGCAATTTCATTTTTCTTTTTAATCTGAATTTCCTGAATCGAATTTTTTTGCTTAATAGAACAATTTTCGACGAGTGATTTATCACAAAATATAATAGTAAATTAAGTAAATAAGCGCTTAGCACTCAAGATTAAGCCAGAAATTTTTGATAGAAATTCACTCAGCGATAATCAAGTCACACGGATTTTTTAATAACTGGTTTATTTCGGTCAGAGAATTCTTCCAGGGAAGTAAAGCTCTGATGCTCCATATTTATTTCTTAATAATTTGATAAATTTGATAAAAAGCAAGAAATTCAATGGAAATTTAGGTAGTTGCACCACGGGGCGACATAATCACCAAGGAGCACAATGTTCATGCCGCACAATACGTTAGAGATTCATTGGCAAAGGTTTTTTAATTTAGATTAATTTAATATATTGTACCGAAGAGAATATATTGCAAAAAACGGAAAAGTACCACCTAATATTTCAATATTTAATTTTTCCATTTCTTTGGTTGATTACATTGGCCATTAGGATTGGATAGGATTAAATTACGGTTGGGTCCTCAGTAACGCTCGTACTTTAATGATAGATTTATCTTGTTATATAAGGATAAAAATCGAACCTAAAATCAATTAACTTCAGTCGATACAATATACCAACCACGCCAAACGTAGTCTAACTTTTTTCCTAATTTGCTTATTAATTTTTTTGAATTAAACTGAAATGGTAGCAGTGAAGGGATGGTTTTATTCAAGGAAATGTATGAAAGATTATTTACGTGGATCATCAATCGTATAAATGAAGCGATAGCAAATCATCATGACCAGTATAAGGCATGGAGAACGATAGGAATTTTGGACATCTATGGATTTGAAATTTTTGAAGTTAACAGGCATATATTATTTTTCATTTATTATGGCGGTCCAAAACGGCTAGCAATGCTTGACAATGCTGCACCTTTTGGTGCCGAATTCGAAATCAGCTGATCTCTATCTTATGCGCTGCTATTAGGACTACTTTTTTTGAAGAATCATAGTTGAAATAGACAAATGGTGATTTGAAACCACACATTAATTATTCTTATTGCGGCATTTTATGATACCATCGTTATATTTAGCTTCGAACAACTGTGCATAAATTATTGTAACGAGAAACTTCAACAACTTTTCATTCAGCTCGTATTAAAACAGGAACAAGAGGAATACTATCGAGAAGGAATAACATGGCAACAAGTGAGTTATTTTTACTGGAATAGAGTATAGAGCAATAACTGATTTAATAACAAAACTTCTCTTTGACTAATTCGTCTGAAATTCCTATTTAAAAACTTTATTACCCATTCATTATTATCCATTATTATCTATTTTTATAGGTTAATTACTTTAATAATAAAGTAATTTGCGACCTTATTGAAATGCCAAGAATCGGAATTATTTCAATTCTTGATGAAGCTTGTTACAATATCGGAGAAATAAATGATTCGGTATGGTTTTAGGAATTATTTTGGAGAATTCTTAAAGTTTTTTTTTAAAACTTTTTTCTTCTCATAAATCAGACTCATTAGCATTGGAAACACTTCATTAATTTCAGATGAATGAACTTGTAATGAAATATGAATAAAGTAGTCACTAACGTCAAAAGACACTAAGACTAGAACCTCCACAGCAGCTCTTTGAAATGAGAGCATCGACCCACTGCGCCATTATGTTCTTCCAGCCATTGCAATAGCACAAAATTTTTAAATAATTTATATTTTTTTGTTAGGTAACTAATTCCATTAGGAATTCATAGATTTTAATAGGCTAAGAATAAAATTTATTAGACAAATTTATCGCAAATCAACAAAAAATTTTGGAAAATTGATTCAATTTCAGATATTTTTGAGCGAAATGGATAAAAACCTCTGTGAGAATAAGTATTACACCAGTAGGCGATTGAATACAATGGACAAAACCCTTCAGTTTGACAATGATTTTCGTATAACTCATTACGCTGGCGATGTTACATATTGCGTTCATGGATTTATCGATAAGAATCGTGATACACTGTTTCAGGATATTAAGAGATTGCTTTATCACAGGTTTTGTGCGAAGCTTGAATTCTGGTTAACTGTACAATTGTAATCAGCCAGCATGAGTTCGATTATTTGTTCTTTGAGAGGAGTAAACCTGTTTTTAAAATCCAGATGACCATTAGAGATCCAAGAGTCTATGAAATTATATCTTTCATTTTTTAACTTAACTTACTTTGACATTTATGAAAATTTTTCGCATTTTCATTTCAAGAAATATTCGTCTATTAGTCGATTTTTTTCTAAGAGTGTTCGCCATTTCTGAATAGGCTCATTCCACTGGCTTATCAGAGCAGATCAAATTTTGCCAGAGAATCATTTGGCTATAGAAATATAATTTAGTGGATTAGTCGATGATTAATTAAAATGGATTTAGACCGATGAAGTTTGGTCCATGAGGCAAATTAGTGAAATGATATAGAAATGATAAAATACTAAATTTCATTTTTTAAGTAAAAATCTTCTTTTATCATCAATGTTTCCTGATGGAGAGAAATTAATCACTGAAGTTAATAAGCGACCGCTTACTGCAGGAAGTATTTTCAAGGTTGGCTTTAAATGCATTATAATACATTATTTATAATATTATAAAAAGTAAAAAGACCCATCCTAAAGAATTCAAACTTTGGTACTTTAAATTCATTAGGAAGAATTAGAGTAATAGAACGAAATTTAAAATGATGTCGCTGATGGGTTATAGCAAAAGAATACGGCAAAATTTTAGAAAGAAAGGTATTTAAAAAATTTTGGTTTGCAAAGAGAATATAACAGGCACTAAAGAATAAAAGAACCACAGAGCAAGATTTCGGGTTCTTACGTAGTTTTCTAGTATCTTAGAGTGCCATAGCAAGGTCTTGTAATCCTTATATAGTTTAAAGAAATTTTACTTACAGATTTCCAAAAGAATAGTTAGAAGAAATTTATGGAATCTTAGATAGGATAAGGCGGTTATAAAGCATCATAATAGATTCTAATGAAGTGAAAGGATTATAATCACAAAGGATTGAGATAAATATAATTTGAGATAAATATAATATATAACATACTGGCAAAGAAAAGAGGGCATTATGGTAATGTTTTTTTTTCTTTTAGGAGTCCTCACCATTACTGATTAAAATTAAACTTACTCCACTGGCTTGTCGTATTGGGTAATATTGCCAGAGAGTTCCTTGGCAATAGAAAAACAGCTGACGGCTGAGTCGCCAGCATCTCGCGGATTTTTGTGCAGTTTAAATTCCTCTGCGAGGAATCGAACCTAGGCTCCAAATCGAGCAACAACCCAATGAGCTATTCTATCCCCGAATGTGGTACTGATCACTTTTGAAATCGTTTAGAAATTTTACTGCAATTTTTCATGTTTAACATTTCAAATTTTTTCTAATCGCCAAAATTGTTTTAATTCCCTTCATAAAATTCCCTAAAAGGAGAGAGAATGAATTTAGGAAGAATGAGATTGATTGAATTTAGTGAAGCGAATCGTTGAATAAGCGGACAGAATTGTCTTCGAACTTTGGCATATCCTTAGACATATTGTCAAAACCTGGTAGGGTGGTAGGACAAGAAAGTGGTATTAAAAAGTAGAGGAGGACGGCTTAAACTGCTTACTGTTATGTCAATAATGGATTAAAAGACAAAAAAATACTTGAGCTTTATTAGAGAGATAATTGAAGTTTAAGAGAATTCTTCTTTTAACAGCTTATTACTGGTTACGCTGGCTTCACTGACTCCAAGGACAAGGCGTTTCCAAATTTCGCGCTCTGATGCCTTCGTCAACAGAAGCCATTCCTTTTTCCATCGTCTAAGTCCATATATTGCTAGTTCACCCATAAGTTTAAAATCTTTCCTGATCGTGTCAGTCCAAGTCTTGATTGGTCTCGCTTTATGACACTACTCATCACAAGGTGTAACAAGTAACAAAATATGTCAACTTTAGCAACGAAAAATGTATCCTAACCAGTGAAGGCGATGTTTTGTGATGCTACTATTAATGCAAATAGTATTTGAACAAAAGTGGATGAGATCAAGTGAGATTTTATCCACTCAGCGAAGAATTTTTCCCAGAATATTATGAATTAAATCAAAGAGTTTTATGAATCAAAGAGTTTCTATGTGGAATGGAAATTTCATAGATGGCATTTTTAAGAAATGTTGTTGATATGAAAGGATATAACGAGGTTTTTATGGAATAGATCATTAAGGCTAACAAGGCTTATGGATCTCATAGTCAATATAATATAAGGATGTTTTAAAATATATTGTTATCTGGTTTAAAAAAGAGAGCGTGGTGCGGTTCGATTATTTTTTAAGAGATTTTGATGCATGTAGAAAATGGTTTCGAAGAAATTTATGTAGGAAGATAGAGAGGAGAAAAAAGATGGAGTTGCCATATTTTGGGCGACGAATTTTTCTCGAACACCCACAGAAAACTACAAAAGTGGTTAATGATTTCTGGTTTACTACCATAATATAGTTATGTTACATATTTGTAAGACAAGCAGAAGCAATTAAATATTTTTATTTTCTCGTACTACCTAAAAATGAAACAATTTGAATATTTTTATCGATATGAAAAGTAAAGTTGAAGATTGGTCTATATGTGTAGCACCAAAGCGTTTCTTCACAGAGGATAGTATAAACGAGGGTGTATTGCTTTTTATTCCAAGCGTCATATATTGACTTTTGCTGCTGGGTAAAGTTGTTATTAAAAAACCTGGACGGATTCATCCACTTTCATTTCCATATATGGTTATTGTTCATATCTTAACAGCCAGTGGAGCGAAGCTAACCAGAAATGCCAATTAGCATTAATTTAATTAATTAACAAAGCATTTCCTCAATCGAAATATTTTAAGACTTAAAACAGTAATTTATGATATGAAAATTTATGATAATCTATAAATTTCAGAATTCAATGAATGATTTAATTAAGCAATTATCAACAAAACAACCTTTTTACATTCGTTGTATTAAACCAAATGAACTGCGATTAAGTACCATATTTGACTGGAAAACCGTCCAACATCAAGTTCATTAATTTTTACTTATTGTTATTTTTAATTTGCTTTAAATTATGAATAGCTATTCGAAATTAACGATTTTGCGATTTAGAATGCCAATATAATGAGATTTTCGCTTTTAATATAAGGAAACAGTATTTTTTGTAGCGATGGAATAGAAATAAAAAATTGTTGCACAAAAAAAGAATATTTGGTAAAAAATGGAACGATTATTGTTATCAAAAAATTTAAGGTTCGTTATCTCGGTTTACTGGAAAATATTCGAGTTCGACGTGCTGGATTTGCCTATAGAATTGCATATAATCGTTTTCTCCAAAGGTAATCCTCATAATCCTCACATTTTCCATTAATCATGATTATGAAGTTCCATGATTATTATTGCTGTTATTTAAACAATGAATTATAAATGGTGGATCGCATAGTACGAAACATAATGCAAATCTCCGCGGCAAAATTTAGATCTAAAATTAGATCTAAATTAGATCAATTAGCCAGCGGAGCTGAGCGATTTACTATAATTTTTATATAGATTTCACTGATATTTCTTTTAGATATAAAATGTTATCAGAAAGAACTTGGCCTAATCCTCTTAATGGTTCACTGAAAATTAATTCATTAATAATACTCCAAAAGTACGGTATGAATATTGATTGTATGCTTGGAGAAACTAAAGTCTTTATTAAAAACTCAAAAACTTTATTCAAATTAGAAGAATTGCGAAAGAAAAGACTTGACGAAATTGTCGTTTTAATACAAAAGGTTAGTTTTATAAATAACACCACTGTGTTCTAGAGATATAAATTTTTAATAAAATATTTATTTTAATAAAAAAAGTGTGATATCTAATAATAAAAGTAATAATAGATATGGCGTGGCATTTTGGCTCGCCGTCGCTGTAAACGAATACGAGCCATATACACCATCATGCATTATTATGAACGTTATAAAAACCGCAAATATATTAATGATGTTTGTCGATCTCTCAGGTTTCTTGAAATATTTTATTTGTTACGCCAGAAGATAGAATCATAAAGCATGGAAATGATAATTTATATGTAACACACGACTTTGCCATATACCGCATAAATTTTTACATTGCCCTATTTTTATTTTGAGAAGATTTGAAATGAAAATATAATTAAAAGAGATTTGCTCTTTTTACACTCATAAATTAATATTACATATTTAAAAAAATTATATATATATATATGAAATCCATTTAGAAATATAGCTTTAATGCCTGACTGTGGCAAACATATTGTATGGCCTAGGCCACCGCATAAATTGAACGCACTATCGGACCAGTTGAAGCAAATGCATCGATTATGGTATGCGAGAATTATTATTAACAGATTGCCAGAGCATCTTCAGCAATCACTTCCACAAAAATTAGCCGCATGTAGTATTCTTTCTCGTAAACGAAAAGAATGGGGTTATTCGAGATTCTGGAAAGGCGATTATCTCCGCCAAGTAATTTACTTTGCTCTTATTTATTTTGCTGCTTATTTCATTATATTTTTCGAAATTATTTGATGAATTTAAATAATTTAAGCCCGATGAAACAGGAAATACAAATCAAGTAAACGAATATTGTTCAGCGTTAGAATTTATCAAAAAATCTCATCCATTTACAAAAATTCTTTTTTCTTCTTATATTCAGGTTTATTTCTATCATTTTTAATATAATTATAGTATATAAAATAAATATTTATATATTATATATATATATATATATATTAATATATATATATATATATTAATATTTATATATTATAAAATATACAAAATATACATTAAATATAAAAAATATTATAAAAATATAAAAAATATATTATCATATATATAATAAAATATATAAACAAATAAAATATTTGTAATTACTTTACTATAAAGTAATTGATTATTAATTTAAAATAAAATTTGAGAAATGCCTGACTATTAATGGGCCAGGCCACCGCGTAAATTGAAAGCATCGCTTCTGGTTAATCTCTTTCCACTGGCTAATAGGTTATTATATTTTAGAGAGATATAGGTAAGATAAGAAATATAGGTGTTGGATCCGCGATATGATCAAATTTTATTATCAGACTCATTCCTATCAAGAAGAGAGAGGCATAATGCTTGAAATGAGATTTGATAATACAATTCTAAGATATCATTCAGCTAAACAGCCATAATTGATGAACTTTGATTATTTATGTTTGCTTAATTTATTAAATTCACATAAGCTAAAAAATTTTTAAATAATTTTCAGAAATTTAATCGATTCAACAAATCATCACGTCGAATATTAATAATAACCGATAAATTTTTTGCAAAATTAAGTGCAAAAACATTTAAATTATTGAAACAACCAGAATTACTTTCAAACGTAGGTTTCCACTCTAAAACAATAGTAAAAGTAAAAAATTCACGAAAGGTGATTAATGAACACAAAATTGTTATATAGTTTATATAGTTTCGGATTAGAACAAATGGAACGAGCCAAGTGAAATAAGAATACTTGAAGAATATTTGAAGATGAAAAATTTATTTTTCTTTAATAGCCGATTATTTTGATAGTGAGCGGCCTAATTTTGTATAAAATTTAAATTTTTTATAAAATTTTTAAAAAAATTTTACTAGCGAATATTTCAGCTATCAAGGCTAAGTATTTCAAATGAAAGCAATGGATTAGTGATATTTCATTTGAAAAAAAATGACTTTGTTGGTTGCCTTTTAAATATTAAAAATGAGGATCGAGTTGGCGAACTTATTGGCATACTTTGTGATTATTTCGAAAGGTATTCTTTTCTTTATCGCTAAAAACATTGTATTTTATATTTATTTTTTAAATTTGTGTACTTTTTTAAAAAAATTTATTTTTTAAAACTTTAAAAACGAGAACAATTTTGAAATGTTTTGAAACAATTTTTTATTTGCTTTATAGGTTTTATGGTAGAAAATTAGTAATCACTGTCGGAAGAGATTTGCACTGCATACTCGGATCGAAGGAAAGAAAATTATTTGTTAATCCATCCAATATAGGAGACAAACAACAAATCGCCTTTAAGAAAAATAGCGATGCTATCGAAATGAAATATTCTGTTATCGCTGCTAATCGTTCTTGAATTTTTATGCCCATTTTTTTTTAATTATTTAGTTTTTCCAATTTAAATAAATTTGCTAATTCCATAAATTTTGGTTCATTTAAATTTTTCGATAAATTTGTCCATGGATATATTTGAAATGCTCAGTTATACTCAGTTAATGCCCCTCAAACAGGAAAATGATAAATTTGCATAAATATTTCCTTTTTTCTTTATAATTTTATAATTTCCCAAGGATTATCGCTTTTCTTATGGAGCACATGCTAAACTAAACAAAATTTTGCCGAAAAAATGCAAAGGTTTTTATTTTTTTTAATCTATATGATTCGAATATGTACATGATAAGACAAGAATTCATAAAGAAATATGTAACCTTATCAGTTCCAAATTTTCATTGGTATATTGAGAAGGGTTATGCGCTTTGTTCACTGATTGCTGTCAATGAATCGTTAATAGGCACTGAATAGGCATAAATATTTAATTTAATGATCGAAATTTAATTAATTAATTTGGTGATCAATGATGGAAATAAAATCTCGGCGCTAATCTCGGGAATTTATTCTGCGTAATCCAAGTGACTCTTTGGTCATCTTATGGTGAATAGTAGTTGTTCAAAGAAAACTCAATGAAGCTATATCAAAACTGAATATTTTTTTATTTTTAAAATTATTTTTTTAAAAATAAAATCTTATGTCTTTTAAGTTTTTAATATCTTTAAAAATGGCAAAATAAAAAGAAATAGCAAAAAATTCGAAGAATCCCTATTACCAAATTTCTTCTTCGGCTTTTGATAAAAACAACTAATTTCGAAGTAATCAACCATATCAACGTCGTCGTTCGTAAATAAATCTTTTTGTGTTCCTTGATTTTCGCTATTTAATATACAATTCGAATTTTCCTCCTTCAATTTTTTAAATTATTAGTTACTAATTTTAGTTTATTTTCCTATTCCTACATCGCAATTTTTAAAATAAAATATTTTCAGTAAATTTTAATAAAATTATATAAATTATAAAATTTCAAAAGTAAAATTGAATAGATTTGATTAATAGCTGTTAGTTCGAAGCGCCGATTCTATTCTTTTCTACTTTGCAAAATTTGGGCATTCAGTACTGGCGACTCACCTACACTTCTATCGTCAAATGTTACAGTGGCAAAAATTTGGTCCGACGAGCAACGCTAAGCAGATGAGCAGTCTTGGAAAAAAAAATTAAAATTCAAAAAATTTAACAAATAATAATTTCAACCTCAAAATAATACATTCCACTTGTGCAATTTATCGCATGAAGAGTTAATGAATCGAAACAGTTTCCTATACATTCATCGATAGCTTTAACGCTAAGGACGATTTCAGCAAACCCGACAAGAATTTTTTGTGGATATCGTTTTATTGCTCCCTTACAATGCCTATAATCACTGTCCTTAAATCATCACAATTATGATAAATATTACTAAGAAGGAGCCTATGATATACGATTTACAATTCGTTTATACCATTTATCACCATAATAAATCACTATTAAATAATATCTTTCTAAGTTAAAATCCACAAGAAATACAAAAATCAAAATATTTCAAAGCAAACCTTACGGAGCTTTCACTGACACAAATTTTTTCAAAATATTTGCTATTTTTATTAGATTCAAGCTTTCCATTGCCCAGTGGAACAGCAGATTCCTCTGAGAGTGTACACCATTTTCCATGAAAGTCAACCGAGTTACATATAATATTTTTGCCACTCGAAACCTTTAAATTTTGGTTTTTCATGCTTTTTTTCCATTATTTATAAATTACTTTTAATCGACTAAAGGAAATGAAAAATTGACATGGGCAAAGGCACAGACGAAATTCGATCGCCAGAAGACGCATAGTTTTAACTTTTTTGACGATCCTAAGTGATATCCTAAGTGAATCGGCCTCATACTATTCTCTTTTTTATTCAAGCAAAAAAATTTTTATCCCTTTCGCAATGCTTATTTCCCATTTAGAAATAATCATTAAAGCTAATCTTATTTATCGATATCATGGGAAAATCGAATGATCGTTGCGAAGATTACTAGTTTGGCAGCCAAAATATCTGGGTGGTTCTTTCTCTAAAAGAAGAAATCTGTCGTTAAAAAATCTTGGTGATCCATTTGTACTTCTATCGTCAGACGATTCTTTTACAAAGTTTTCTGGCCGAATATGTTTTCTATGGATGGTGAAAGTTAGCCACTTATTCATCAATTTCAACACTTTAAACTTTACATGTTCAACCATGACCCTATCACATTTTTCTATTTATCATGCTGGGATGGAAATAATTTTTCCCTGGTCTGCTTACATTATCGATAAAATTGTATTATTTTTGATATTATTATTGATATTATTATTAGAATTTTGGAAGTTTAAAGCTCACATAATTATTATTACAAGCAGCGAGACATTCATCGTATGAAACGATATCTTTTAATAGTAAATGATCATAACCGAATAATTGATATCCATCCGTTTCTAAATAAATTACTCGTTTTCCCTCCTCGCAATCCTTGCTTTCTCCGTTATTTTCAAATAAAACTGTATTATCCCTTAGTGCAATTCTTTTATCATTTTTGGCTGAAATAGCTAATTATATAAATAATTTCTAAAATGGGAAATATTATAGAAAATTTTAAAATATTTAAAATTATTCATATTTCTCTAAGGTAATTATTTTGGCAATAAATAAAATTCTGCATTCTTGCTAAATCTTTTTTTTAAACTCTACAATTTTTTCTAAGAACGTTCACCACTTCTGACTCATTTAGGCTCGTTCCGCTGGTCTCCCAGACCGGGCAAACTTTATTCTGCAGCCACTTAACAATAGAAGTATTAATCAATTTCCAGTCTCACCCGATTTTTTGAAAGATAGGTTCACTCCTGGCAAGAGTAGATAAGGATAATAATATTATTACTTTGTGCGCAAGACTTTTGATTTATAAAAAAAAATAATTGTTTTTTGCAATTAATATATATTTATTTATATATATTTAAATATTTGATATTGATATTTTAAATACAAAAAATTAATAAATTTCCACCTTCTTTTTAATTTATTAAAAAACGCAAAAAAAATATGATAAATATATATTAAAATTGCATATAAAAGTTATCCATGAAATAGAAAAAGCAGTAATTATTTAATAATAACATATCCATATCCGTTATGTTATTTATTACCACTTCAATTATTTTGTAATTCGGTATTACTAAAAGAATATAAAAATATTATTATTGTCAAAATTTACTATGAGGGAAGAAAACTGCTGTTGCTTGTGGCAGTTTATTTAAGGAGGGTTGCTGCAAAATTGTTCTAGCTTTACTCGTCGTGGTTGATGTAAGCCATGGGTTACACGAATCATCTGGTATCGGTTCGAAGTAATCTCGCGTGCGAAATCTGAGAATTCTAAAATATCGCTGATAATACATCAGAATATCTTTTTTTTATTGCATCTTTGCACTAAAATTTTTTTATTAAAATTAATCAAAATTTTTTTCATTAAAAATTTCTTTTCTTTTATGACCATTTCCATATGACTATTTGCTTATTTCCAGCAAATAGCATGCATTCTTTTGCGATAAAGCCTCCTCATCACTTTATCTGGCAATTATATGTAGAAAATTAGAAATTTTAAGATTTAGGCAAATAGATTACAAATTAACCGAACCTTGCGGGATATTGGTCACCAAAATGTGCAAAAAGATCGCAAATCTGCAAGTTGCTTCATCATATGCTTTTCTGCATATTTTACTACTTTTTATTTTCATTTTATTTTCACATATTTTTATTTGCCTACCATTTGCATTGTTATATATACTTATCGAATTTTATCGGTTTTACAACTCTTTACTCATATTAAACGACATGAGACGACATGGCTATAACCAACGTTTCGTCTAAATATAATGAAGATTGATTTCGAGAAGACGCCATAGAGGATTAATTGGATTAAACAAATTTTGATTTCTTTAGAAAATCCGTAAATCCTAGTTAAATACCTTATAAAAGTAATCATAAACAAATGATAAACATCTAAATTTTCCAGATTTTGATTGCAAACAATGATATTTGCAATCATTTAATAGAATATTCGAGCGTCGTTCATATGGCTGAGCATTTATTATTATACAATTTTCATATCTGCGAAAGCATTTGTCACCTATAAATAAATTTGTTGATTTATCAAAAATGCTTATTAGATTAGATTTATTTTAAACTAAATTAAAGTTAAAATTAAATTTAACTTTTAAATTAAAGTTTAATTTTATTAATTTCATTGTCCTTTTTTTCACAGTATAAGAAAATGATCGATAAAATCCTGCTCCCTACAAAAGGTGTTATTAAGAAATGATGCTGAAATGACTAAATTTAAAATTTTAAAATAATATAAATAATTGATGGTAAGGGTTCTAATGATAGATAAAAAATTAATGATAAATGGTAATGATTAATAAATTTCTGGCAAAAAAATTTTTAAAGCAATTGGTGTTGGCAAGAAATTAGTTCATTCTTGATTCTTATTATGAAGAAAATAAATTTATATTTTATATTTGAATTATTTATGAGCCACACACCAATAAGAGAAATTTATAAGATTTAATGTATAATAAGATTTATTCCAACTGAAATGCTTTTAACCATCTTTTCTTTAATTTCAGAAATATAGAAAAATTTTCCACGAATTTCTAACGAAAGTAGGTCAATTCATTCTTTCTGTAAGGGAAATTGACAATAATCCGATTGAAATCATGCATTTAGAACAACCTTATCCGTTTCTTCAACCTCTCTATTATTGCTATAAAGAAGATTAAACATTCCGAAGATAACATTCTGCATTGCCTTAAATGGAACTTTGAAAAAATAGTAGGAAGAAAAATGCAGGAAAATTATACTTAAATCAGGATAGCCATATTCAATCGGATTTTCATTAATCATTGGTGAAATTGTTATCACTGATAACTGGTTTCTAATTTTATGATCATTAAATGTTGAATTCTTCAGAACTGCCTCATCAAGTTCATTCTGCAAATGGAGAAATTTAAGACGCAAGAATAAAGCGATTAAATCACAGTAAAGAATTTTAAAACCTGGTTGTTGCTAGGAATAGACTTGTAATCGAACAATTTGACTTTCTCTGGTAGAAGGATCTTAGAGAAACGAGAAATTGCATGCTATTAGATGAAAGAAGGTGCAGTGTGGAGAAATCAAGGCCGATTTAAGAGCCGGTTGGAGGTAACCAAAAGAGAAAAGTACCTTTCTATTCATAATATTTTCTTTCGACGTGTTTAACTTACTGGTTGGTCGACGTCTTTTTGCGCCATCAGGGTGAAACATATGAATATTCAGAGATCTAAATAGTATGCTACGGTATATAATAGTAAACTTGATCAAAATATCGATATTTTTTCAAGTTTTATTATAGCTGAGCAATTTTTTCATAAGGGGCTTTGATAACCGATTTATATTTCTAATATACCCATTTGGATCTAAAATGAAGGTCCTGGAAATCAGCAGAGCTTGCCAAACCAGAAACGATAAGTACTTTTAGGAAAAAAATAACTCATACGAGGACGACAGTGAAATGATTTTTTGCACAGATTACCACCACCTCAAATGTCAGAATTCTGGTTCTACCTCTACTGTATAAAAATTTAGTAGGTAATTCTAAATGCACTAATAGATAGTGGAACAAGCCAAAGCTAATTTCCGAGTTTTTTTAAAAGAGTGCAATGAAAAGAATCAGTCGCAAAATAAATCTTTATAAAACGAAAAAAAAACAAATATTTTAAAAAATTTAGGGAAAATCTGCATATAAAAATAAAGTTCTTTTGTTATGAATAAATATGCTTCAAAAATTTATTAAAATCTTTTAGTTTCTGATGAACTCCCAATTTCTGGCCTTAAACCCTAAGCCTAAATCCAAAAGGCCTAAGCATAAAGAACCAATTCTTATCAAAAAGCAAACTTCGTTGTGATTCGTCCGAAAGTATATATATTTCCGCTTTTCACTGCAGAACAAACTATATTTATCACAGATATATGCAAGAAAATCGTGTAGATAAGAAATTCTTTCCTGCTCATTTCTTCTATAAGACGTATTTCTTTTGAATCATCGGTTATCAGTTTTTATTTCCATATATTTAGAATTTTGCAGCAATAATAGGCGAAATAAATAAATAATGCCAAATGTAAAAGGTCAATGGAGAAAAAATGTTCAATTAAATTATTCCTCTGAATTTTTGCATAAAAAAATCTTAATATTTAATAGAGAAAAAATAAATTAAACAACGACGAGGAATAAAGGAGACAAAAATAATAAACGATAATTAATAATCACTGTTCGGATATTGAAAATTTGAAAAATTAAGGAAATTTGGAAAATGTATTAAATATGTTTTTTATATATTATATTATTATATATATTATATATTATGTTTTTTCAATTTTCTGGAATAAAATAACAAAATTGAATTGCTGAGGATCTAATTTTAGACACTTCTATGTTTTCATATTTTTCAAAATTAATCAAAATTCATCGAATTATTATTTCAATTATCTCAATATTTTAAAAAAATATATATTTTGTCATTATTATTATTATGATATTATTATGATATATATCTTTAATCATTAATTATTAACAATATAGTATCTATAAGCGAAAGAGAATTATATTTTGAGTATGAATACGAGTGAATGAGATACAGATTCCCTTCATCACCATCCATTTCTTAACATTCCTTATCGAATTTAAATTTGATTATCATGATTACCATATAATTGATAAGAACCGGAAATCTTTTATCAGAAATGAAATAATTAATATAAGTTCTGAAAATAAAAAACATCTAAGAAATGCACATTATTTTCAGATGTTCGGATGGTTCAACTAAGAGCGAAGCAAAATGGATTTCATTGCAGCACTTCCATCGAGTAAACCTGCCGTTAAAAATGAAATCGGGTTGGCCGATGGGCACCTATCCACTGCACCTCTTCCTATAAATGACTCGCCGACGAAACGATCTCACCCCTCTTGTCAGCCAAACTGGAAATGATGCGTCGTGCTATTAAAAGAATACGTATGCCGATTTAAATATTAAATGAGCCTCGTCCCATGAAAATCCACATAAATTTCAGAAATTTTGCAAAATCAGCAAATAAGCCGAAGAAAACTTAAAAGAATTTGTTTTTTATTATTTAGTAATAATAAATTATTCGAATAAAAATTTATCGCGAAAATAACTGCAAACGATTAACCTATTTTTGTTTCTATTTTTTAACTCTATTCTATCCAACCTGTTCAATCTGTTTTACCTAAAAACATTCTTTTCGAAATATGCCCGCTGAGCCCTTCGTCTTCTCCCAAACAGTATGCATCATTTTTGATTTTATTGCCATCCCTCGTTCCACCGGCTTTTAGCGCGGCAGGAACAAGTGAGAATACAGATTCCCTTCATCACCATCCATTTCTTGACATTCCTTATCGAATATAAAATCTGAAGCTTAAATCTGAGCCTTGCTCATCTGAACAACAAGCACTCTGCTATCTGCGAAAAATCTTAAATGCACCCTCACACTCTATAAATTCACGAACTACCGAACTGATTTTAAAACGCTTCTAATGTTTCATTTACTTTCATCGGTTTGCTAAATTTGTTCAAAACGAGAATTCGCCTTATTTCTTTCCTTGCTTTGATTTATACTTCAATTTCAACATTAGATTTCTTACTTGCTTTACAAAAGCTACGGATATTGCAGAATAGTAAAGAGCCTATATTTCTTTGAATTATTTAAGATAATACTCCTGCAACCAATTTTGGAAAAAAAATTCAACAAAAAAATGAAACATAACAACTGAATAACTTTTTGAAGACAATAATCTTGGTGAGAAACAAATGTTTCATAATTTTTTTTCGATCCACTAAAATTTAAAAGCCGGAAAAGTTCACAAATAATTCAAGTTTACAAATATTCAAATTCACAAATATTCAGATTATCTAGGTTTTTGGAATTTTAATTCCACTAGACAACAAATGCAAAAATATAAAAAATAATTTGAAAAAAATTTATTTTCTTGGCTATAATTTCAAATATAATTAAATCATATACGAAATTCAGACTTTAAAAAAATTATACTATAACTAATATGAAAATCAGAAAATGTACAAAATAAATAAAATCATCAATCAAACAAAGACCATATACAATAAGAAATATCATCAAGGATGAAGAAAATTACGAGATCCTCGGTCTTTTCGACGGTGATGTTTCACGTATTGAGGTTGAGTTTGGATTTCGAGTTCCATCAGGATAAGTGATTATTTGCTTTAAAATCCATGCTGCAAGACTCGGATTTTCGTTTTCAAGTTCATTCCATTCCTTAATAAATAGAGAATCAATAGTGGTATGCAGAAAAAGTAATAGAATTCAATGATGAATTAACAGATTAAAATCAAAATAAGAGATTACACGTATCCGTCTAGATCAAATAAAAAAACTGCTCTGTCTATAAAACTGCTCTATCTATCTATCTATAAAAAGCAAACATGGAATATTTTACAAATTTTACCCTGCTCTCTAAGATTGATTGTCGAAACCTCTGAAATACTTGTAACGCTTTTCGTTTGACTTTATGCGCATTGAAAAGTTCAGCTACGCGTAAACGATCACATACATTCGATGCATTCATACCACGAACTAAGCAATCTTGACACATCAATTTGAGACGATCCAGACAAAATCTAAATACCGATTACTGACAAAAATAGATCGAATAAAAGCTTAAAAAACAAAATTTTAGGGCGAACTATCTAAAAACATCTAGAAAATAAAATATGCAAATAACATTCTTAATAAAGAAAATCAATTCGTAAATCAATTCCGAATGAATGTCAGATGTCAAAGTGATCAAAAATCTATTTCAATAAAAGCATATAAAGCATCAATTTACATCCAAAATATTCAAAAAAAGTTCCCAAAAATTATTTTTTAAACCTTAAATAAAATCTCCTAGCAAAGTAATGCCATTTTCAATCCAACACCAACAATTTCCTAGGTTTAACAAAATTAACACAACAAAAAATACAATAAAAAAGACTTGAAAAACAAGCAAAATAATAATAGAAATATTACTGACCTATCAGCTGCTGCCAATATTTCCAAAGCATTTCGGGCTAGGTCTGAGCAAAAATCCTTATAAATATATTCAAGAACAGAATTCATTGTTTCTGACGAAATATCAGTTAACATAACCTAAAAACTTTTATGTAAAAACTGCACATAACAAGAAAATACCAATATATTTTTCATTATTAATAAATAAATTGTCATTCATTAATAAATAAATTGTAAAAATCATAATCCAAAGTGAAAAAGTGGAGAAGAAATAAAAAACAGACTCAATTTTTTTTTGTAAAATATCGCAATTCATACCTCACCCATAACATTTTCTTGATTCTTAGAATTGCGAAACATTGCTTGGAAAAATGGAGACCGTGCAGCTAGGATTGCCTTGTGGCATTTAAAAGAATTCCGACCAACATTGATTGTAAAATCCGTAAAATCTGAAGTGTCCAATAAATAGCCCAAATCACGACCTGAAATATTCGATGAATAATTCATTTATGAACTGAGATCTAAAAAAAGATGGAAATCAAAAAAAAAATTCACCAAGTGGAGAACAAACATCATCTATTTGAGCACCATGAATCTTTGGTACGGAATGGTTTCCTTCAGTTAGTGCATAAAGATCTTCATAAATTTCATCAGAATTGCTTTGTTCACCATAAACTGTCAATTCTACACCAACAGTTAGGATATCATCAGGTATGAATCGAGTGATGCGACTCTTCAAAAATATTATTGAATATTATAAATATTAAAAATATTAAATATTAAAAATATTATTACTAAAATATTTTATGGCTAAAAAATTTAAAAAAGTGCTTACTAAAAATAATTTGAAAAAATTTATCGAGCTTGCATTCCTACTTTCTTTCGTTCATATAGAATCCTTCGTAACTTTTATTTTTTAATTATAGCCAAAATAAACACTCCTCATCAAAAAACAAAAACCAACTCTCAATGTATCATTAGAGAAAAATTTTGACGCAGTCACAATACCACCACGATTGATGGTAACAATGTTTTTGTTTAAAGCACAGCCACGAGGTCCATCAGTAGCGTCGATGTAAAAATTCACACGAAAACGCAATTTTGATGACGGGCATCCTGAAACCAACAATATTTTGTTTCATTAGTGAAAAAAATTTTTTCAATAAAACTCCCAAAAAATTGAGAATAATAAGCCATCACTCGAAATTATTTTATTCCATTTATTTTATTTTTATTTTATTATTTTATTTTTATATTATTTTATTTTTTTTATTATTAATTTATTCCATTCATATAACCGAAACTAAACTACAACAGCAAACTGTAGAAGTGGAGAGGAATGTTTATTGTTAGTAATTTTAAAAGTACATATTGAAAAATTATCTCCCACAAAAATAAAAGAAATAAAAGAAATTATATACCGACCCCAAGTGATAAATCTAATCTAACAATTCAAAAATGCTGAACAAGTAAAACCGGTCCGCCGGTCAGTAGGTTTCTATTTTCAACTCTTATCATTATCGTTCTCAATGTTTTTTCCCTTTTGTCGTTATTGATTATTATGCTCGATTTCCTTATAGTCATAATTCATTATAAACTATAATCAAACTGAATAACAACAGGATCAATTTACTGTAATTATAAATTTGTTATGAATTTTCACAGAAATTCGTATTACTATTACCTTACTACTGTATTTTACTACTGATCATAAAATTAAAGTTTATTAATTACCCCATGACCATACATGGCCAAGAATGACCAAAACTTTACATGACCAGAAATAAAAATATAAAGCATAAAAATTCTCGATGAAAAGACAAAGAAAAAATGATAAGCGATCGAATTATAATCTTTGGCTATATTCGTGACAATTAGTATGTAACGAAGGAATCGCTGCAATGACCAGTCAAACAAACAAACAACAGCGCAATAGACAGGCCAATACAGGCTAATAGGAAAGTTATTAAATTCTTGAATTCTTGAATTGAGTTTTTAAAAGAATTAAGAATTATAAGAATTTGGTAGAAAAAGATGAAAATATGAAACTAAAATACCAAAAGAAAAACTAAAATATAAAAATAATTAAAACGATTTATAAGAAATGAAAAAGTTAATCAGGGTAATAAAAGAAGAAAAGTAGAGAAAAACTAACTGATGATCTGAAGGAATAGTGACAAATAACCACGACATTCTTCATCTTTACCACATGGAAACAATTTTAGTCGAAATCTATAATCACCATTGTATGATCCGAATGTGCTGCAAGAATTCAAATTTAAATTTGAATCAAAAAATAATATAAAAGGCAAAACAAATAAACAAAAATATATATAAATACATCCAGCTTGCACAGCAAGGATAAACGAATTGAATTTAAAAAAATTTGAACCTTTTCCGGTAAAATCTGCAAAATGTTAAAATTAATTCTAACCTAATGAATTCCATTTAAAAAATAAAAACTGATATTTTTTGGCATAGTAAAAAAAATAACGAATATCGGGCCATAAAGAGCATCGTGGGACATCGAGTCAAATATTGTTTCAGATGAAGCAACTGGGGATCTACCTGTACCTAAATTTCTCCTTGCTCCTTGGCGAAAAAATATCACACTAATGGATAGGTAATGGATAGGTGTAACAAATAAAATTAGAAATGGTATGCATTAGAATCAGAAATAATTCATTATGAACATAGTAATAGTAACCACAAAAACTAAATAACACAAGAGAAAACCAACTTTGATTCGATAAAATCGCCCGTAGGTAATAATTCTTGCTGCACTGTAAACTGATTTATTCGCCATTTATGAACAAAAAATGCAGTATCCATTGTTGTTGAAGAAGCTGTTAAATAAACACTTGCTGCAGATGTGTTATTGTTTGATGCAGTTGAACAATCGTCTATTGAACGCTGTGACGATAATTCGTTATTTGATTCCATTTCGCCTCAAAGAATTATTATTTTCTGTTTGCAAAGAAGACGAAATGAATGAAAAAAAATATTAAAAATATCGTAGACAAATGGCGAATGCAAAACAGCTACTTTTGGAGTTGACCCACTTTCACTCTTGTTAATTCTGGATGTGAATTGGCATTTTACCTCATCATTAATTACCTCATCAACAATTATAACGAATGAAGTAGATGACCAGACAAATTAAAACAAATAAGATAAAGAAACCAAAGAAAAAACAAAAAAAAACAAACAGCAAGAAGAAGATAATGGCTTAAGGAGAAAACACTACTCTGGCGGTACTATTGGATAGATATATAGCAGAGCAACATCAAATAAAAGGAAGATGAAAAAAATGAGAAGCTAGAGAAATGCCAGGAGAGAAATGTATGATAGAAAAAAAACTAAAGAAGTGGAAGATGAAAGCCATGGTCCCCGTGATAGTAGAAGCACCAGGGGATGTCTTCTGGTTCTTAAACCAGAAGCGACATCAGAGATCTTTATCCGGACCTCTGTCATCAGGAAGAGCTAGGGCGAAGAACCCTCGAACTCTTAGGCTTCTAGTAGAAAACTCAAGGTTAAGGATGATCCACAACCCACACCACGCAGAGATGAGGAAAATTTTTTTAACCTAAAACTTGCATGGAATGAATGTCTGCGGACGTATGGAACATTGCAACAATTTATTGGAATACAAAATAAAATGAATAAGAAAAGTAATTATCGAAGTAATAAATAATTCGACAAAAAGTCATTAAATCGTTCAACCTTCCCTAAAAATAATAATGAAATGATGATAATTCTTCTCTCGCTAATTTACCAGAATAAAATATTTCAATAACCCTAGGAATGACTTTTGCAGAACGCTTTTTCGCTTTATCATAGCACAAATAGTCTTAAGACTAGTGTCGTTTTAGGATAAATGAGTTATTACATATTAAAATACAGTAGAACCTATTTCCGTCAAGAGATCCCGCATTTGTAATGGAATGGTAGTGATAAAAATTACTGCCACATGTATTGGGTCCGACAAGTGATAAAAGAGGATTTCAAAGACTATAAACAAGCTAAAATAAATTTTGCTTTTATTTGATATTAAACAATAATATTCATATTTTTTGCTCAATCATATTTCCTTACAGCGAACTCTTTCCAGATTCCTCCTCCCCTCCCCTTCGCCTACAAACTATCCCACTATAAACTCCCACTATCACGCACCCTCTCCACACCCACACCTCCTTTCTAATTTCACAAACTGTTGGCAATCGAAAGGGATTATTTAGTAGTATTGGCTACGAGCCAACTTTAAAGAGCACGCGCGAATTCAAAACACACTTTTTCTGTGCATTGAAGGAAGCCTTGTCAAACCCAGAAAGAAGGACTGCATGGAAAAACTGGAATTTGTTATCTCAATCGCTCATATTCCTTGCTATTTTCTCTGCAGTCCTTCGAACCATGTCGCACTTGCTGGCTTCACACCTGCCCATTCCTCATAATTCTCCACGAGCATCCTTTTTAAAGAATTAGCCTTTAAATCAAATAGAGCCATGAGAGAACAGAGAGGTTTAAGGCTTTAAGGAAATGGGAACGGTTGTATTAAAGGGTGGGTGAAAGTTAAAGCGGTTGAAAAAGATTGAAAATAATCACAATGATAAAACATGAAGAGAGGGTGGTGCAATTAGTTTAGAAATATAGTCAAGGAAATAGGATTTCGACTTGGAACCTGGCAGAGAACTTCAATGTGTATGCCTAGACACCCTGGCTAAGACACAAGGTCTTTGGCTTACGCCTAGGGCATAAACCCAGACTTTAGGCTTGAGGTTATTAGCTTATATATTTATACGCTTAAGCTTGGTTCCGGACTTAGAGGTTTAGGTTTAAGCCTAAACCTAGGTTGGGGCTTTGCTTGGACTCTGGCTCTTTTTTAGTGATGATTTTCTATTAATAGTAATATATGCATGAGTAAAAAAAAATTTGTTTCCTCCAAAATCTGCCGAAATTCTTTCCAACCTCCATTGATCCTGGACATATGAAATCTGCTTATTTCATTTTCTCTATCTCCACTGTATCGTTTTACCCGTATCATTCGTAATATATATAATATCCTATGTAATCCCAGCGTCTTCCTTTCTCTCCATAATATCTCTCGAAATAACTCTTTCCTGAATGCCTCATCAAATCTTTCCGTACTCTTTTCCCGTAACCCACCAGTAACTTTACCACGACTTGTTAAACGCCGTTATAGTACCTTTATTAACAACTTTTATCCTTCAGAACCCTCGATAATCTCAATATTCTTTACATCCTATCACATCGCGTTCTTTTTATAAGAGCAGGTAGAAAAAAATTCTTCTCTTATATACCGTCCAAGCATTTTTAAAACCGCAATTTCTGTGAAATCATTACGTGTTTAAGAAATGTCAGAATATCTCAGATCCACTGCCATATAAAATAGCTAGGCGAAGGATGAAATCTGAGCATGGATGGTCACAACTTTTCAAAACCTCTATGAATTCGCCATGAAATCAATATCAAAAGTTCGCATCTGTGTTTGGATATAGTAATTATATGGTTCCACTAAAGTGGCTAAGAGAAGCATTGACACTGGAAAATATTAGGCGCTATCTGCCTTTGGGTATTCTTATCTAAGATACATCCTACGTATCTGCCAAGTAGTTAGAATCTCAAATTCACCATCTGCCCCTAGGAATATTGTATTGGCTTTGCCTGTTCTGGTTTAGCCATGTTTTTTGTCGTCCACCAAAAGAATTGACGCGCATCTCAGTGTTTGTTAAGCTATGTGATGGAAGCAAGACGTGGATTGAAAAGGGGATTTTCGCGTTGGGGGGTCTAGCGATATGCAGTTTGAGACAGTGGAAAAAAATCATTTCAGCTACTTTGAAGCTTGACATCGGGTCAGAAGACTTCGAAATCTCTATTGCAGTGGAGTTAGCCAAACCAACGATGGTGCGATTTATTAAAAAGAACAATCCATAGAATAGACTTTTTTCCCTAGTACATTGCTATTTATATGGGTAGGATGGCTAAATAGTGTAGAGATTAAGTGTAATAATTCCGGTTTCTGCTTCTTAAGTGGTATGGAGGAGTGAAATTAAAGTTAAACGCTTTCCTTGCATAACCAGGTTGCAAGTGGATAAGGCGGATGATTCCGAGTTCAGGATGATGATTATTAGCTGTTTATTCAGCCTCTCATATTTTTTCGATTTTGGGCTTTTAAACAGAAATTTTAAATTTGATTTTAAATTCGAAATCCAATAAAATGATAATGCAATATTTCACCCACAAAAATATATTTCGATAAAAAAAATAATGGAGTAATGGAGTTTTAAAAATTTAAAGTTAAAAAATAAATCGAAATTTATGATATGAATATGATATAATTTATGATATAAAATTTTTAAAAAAATGAAATTCAATAATAATAAATTTAAAATGCGTTATTCATCCCACACTCCAGCTTCTTCTTCCATTCGTCTTTTCATCGCATCCCTTTCCCTAAAATTTCAATTAATTATTATTAATTTTATAAATGATTCTTTGAAAAATGCTTCAATAATTTTAATAATATAATAATAATAGAAATAATAATAATAGTAATAGCAATAATAATATGTTACTATTCTTCTTCTAACACTTCTCACCATTAGTACTGGTTAGGCTGGCTCCGCTAGCTACAAGGATAAGACTGCAACCTGCTCGCTCCAACACCATCGCTAGTAGTGATAGAAGCCATTCCTTCTTCTCATTGTCCCATACGTTCACAAGTCCATATATCTCGGTTCCTCTATACGTTCAAAGTCTTTCTTGACTCTCTGTATCAGACGAGGTCTTGATTGGACTTTCTCGCTTTTAATGCCAACTGTCACAGGGTTTGGCAAATAGCGAAATATGTGTCAACTCTTGTGCTGGACGACGGAGAATATACCCCAACCAGCGAAGGCGACGCTCTGTGATAATATTATTAATAGTAATTACGTAACAGTGGGTAATTAAGCGAAGATGGATACAATCATGAGCGATTTTATCCGCTCGATGGACTCGTAAACGGACTCGTGAGTGGTCAAAGGCTGATAGCTTCTTAATATCTTCCATTCTCATCGCAGCCATATATAGCAAGATCGAGCGAATTGCAGCTATAAGGACGCAGAATTTCATTTTCATGGTGATTTCGCAGTTCCATAGATGTTTCATCAACCGGAAAAACACATTTCTAGCTGTCGTTATCCGAGTTTTCATAATTTCATCCTTTGACTGGCCATTTAAAGTCAAGCATTTCCTCAACCGGCAATGAACTGATAAAAATGGGTATTTTAAATGGGTATTTTAATGGGTCAGCATTTTGTATATATAAGATAATACTTTCGTTTATAAAATACTTTCGTTCAATTTACATGATTTTGAGTCCAATTTTCGCTGCGGTCATTGATACATTATTTGCATTATAACTCTCAGCAAAAAAAACAACATCATCAGCGTATTCAAGGCCTGTGATACATGCTCTGGACTGATCTGCACATTTCTTGAATGCCGACAAGCGGTGTCCATTATCCAGTCTATCCCACTGTTGAATATTGTAAGGGAAAGGACACAGCTATGACGGATACCAGTTCTTTCGAAGGAGATCTGTCAGTTTTCCATATATACAGACCTTCCAGGATGTGCTGATAAAATTGTCTTTATGAGCCGAATGATCTTCTCTGGGGCACGATTATATTCCATTACTTTTCAGAGTGTTGCTCTATCAATAATAATAGGTTATTTTTAATTTTTTTTTTAACGATCATTTTAAAATGAAGTGTATATTTATAAATAATTTATCTTTTTCGATAGCTTTCACAAATTCCCTAAAAGTAACAAGTAACCTTCTAGCAATTTTTGCCTCTTCAATAGCAATTTGTCGTTGTTGAATTTCTTCCCGTGGTACCCAAGTATTTTTATCCGGTATTCTTGGATCTTGCTCATCCTTCCATTCATCTATTAGATTTTCTATATTGTTTTCTAGTTGTTTTACCTTTTCTATATACATCGACATGGCTTCTTCTTTCGACAGACCTAAAATTTTTGTATTTTTTGGCGAATAATGTTAGGACAAAATCACTTTTTGGAATAGAAAAATTTTTTAAAAACGGAATAAAAAATTGGTTGAAATTGAAAAGCTGATTATATAGGGCTTGCACGATCTAAACGACCAAAACATATCAAAGCAAGAACTATTATTGCAACAATTTTTCTGGCCTGGAGCCGCAGACAATTCGCCTATAGTAATTTTTTATAGCAAATAGTGGCTACCGCTTTACTGTATATAAGTTTATATAGCTTATATATACATGAATATAGCTATATGCAACTTATGTGATCACGCAAGCAATTTACCCTTGCATTTGTTCCACGCACGCCATTTTCGATTTCCTTTTATCCAACCCCACATCCATGAACTTTCTTCCGGGTCAAAGTAATCCATTTATGAAATAATTAGTTCTTTTTTTTAAATTAATTGTTAAAAAGAAATTTCTCATCTAAAATAATTTAAAATAAGTATTTTATTTGACTTGTCGAAAGAATTTTCCGATTTTTCCCAGTTTATTTACACTTACCATACTTTTAAAAAGTATTTGTTTTGGTCAAAAGAACTAGAAAAATTCAAATGAATTTTAATGAATATTAAAAAGCGAAAACAAATGAAAATTGAATAATAATTTTCAGCAATTTTCTCGAAGAATTACAAAAGGCGGTTAAAGCTGATTATTTCTGGTTAGGCATATTCCACTTACTGTTGAGAAATTTTATGAGTGAAAAACTTTTGGTGGGCGATCACTTGACGATGGACGAATGGGTACCATCATCGCGATCTTTGAAAGGCAGTTTTATTCTAGTTAGAGGCAGGATCCTGGCTCTTGAGACGACAGGAACCCTTCGGCCAGCAGCCTGCCTCCGTCCAATGAACCGCATTGCCCGGCCATTACATTGGCAGTCGAATTAAACCTCATTCACTCACTCGTCTTACAGTAGTTACGCAGTGGTGGTATGGTACTTAAAAGACTTACTTGGTACATTAATATCGCCGACAATAGCTTGTTGGTATAAGCCGAATAAGTCATAATTGCACTCGTCGAATTTCACGAGTAACTCAAATTCATTTTTCAGTTCGCGCCGTTGGTCGAAACGCGCTCGGACTCTTTTGAAGATCTCCACCGATTCAATAAATTTCTGAACGAATCGTTGAAATTGTCGCAAAAAGAAAATTTAAGAAGAATAGTTGTTTGGAAAAAAATAATCCAACCAGTTCAATCATATTTGAATTCGTATAATTTCAGCAATCGGTCAAATCGGTTCGCCGCACAACCAAGTCAGTTATTGCAAATGCATTTGACTTGATTGGCTTCAGACTTCTTTAAATTGCCTCAAATTCTTTATTTATAACGAAACAACCAATGAACGAATCATCAACACAGCTCACATAAATCGGAAATGGCACATAGCGCAGTACCGGTTTCTTTCGCATGAAAACGAGCAAATCTTTCATTAAAGGCCAAATTTGGATAAAACTGACTGATAAAAATTTGCTTATATCTAAGGCTTTTCTTTAGTGAATAGATCAGTTCCTCGAGAATAAAATAACACAATAACCGATGAATATTTATGAATTATTTATTTATTAAATATTTATGAATATTAATCTTCAATAAAATTCATTTTAAAATTTCTTTGCCTTGTTGACGATTGCAATTGATCAGATAATAATGAAAATGAAGAGCGTATGCACCAGGTGGAAAAAAGGAGATATTACGATTAATGAAAATATTTACAAAAAAGAATAACGAAAACAAATTATCATGCGAACTTCAGTAATATACAAGCAAAAACAAAATCATCATTAAATCATCTATCTGCTCAAAATTTGTTACATAGCCAACTTATTGCAGTGACCTCAATTTACAATAATTTATAAAATTTAAGAAACGCCAGCACGATACAGATTTATGTAATATGCTGTAAATAGCCCTTTCATCTATCATTCATCATTACCATTATTTATATGGAAATATCGATAAAAAAAGCATTACGAAGAATACAATCAAAGAAATAGAGCAATCCAAATTATATCAAATTTTTATAATTCGGAGAGCAAAATTGATAATGATTTTAAAGCACTTGAAAGAGTTAATTTTAGAATAGAGATAAATTTAGAGCACCTTTCCAGGGCTCACTAGACATTTGTCCATGAATCGCCTACGAGAAAAACACATCCACCACTGAAAAACAAAATGCCATCTGATGCATAAAGCTTATAGAATAGAAGGAAAATGCAGGAAAATTTGAAAATTTTAACTTGGGGAATATATTAAAAATGTCAAAAAAATGTATTAAGATAAATAACCTTGTCAGGCTTTTCATTTACGGAATCAAAAGCACGATCACACAAACGTACACCTAATTCCTGCCGAATCTGTTGTAAATAACTTCGCATTAAATCTGTAAAATATAATCTATATCATCTATATAATCTATATCATCAAATTTATTATCGATATTAAGGTACTCAAAATATTAGACCTAAGACTAAGAGAAAATATCAGTGGCATATGGCCAAAAGGATTGATTCTATTGCCATTTAAAGTATTACAATTCAGTTTTTACACTTTAATAAAAGTAAGCCTTAAAAAATATAACAGGGTGGTGGGAGAGAGCCATAAATGACTCTCTGACATAACTAATTCATCTTACGGATGGTCCAGCGAATCTAACCAGAAATGGTAAATGCTGCACAAAATAATAACATTCAAATACAACACTCTTTAAACGAAGGTGGAAAGAAAAAAAAAATCACCTTCTTCGTTCTTATTGGCTGGTGCTTTATACATGCTATTAAGCGGGAAATCAGCTTCGCCTGGAATCGGAAGACTATGATTCAATGCAAGGGCCGCTAGATCTTTAAGTCCTTGGCTCCTGTTTGAGCTCTAAAATGTCATCATAAGCCAGTAGATAATTAATGCAATGATGCAAATAGTTTTCCTTTCGAAGTATTAAAATGGCAATTAACGAAAACCATCAAAATTTAAAATCAACGACATGGAACTGATAAAATATTATCGCTTAATAAGTAATATCTCCATCAATTGATATCACAGGACTCACCAATCAAGCAAACCAAAATGACCTTACAATAATTGGCCTCCACCGCTTTTATAGTTTACCAGCTCCGTGGTTTCGGTTAACATAATTTCTTTTATTCCTTCGAAATTTACCATTATAAAAAAACTAACTTTTTGTAGTTTTCGAAGGCATTCAGATATATATAAAGTCAAATATATTAAAGTTCGATCAGCTGGACCTCTAATTTCAAATTCACGAAAAAAAATATTTGGTTTAAAATAAAGCAATGCTTCATCAATTATATCTTCACCACTGTCTAAAAAAAAATGTAAAATAAGCGAAATGAATTGAAAGGAATTTTAAAGCTCATTACTTTCAGCTTTCATCATATTGAAAAATGAAATTTCCTACAAAGTGGAATTAGGCTTTCCAATTAAAATTAATTTTTGCAGAAAATCTAATTAATAATTTAATAATATTAAATTAATACCAACCAAAAATAGCGCTAATATCAACACACATTTTTCATGTGCATTGAAAATAGATCATTAAAGCTAACAAAAAAAAACCTAATCGCGGTGCAGGTCCTTTGAAATTAGTTCGTATCGGCAACACGGCCATATTACCAACCAATAATGGTACATCCGAAAATTTCGAGTGATATGCCTTAATTTAATTATTTGAATACAATTTAAACTGCACATTAACATAGAAATAAAAAATCGTAATAAGATAAACTTACTGGCATCTTCGTCCAGACCTCAGATTGCAAATTCTGAAAAGCTTTCTTAAATTAATTAAAATATTTAAATTTCGCCTGGAAATTTTAAAATTAATTTAAAAAATTAATTTCCAGGCGAATCTCACGCTTCAACAATTTTAGATACTTTTTTATCGTTTAGAAACTCGACAAATAAAACAAGAAAATGCTCTATCTTTTTATTAAAAACATACTTTAAAACAATAACAATAAAAACAAAAGATACTGAAATACAAATTTCAATTTCAATTTGCAAGAAATCTCAATAATATTACAATTATAACCAAAATAAGAAACATGTCCATAACAACAATTTATTTATTTATTTATTTATTTAACAATTTATTTTACGGATGACTGTTCAAGAAATGATTGTTTAGTGATATTTATATGTTCGATAGAACAAATTGTCAGCATAGATATCCATTTTTCGAGTTCTTTAAAGTTATTTGCAGCAAATGTGAAGTTGCGCCCAGTTCTAAAAAATTCATGAATTAATGTTTTCATAATTATAATCTTAACAATAATTTAGGATTGGGGATTTAGGATTGCGGTAAAAGAAGGATGATCGATTAATGTTCCGACCGAATTCCAATCCTATGAATGAAAAATCTAAACCTACCAATAAAACTTAAATAAAGGTAGTAATAGAGGTCTGCCGAAGAGACAGAGGTGATCAAGTAATACGATTGTTTCAATATTTACAACGCCAGAAGTTCAATTCTCTAATCCTAACAACATCCCTAAATGATTTCTTGGTAATTCTTGGTAAACATTAGAGCCACTGCTATTTGCCAATAGGCAAATGAGTTCATTTAACTAGAAATATCGACTTCTAATCACCTATTAATTAACGGAAACTAGCTTATAGCATTTCTTGTGCCCAAATAACATAATTTGGCGAAGAGGACTCATTTCTTGAGTCCAGTCATAGCGTCAATGACGTGTGACACTGAGAAGGAAGAATGAATACTAAATAATGAACAGATTATTTGAAAGTCCATTTCTCCTAGCCTATTGTGATTTTCACAAAAAAGAAAAATATGAAACTAGCTATATTAAACTGAAGTAGAAATTTAAAGATAGTCGTAAAGGAGTATTTCAATAAATAATAAAACAATTATTATCGATAAATAATTTGAAAATATTTAGAAATGAACAAACGTCTTAAATTTAATTTGAAATGAATATGGGCGACCAGTGAGATTATCATCGCATAATTCCATATAACAGTCCTCCATAATAAGTAAAATAAATGGTGCTTCGTTTTTTATATTTTCATTTCGATTGAAAAAAAAAAGTAAATTTGCAATTAATATCGCATAAGATTGTCGCCATCGATCTTCCTGAATTTCCATTTTAAAAAAAGACAAAAATCAATATCCACTGAAAGTGACAGAAATATTGTAAAAATTCTCAGATAAAATTAAAAAAGAAAAAAAATAAAACAATATTACACCGAAATGAACAAAGCACAGATAAACAAGGATTCTTCGCAGGTAAAGATGTATTTAATAGTAAAGTTTAAAAATATTTCTTAAAAAATCCCAAATGACTTTGAATATAAAAGTATAAAATTTTAATTTGTCGGAAATTTTCGCAAATCTAAATTTTTTGAAAAATCCGCAAACCCCGTCAGAGAAAAGGAACTAACCTGTAATATGTATAAGACCCCAGCGAACTTCTTCTCGTACTCATGATCGTAACATAAATCAGATACTGACCTCCCATTTGCCAACATTCAAATCTACACCTTCTCAGACTGCAAAAATCAAGTAACAAATAAAACTTACAGTATTCTCAGTTTCGTTTTAATAATTATGAATGAAGACTTAGAAGCTAAATATTAACCGAACTTTCACAAAAAATTTGGAAAAAGCAGTAATTTTTTAAAAATACGAGTGGAATGAGCAAAATTAATAATCTATTTATTATGAACCTTGTCTGAACTTAGTGAATCCTGGAAAAGCCGAAGATTTATCGAATTTTTTAGTGAAATCAATAACAATGAAATATGAGAGCGGTTTTCCTATTGATTTCTTCTCTATTTTCTTATAATTTTATTTATTTTTCATACTAAAAACAAAAATTATGACGAATTATTAATAATTCTATTAATAGTGTTAATTCAAATACCAATGAAATTAACTGAAATAAAATATTCCAAAATATTTCATTATTATTTAGTTTCGGTTTTATAATATTTGTACGCGTAAATTTTGCATTGAATTGGTTCGCCGGAAAAAAAAATTCGATAAGAATTTGAAAAAAGAAAAAAAATGGCAATAAATAAGAATAATGAAGTGTTAGCAAAGGGTGAAAACAAAGGGCGACATTTAAGAAGGCGAATTAATTACCTGAAAATCGCGTAAATCGCGATTATCCTTTATTTTTTTTAAGATTTTTATTATTATTTTATTACTGTTATTATTATTTATTATTATTGATTATTGAAACGGTTTTACAAAATTGGTTAATGCGCAGTTTAAATATGTCGGCTTTTTTTAGTGAAAAAACGTAATTTTTACTTTGATCGACTCGATTTGGGTATTTATTTATTAATGAGGGACGAGGGACCACTTCACCATAGAATCACTTGGGAAAATAAGAAAAGAAGTATTTTACTTGTCGGTTCATCTGCGTAAGCATGCGCGGTTTTTCTTTTCCGTTTTGTACTGTTAATGAATGTTTCATAAAATCTGTTTGATATTTATGAATATTTGAGCAGATTTTACAAGCTGAAATAAAAATTTGTGAAAATTTTTCAACAAAAGAGAGATTTTTAGAGATTCAAAGAAAAATTGAAAATTGAAAGTCTTTCGAGATTTATTTGCTTTTTAATAAATTTTATGACAAATTTCAACTCTTTTGGTATCGAGAAAAACCTTTAATTTTTTAAAATCTCTGGAAGAATGAAGGTTATTAACCTCGGTTATTTGTGAGTTAACCTCGGTTGATTTTCTAATGATATAACAATAATAAAATGTGCAAGGATTAGTGATAACAACTATGATAACGATAATAATTACAGTTAATAAAGATTAATTATGGCAATAATTGTCATTGATATTCAAAATTTTTTCTTTAAAACGATAAAGAAATGATTTGAACTAGTTTTTGCAATTTTCATCATTCGATTCCACTGTTCAATCAATTTTAACAAATAAAAATTTCTTTTGAATTTAAATGACCCAAATCAACGAATCGACGATTAACAAATAATTTCGAAACGAATGAATCTTTCTTCAAATGCATTTCACATCATTTTTATTAATTCTTATTTTTTTAAAAATTTTATTAATTCGTTGGTAACCTTCGAACCTTTCGCTGTTGCCTAGCATTGGCCATTGGCGTAAGACAAACGCTGACTTGGGCCAGAAAGTCACGGAAGAATAGCGTAGAAGTATCAGCTGCACTTCTTAATGGCAGATTCATCAATGAAGGATTCTCTCCAAATTGACTCATTTATTATCTCAGATAATGGTTTGAATAATTTATTCATGTTTTGCAAAAGTTATTTCTGAATTTGTAGACTTTTCTGTTTCTATAAAACTCTATATTTTCTATAAACTTCTGTGAAGCTGATAATGATAACGATTAATGAAGACGTCGCCATAGAGGATCTCAGCAGTTTTTCCCTTTTTCTCCTCTTCTACCTTTGCGTTTAATCAGTCGTTTTATCGTGAGGCTCGCTGCGATTTTTGCATCAGCAACCATCTTTGCATCAGTCTTACATCTAACCAATACAGTCGGCCACAACTATCCAAAAAATGCACAAATACCCCGAAAAAAAGACGTATACTGTATGGCACAATAACTTTCGCCAATTAAAATACAAAAGTTTTAATGTTTTAAGAAATAAAATTTAGTTAGCCCATTATTCCATTAAATTGAAACATATAAAGGTCATCGAATTTTCGAAGAAAATTCAGGAGAAAGCAAAAAATCTCCATTTTCCTAAAAATTTCAGATGGAAACTCTTTATTTAGTTCAAACAAAAATCAAATGATATTCGAACATTTATCTTTCTTTCTAAGTGATAATTTCCATAACTTTTATTGGATTTACTTTATTTTAAATTCAATAAATAAAATATTGGAACTGAAACATTGTATTGTTATTACGCGGACATTCAATATTTTTTTCATCGAATCATTGCGATTTTCAATATTTTATTTATTAATAACTATTTCGCCAATATTTGCATTGCCCTGCTCGTATAAGGTTTTTTTTATTGTTATGCAAATTTTTTATTTAATTTCGCTTAGCACTCGCGCATTTCTCATTTGGCTAACTGCAATCGCAGCTAGAAAACTTGTTAGAAGACCTTTGCTGCAGAGTTATTTATATAAGTTATAAAGTTCAGATTAGTCTTTGGTACCACAGGTTTTCTTTCGGTCACTCAGTGTTGCCTTACACCGAGTGATAGGGCTCGAAACTACTAAAGCCTCAATAGTATTATTTTCATTTTGGTATAAAATAATATGAAAATGGAAAATAAAACTTTTCTTTCGAATATATTTTCATTATTTTAAAATAAATTTGTTTTAGGAAATTTTAATCTCTTATTTAATTTTAATAAATTTAGGTTCCTAATATTAATGATCTCGTGTTTAATGTACCAACTGGTGATATTGATAATGATAATGATAACAGGAATATTAATTTAATGGATGTGAATGTACGAAATGAACGCGCAATTAACGAAATCCGATATCAACCATTACGAATATATTTACATTATGATAATTATAGTATTAATAAGTGAATTTTTCGAAGCATTTAATTCAAATCGAAATTTTTTTCTTGCGAGAAGATAAAAGCGAAAATGCTATTTTTGGAATTGGGTGCCGTTTCCACTCTTCTTCGGCTCTATCTACGGGATTTTTATGTGTATTATCCTTCAATGAGCTTTTGCCAAAACTCAAAAACTTCTTCTTTTCGTGATCCATCGACTTCTCTCCAGCTTATTTTCTGCTTTCTTTTTATGAGTACCATGGTTATAATATATTTGAATCCTCTTTGCTGATTCGCTACTCGTCATGCCACTAAATTCGATGCACCTCTCTGAACTGATGAGAACTGCCTTATCAACTTCTTTTTCACTGGTTCTTTTAATTATTAGGCAAATTGCGAATCTATTATAGCATTTTTTCTTTCGCTTTTCTGCGACATTGATAAAATTCGAGGGATAGAGTCTGTATAAATCTAATTTTTCTGGCAGTATAACAGAACGCACTATCCCTGGTACACTTTATTGAGTACCAGTCTGATGCATCCTTTCATCAGAAGTTCAGTTGGAGAGAGAATTAGCGGTAGCCATTTATATTCACTTTCATACTACTGCACCAGAGATTCAGTCAGCAATATCTCAAATGGTGGCACAACTACACATCCTATTCAGAATTTATGCACTACTTCAATTAACATTTTTGATTTTAAAGTTGAAATTTCAGATTATCAACTGAAATACAATTATTTGTTAAAGTTAGTCATTTTTCACTTTAATATGCGTGCAACATTTCATTTCAATTATTTTAATATAAAAATAATATGGAGTGGTCGGGTTGCCAGTATCATCAGTATTTTTAGTATTTAAATATCAGAAATAGTATTTTTGAAAGAGAGATTTACTACTGTCGGGAGTGGAACCGCAGGGAGGAAGAGAGAGCAACGACAACCCAACAGGCCATTTTACCTATTTTGCATCAGAAATAACAAAAGAGGTCAAAGAAAGATATCTATTAGGCAATGGTAAAAATTTCTTCACTTTTTTTTCATAATTTTTGCAAATTTTACCATATCAAATGCTAGCGATTATTCAGAAATCTCTCCTCCCAGAAGCGGTGGGTTTTTGGGAACACTCGCTCACAGTCGATCGAATAAAAGCTCCTATACGTTTGACAAGGTTTGCAGTCACCAGCAGCTTTCTTGTTTAAATTAATGCTTGACTTTTAGAAAAATTGTTTGTGTTATTTATTAAAAATTCTTTAAATTATGAAAATTATATTATAATTGCAAATTAAATTATTTTAAGTTTTTTCAATATAATTCTATAATTGCAGTTTTTAAAATTTGAATTTTGATTTGTTTTATTTCGAATTTACAGGAAATGTTTGTCAAATCATTATTACATTCGTGCTGATGAAGGATTTCAAGCATGCATATTAGGTTGTAGAGAGGTTACAAACTGTGGTGAAGTGATTATACCTGATCAACATTTATTTGTTTGTTTCTTTATTTATTTTTCAGCCAATTTAGTTTAATTTAATTAAAATATTCGAGCACGGAAAAGCGATGGATGAAGCAAATTTATGAACTATTCTTCTGAATTCATCCAGAGTCATAATATATTTTATATTTCAATTTATGACCAACGAAATTTTATTTGCACTTTTCACCATTTCTAGTTCGGACTGCTAGAGTGCGGCATTTTTGCCAGAGAGTCACTTTGTCACTCTCCTATAAGATACAGATGGTTCTAAAGCAGCCACCTGCATTTTCATTTCTAATGACAAATCTGTTTTTGTCAGAGAACATGAACAGAACTAATGCTTCTTATCCCATGCCAAAGTAATATTCGATTCTTAATTTTATGACATCCTTAATTTATTTTTTTAAACGCATATACAGTATTTTTTTAGCAATGCAAATATTGCACATCAAGAAACGCTGATAGCTGTCATGTTTCTGGACCTGAAGATGGACCCGGTGTACCAAATAGCGATTTTCTTCTTTATGTTTCTGCGGTATTTTCGGAACGCTGTAAAAATGTCGATACAGTTGCATACGCTGCTCACTGTCAGCAAGAATCGACACTTGACAGGTGAAATTTCCACATTTATATTAATATTTTAGGCTAAAATCCTTTTTACCATAGTGTTTCATTTTCTCACTTTTAGTAGATTTTTCTAGTAGATTTTTCTTAATATTTCGCTATTGTGATATTCATGGATAACATAAATAAAGAACGAAGCAATTTTTTATATGATACTTAAAATCTTAAGGCCAATAGCTGGACATGTAAATCTATGTCCAGATGCATTATCTACACAAGTTCATGATCGTGAAATATTAATATCAACAGTAAAACACGAAATACTTCATGCTCTCGGATTTTCTGCCGGTCTTTACGCTTTTTTTCGCGACCAAAATGGATATCCGCGAACAAAAAGGTTTTTTTACTTTGACTCGTCATGATTTCGAAGTTGGATTTAAAATAATGGAACTTCTAGGATGAATTTCAGCTGAAAGGAAATATCGATAAAAATTCTAATTCTAACAAAATTTGTTTTCATTATCAAACTTAACTAACAAACTTAACTTTATCAAACTAAGCATACTGAAAAAATAGAAGCAATCTTACGAGCATTAGAGATTCGATTCTTTGGCCATGACGGGAGTAAAGAATCCGGGTGGTGCTGGCTACCCATCTCTCATCAAGTTATTTCCTCGCAAAAATTTCTAGTCAACGGTCTGAAGATAATTTACTTCGTTTTTTCGCATTTCTTATTGTATTATTTTCTTATTTTATCGATATATTCTTTTGCCCATATTTTATTTTCTCACCAAAAAATTATTGGCCAAGTATTTCGCAAATACTCCAAAAGATAATACTTTCCTTTAAGCAGTGAAAAAAAGGAAAATAACTGAAGGTTGTGTTTGCTTCTATTGAAATCAAGTATCATGGGTTTGGTTCGTGTTCTTGTCGGTAATGGATATATTATTAAATGTGAAATCTGTGCTCGGGACCGCTCTTACTTCCATCTCCAAATTACTGGCCAATAAGAGGTCTCATCCAGGGTCATATGTTCATAGAATGAACAATTAATGGAACCAGCCAAACAGAAGTGGTGTTTAAAAGAATAAAGAATGAGTGAGATCTTCGAACAGGCTAGTTTTATCTCAAAGCAAATATTTTTCTTCAAACGATAAATATAATATATTTTTGCCAGAAATCGCTACAATAAACCATTGTGGCTGAATCGGGAAAAAGGTTATTATGAATGGGACGAAAACACTATCAAAACGATTATAAGGAATGATTGGTGGACGTCCGATGGCTATGTAATTTATGTTTATTTTTTCGTATTTTGGTTATCTTGTAAAATGAAATGTGATGGTGAGCGATGACGCGGAAACCAATGCATTTCTGAAGTTTTTTGGCTTTAGAAGAAAATCAAATCTTTTCTGCGATTTTTCTTATTGTAAAACAGATGAAAACATTTTTGAGATTTTCATAGCTTTTTTTCTCCTTCGGGATTTTGATTTTCGAGATTTAGACAATTCATTTAAAATATATTAAATAATTTAAAAAGTTAAGGTACCTCATGCAGTCCAAATGGTGGTGACACCTAGAGTTCAGGATGAAGTTCGGAAACATTTTGGTTGTGGTGAACTTGAAGGTGCTGAACTTGAGAATCAAGGCGGTGAAGGAACAGCATTAACGCACTGGGAAAAACGCTTATTTGAGGTGAATTTTTATTCAATAGAATATTTAAATATTTTTGGCCAAGAAGAGTTTATATTTGCATCAATTGAACCTAAGTCTTAGAAATTTAATCTTACTAATAAGATAAAGATAAAGATAATTATAATTGATATAATTTAAAGAATGAAGCAATGACTGGTACTCACACTCAAAACCCTGTTTATTCAAGGCTTACTCTAGCCTTGCTTGAAGACAGTGGATGGTATCGTCCTAACTACAGGTTTTTATCACATAATTAACTTTTTTAATAATAGAATTGAATAACTGCAGTATGCGTCGTTAAAATTCCAGATCTTTTTTTTAGTATGGCCGAAAATCTTCACTGGGGCCAAGGTTTAGGTTGTGGCTTTGCTCAAAAAAGCTGTGCTGAATGGATTAAAAAACGACGAAATAAGTTGATCATTCTTTTTATTATTTTTCATTTTATTTATTTATATTGCATTACTTTTTCTCCAAATGGCACTCAAAATTTGTAGTTTGGCTGGTTCCTTTAGAATGATTGAAAGCCTTTGCCAAGGATTGACGGGTCACAATTTGCATCAAATTTCATTTTAACAGTAAGATTGAATTTTTGATGGCCTGGCTTTGAAACAGCATGCCACTCTACTTTATATGGCTTGTTACGTGTAATTAATTTATATTAATCCATCTCATTTTTCCACAGTCAGTTTTCAAAAATACTTCTGGAGATGGTGAATATGTAATTATTATAGAGGATTATCAATATTACCATTTTGTGATGAAATTAAGCATGATGGTTACAAGTCATTAGCAATAACAAGGTGCACAACTCAACGGGATTCGCTAGCTTTATGCAATTTGGTTTGTTCTTTACTGATTAGAAAATTATTTAAAAATTTATAGAGCAGCTTGTTAGCTATACGACTATACGACTATATTCAGCTAATTCAGCTATACAAATGTTAAATTAAATAAAAACTTTTATTGAAATCTCTCAGCCTTAAATAAATAACTAGAGGACTGATAGATAGGGGATAGCCATATACAATTACCATAATTGAACATAGCATTATATTACCTTATATAGCAAAAATATTCCTGGTAACCCTTATCTTATAAAGTGCAATTTCTTATTTTTAATTTATTTTTAATCTAGTTTTATGAACAAATCAACATAACGAAATATATAATTTAAGGATAAAACTATACTTTTTTTTTCTGCAATTGTATTTGGTTATATTTGGCTTAGTTTTGTACATCCTATTTTTGAGTATATTTTTCGAAAATATTTTTGAATAATAAAAAATTCATATTTAAGGTTCCTTATCGTCATGCATTGCCATTTGAATATCGAAACTTTGACGCATTATCAGGAGTAAGTAATGAAAGTCTAAAATATTATGGTGGATCAGTGGAACTTGCTGATTTTTGCCCCTATAACCAGGTATATTCGTCTTATATTGTCCTTCCATCCTATAATTCGCTAGTTCCACATTCGTTTTTATATTAAACATATTCTATATATACATAAAGTTATTCTATATATACATAAGTTATTCTATATATGAAGCTGGCTCGTCGCATAAATAGAAAAAGTGGAAAAAAAGAGAAATTTTTTATGATTGCTCACAACAGAAAGGTAGTAAATTCGAATAAAAAAGGGATAATTCGTGTAAAAAAGTACTTAAAATACTTTTAAAATACTTTTTAAAAAAAGTATTAAAAATTTTAAAATTATGACAACTATCAAAGGATTATGACGAATGAGCATAGTAGGCTTTGCGTATTTGCAGAATATATTAAGATTTATAAGAATGGAATTGATGGACTTTAAGGTAGTATTTTAGTGAATTGTAGTAAAGTAGCATGACGGAGCGTTAATGGAAAAAAACCGGGAAAATTTAAGATTTGAGGAGACTTTTAAGAATATATGATAGGTTCAGTATAATGAACAGCCAAAAGCGGATGTAGCAACGAATATACCAATATAGCATAGGGGAGGCTTTTTTTGTTTGCATCTATTTCTTATAATAAATACTTTCATAATTTTTAGTAGTTTTTTTGTCAAATAGGAATTTGAATGGAAAATGTTAAATTCAAGTGAGCGACGTGATAGCCGATGTGAATTAAAAGGAAATCTTGCATCAGAAGAAATGAATTCGATTCTTGAAGTTTATGGCGACAATTCGAAATGTTTTGATTTGGCAACAACTTGGACAGAAAGAAAATGTGGTCGAATACGAACATTTCTACAGTATATGGCTGGATGTTATCAAGTAATGAGATATGAGATCTTTTATACAAATAGCTTGAGACCAAAAAACTTCTTGTTGTTGCCAAGAAGTTTAGACTATTTCGGCCCGATTTTGTTGATTGAGCTTCATTCTGATGAAGTATTTATGTGATTTGAATTATAGTATATTTGCATGGATGGTTTATTATATTTGGGAATATACAATGAAACCAAAATATATCCGTGTTACCATGCTGGCCAATTCATCTATGTCAAAAAGGTTATTTCACAGTATATCGAATGTGCAGACGGACTTTTTCAAATACGTTGTTTCCCACAAACACACTGAGTTTAGAGGATTTTGGAGACTTCTGTGTCTGAAATAAGCATATATTTATGTACATATTTATGTACAAAATAAGAAAGATTGAGAATTCGGAATTTTTTTTGAAGAGAAGCAATAATAATTAAAATAGATGATGGACAAATGAAATCGGTTATCAAATCTATTATACATTTACCTTATACATTTTTTAAGATTGTGAGTGGATGGCTACGCGAGGGAACAATTATTTGCCCGGACTGTAATGATTTTTGTCACTCGCAATCGTTTTCCGCTAACTCCACATTCGGTTGTCACCATACCATTAAAAAAACGTCTGACTATGTAGGTGACAAACCACTTGATGAACCGTGCAATGCGGCGATTTCACGAGTAGCCCTTTCTGTGCTATTTTCGCTTTTAGTCTTTCTGATACAATTCCGGTGATATGCAAAGGTTGTATGACCACAAATGCACAAGCAACACCCAGGCTCATCATTTTCACTTGTTTTTTCTTTTTAAGCGATAGAGAAATGGTTAGACTTGTATAGTGTTCCCTTCTTTTTTAATTCCTTGTAATCTCAACTGTGATTAATTTTGGCGGTAAAATGTGGATAACGCAATGTGCCCAAAAAATAGTTTTATCTAAATTTATCGAAATACTTATCGAAATCGAAAATTTATCGAAAAATCAAAAAATCACAGAAACAATTCTGGAACGAACACAAGCAAAAAATCAACAATTATCAAAATAATTGCGCGTATTTGAATGTTTTGATTTATGGATAAAATCAAATTATAACAAATATGAATAACTCGCCATAACAAAAATAAATGATTTCAACTAAAATATCAATTTATTTTGGAGTTTTTATCGGATATCGCGGAATGCATTTCACTAACCGAAATGTTTGTAAAAATTTTATTACGACATACACGATCGGAAAATTCATTAATTTTAGCATGCATAACCACCAAAACCTGCAAAATGCTTTAATTAATTGCTTTATTTAAGCCTTTATAATTATATATTACATAAAAATCATATTATGTAAAAAAATTTTTTTATATTATTATATTACTTAGAAAAAAATCACAGTGAAAAAGATTTGGAATTCGAAACCTCATCGCTTAATTCGTTCAAATTATTCATGTTCTGGACATTTTTATCGAACTCCACCAACGAATTCTTCACCGAATTAATGTTGTTTAGTAAATTTTCATTCAATATCTAAAATATATTACTGTAATCATAGAAAGATTAAAAAAACAAAAGTGAAGAGAAAACACTGAATCAAACCAACAAACGCAATATCACATTTATAAAGAAATTTAAAAAAATGGTATAATATATTCAAGATGTGTTTACCATGGATACCAACCTCTTCATTATTTTGCACTAAAAAGTCCAATTTCTCGATTAATGAACTAGATAACTGGCAGATAATACTTAAAAGAATTTCTTCAGGCTTTTGATGTAACGTTTTAGCTTCCTTCTCCACGAACGCTTTTAAATTAGCAACAGATTCCTGCATATTTCCCAATTTTCCATCAAACCATGACTGTTGTGCACGAATAGTTTTTACCTTAAAGAAGCACTACGCTTCTAAATCAAAACAACACTTAAAAGAGAATTAAACAAACAAAACAGGGAACAAACAAAACTAAAAATATTAACCAGTGTAAAAGAATTATCAAGATACTGGACAATATCTTCAATATGTTTTTGTACCGCATCACTCATCCGCAACAAATTGGTTTTCTTATCAACAACTGCACTGAACATCTGCTTGCCAATGCGTCTGAGACGATCCGAAACGGTAGAATCAACCGGGTCGACTTCAGTATTTAATCCCAGAAAGTGGTCGACTACTCCACTAATTATATCGACAAAAATGTGTAAATGTCTATTTTCATTTAAACATGGAGGTAGATCCTATAAAAAAGTTGTTTCCAAAAACTAATATTAAATTTCAGTGGTGAATATTTCATTTGAACTTTATCCACAAAATTTTGTCAAAAAATTATAAAAATTACGTTAAAAAATTTGTCTGCCAAATCTTCTCCAAATCCTGTTATCTTTGTTCTTGCAGTCTGTAACAACCAATAATTTTCAAAATAATTTCCAAAATGGCTAGGTAAAATGGACTACGATAATTAAAAATTTTTAAATTCAAAAAATATGTTTTTAAAACTCCGTGAACTCAAAAATACCAATAAACTAAAGCCTTACTTTCAGTTCAGAGGCTTTATAAATAAATAAGTTCAATAAAAATTTTTCCCATGGAGCAAAAGAATGAACCTGTATAGAAGCACAAATGTTTTGCGTGCCAATTTTAGTTGAAAGAAAGACCTTCAATGACCAATCAACGATGGTCAAAAATAAAGCCAACCAAAGTTGTATTCCAACAATCGACAAACCAATGACAATAGTAAAAATAGTTACAGCCATCCATCCAACCATCTTTCCAAATAATTTAAAAGCTAAAAACTAAATAAAACTAAATTGAAAACATAATACAATAATATCACAGGTCTTGTAATTCAAATACAGCGAAATCCATCAAAGTTTAGATTTTGTACGTGATTTGTTCCTGTTTATCAATCTATGTTCATCTTTCTGTTCTTTAATGAGTTATTTTCGTTACATTACACAAGGATAGAGATAAACAAATATTTTATCAGAAAAACAAAAAGAGATAAATGCACGACAAATATAACCTCTAACATATTTCTCAGCAGCAAACACAGCGCAGTTTAACAAAACGTTGCTGCTAAATTCGTTATATAGTTTGATCATCTGCAATTCGACAAAAAATTTCGTAACCATACAACTGCATAAAAAAGTGTAATACTACGAAAATTCACAAAATGAATGATCAAAATGGATAAATACTGATAAATGGATAAATACTTATTTTTTATAGTCCATTTACACTAGAATAATATGTCAGACCTAGATTAGAACGAAAGTAATTTCGAAGATTTGAAATAAATCAATAAACCTGTTTATAAAATTCGCTTGATGCAAAATTTCTATGGAAGTTTTGAATAAAATAAATGACATTAAAACCATCACCATCGCTCTCCATGAAAGCTGATAAATTCAGTGATACTAGAAAAGAATATTCTAATTATAATGATTAATAAAAATTAGTGGTAATAATTAACAAGTAATATTAATAACATTAACTACAAAAATAAATAATAATACAAAGAGAATAATACAAATAATAAATAATAATAATAATAACAATAAATAACAATAAAAATATAAAGAGAAACCCTCGAATATCTAAAAATTCTTATAAAAAAATTTTTGGAAATTTAATCTTAGATAATGCATACTATATTTTAAAATATATGGTGGTTTTTAAATGGAAAGCCATATTGTTTCATAATTTTTCTCATAACTCAACATAATTTAAAACATAATTCAAAATAAAAATTTAAAGTCGCATTCCAACCACAAATCTCTAATGGTACTAATCCGTAATAATTTGCCAAACATTCAAACAAAGGCCGGATAGCCGAGTGGGAACGGATAATGTTCAGAGACGATTTGCTTACTGCCCACGATAACAATGAAATTTATTTAAATTTAAATTAAAAATTTATTTAAAAATTTCATTAAAAATTTAAAAATTTATCATTAAAAATTTATTTAAATCAAGTGAACTCCCTCGCAAAAATTTCTCACTGTGCCAAAAGCCAACTAGACACATTTTAAAAAACACCTAAACAGAAGTAATAACATAACTTACGTTGGCAATCACATAACTTACGTTCAGGACAAATGTATTTTGCAAAAAAATGTTGGGTGAAACAAGGTTTGGAATTAGGTGATAACATTATAACAGAAATCCTAATATAAGAGTTTTTTTGCGCTATGGACGAGTTGAAAACTGAAGAAGCCCACCTTCTCCTAGACGTTTTTCAATACATAAAGCACATTACAAATGAAGAGACGGAAAAAACAAGGATAATTGAAGACAACAAAAGGAAATACGAAAAAAACGTGCAATTCCAATTCGGAACAAGGCTGCTTTTTGAAGTCGACAGTTTTATTCTGTCGGGATCAGAGATCGCTCGATGATAGCCTAAGCAATACCAGTCTGGCCATATCCCTCAAAAAAACGCTTCGCTGATCACCTGTACTGAAGGAATTAAAGAAAACCACGAGAATACAGGAAAATGATTGGAATTATTTTTGGTCACGGAATTATTAAGTTCACGGAATCTTCTGCCACTTCTGCCACTATCCATAATTCCCTAGCAAATCAGAATAAACAAATACTGAGAAGTCCAACAAAGGCTGCTAGAAAGATCAAAGAACAAAGTATTACCTAGCACTAACCGCGAACACATCAAGGTCAGGGGTCATCAAAGGCCACATACGCTGGGACGCCATGCCGAAAATACTATACATCTACCCACCCCCACGGACATCCCCATCACAACAAGCAAAAACAAGGAAGCCATGAACCACAGTTGTTGCCATCTGGCAAGTCTATTTCGTAATAGCGCAACTACTAATTTACAGATGCAGTCGAAAGATTCGTCACCAACCACCGGCCTAAATTTAAAAAATTTGAAACTGTTTCACTAATTGTCGGCCGCGTTTTGTATTTTCACTTTATTTTTTGAGATAAATAATTTCAAATGAGGTCATTTAAAATTTTAAGTAAAGTGTGTTATTTTAAACGAAGTTTTTGAAGTTTTGCCCGATTACATCGCCTTTCGGTTAAAAAGCGAATGAAAACTGCTCGCTATTTCGTGAAATTATTGGTCATTTTATAAAATTAAAAAATTACAAAATAGGTTTTAAAAAGACGAATAATAGCGTTTGAAGCCATTCGTCCAATTTTTTGCCTTAAATCTTCGCAATTAATTAAAATTACGTTTGGATTTTCGTATTTTGATTTATGTTGCAGTTTATATTTCGAATTTTCATTCTTACATTGTAATCATATTTTAATTTATATTTAGTCTTTAAGTGGATGCATTTTCGTGCTAAAAATCAGAGGCGCGTGCCTTCAGTAGAAATCCGAGTCATCCTGTTGACTCGCTTTTACTTCCGCCATTTTTGTGCCATTTCACGAAATTCTGATTCGTAAAATTAGAGAGGGAGAAATAATTAATTGTTTTTTCAGGATTTTTTTCGAAAATCTAAAGAATGATATGGATTATGAATAACGAAAATTTGATTTCAGATAATGAATGGTAACGTTCATCAATTTTTTGGTGCAAAGTTATCGAAAATTCGTTGGATTTTGGATTCCGAGAAAAATAGGCAAAAAGAGTTCATTGCAATAACATACGGTCGACCAGAAAATGAAATACAACTTTGGAATTTTGTTGAGAATTCGCAAGAAGGTTGCTTTAGTATTTATATGAAATTCCAATTCTTTTTCTTCTTCATCTACCAGTACTATTTCTGGTTTAGCTATTTCCATTATATTACTTGGATGAAATTTTTTTTCCATTTGCTATGCTTTCAAATTATAATATTTGTTTGTATTAAAAATGCCTTATATTCTACTGTTTCATTATATTTTTTATAGATGTCACAAAGGATGTGAAATTTTCAATAAAATTGTCTAAAATTATACGTTTTAAATTTTATTAATTTTCTTTTCGTTAATATGTATTGATTTTGTAGATGATAATTTGGAACAGTTACGATTTCGCTATCTGCAAAGTTTTGATTCCGATTTAAATGATGTTATGTGAGTTTTTAAGAATATTTTCCTAAAAAACGGTTGGCTGTATATATTTTTACATCGACGAAACTTTATTCCGCTTGCTTTGATTATAGAATTCGAACCTTTAACTCTCAGCAATTCAAGTTCTTTATTGGAGATGGTGACTAGTTTAACTAGTTTTACGTAAGTCTAAACCTACATTTATTCATTTTAATTTTCATTTTTCATTTTCAGTTTATTCGACCGTATTTTTTTTGCGATCGCATTAAATAATGGTGATGTATCGATATTAGAAAGAAAACAAAATCAATTTGCATGTATTTCAACATTAAATAATGTGCATGATAATTCTCCGTCAAATGCTTTATCTTATAATAATATTAATAATAATCTTGTTTCATGCGGCTCAAATGGATCTATTATCGAATATCATTTGGAAGACAAAACGAGTCGATGTGTGGTGCAAGTAACAAATTTTACATTTATTTCTTCTTCAACGGTATATGCCACTTTCGGCTTCGTTAGTTTCATTGACTATTAGGGTAAAGCCTTAAAAATGGCTTAGATAGTGAGCCATTTGAGATAGATATAAAGTCCTCGGCTGAAATGCCTTTTATAACAGGTTCATTTCTCTCAAAAAACAAGATCTGCGCACTTTCAACATGTGGCATACCATCTTTGTTTTCAGTACTGTCACTTTTTAATAATTTTTATGGATATAATAAATTTTGACTATTAAATTTTGGAAAATTTTTTCCTTTATGTAAAATGCCTACAATCCACAAGCAAAATAATTATTTCTTCACAGTATTAAGGGGTTGCCGGGTATTTGTTCCACTGTGCTTTTGAATCCTCAATTGTTAGCAACCGCTCACTTATCTGGCGAAATTTTCATTTGGGATCTCCGAGCACCGGCAGTTCATTGTTATAATAGGCATGTGCTATTATCGCGTAATATCAATCAATCGTACCGAGCAACAACAGCTTTAACTGCCCATCCTGCTGAAACTTTTTTGGTATTTTAACACTTTTCATTTTTATTTTTTCAATATTAGTTTATTCGGTTGATACCTAGAATAAAATATTTCAGATGGCCCTTAGAGTATCGTTCGGATACCCTAAGGATCCCTAGCAATTACCTCTGTTTCGCAGTTTTTCTGAATCACATATGGTTTACTGTGGTTCATAATGCGGCAGTGTTAAGATAATTGCTTTAATGTAACTGCTTAAATTTTGTATATATTTTTTTAATTTTAGCTTGGTTTTGGAACTGAAGATGGTTGTGTTGGATTCGTTGATTCACGTATGGCAAATCATCAAGCCGTCAATCGTGTATCCATGCCCTTTGCCGTTGGACCAGTATGGGAAGTTAGTTATTATTACTTTAGTATAGTTTGGATATTAAAGTTTTAATAATGGAAAATTATTCATCTATTTACTTCTTTCAAATTTTTTTTATAAACGATGCATTCCAGGTACAATTTCATCCAAATTATCCATTCAACTTTTATTGCGCATGCGAGAGAGGAATGCTTATTCGTCTTGATACTAAGGAGTCTTTACACGAGTATAATTATTATTCACTATTTTCATGATGATGTTATTGTTATCTGATATTTTTCTAAATTTTGAAAACTGTTTTTAGCGATGTTTTGATCAATGGAAAAGGAAGAACCAATCCATGGCTTATTCATTCTTTAAGAAATGATGAAACTGGTTTGAGCATTCTGGTTAGTGATTCATTGCCATTAAACACTTTCAATATTTCCACAGATGGAATACTTGCAGGTGGCGATAATCAAATGATAACATACATTGCGAATAGTTGCTTTGTTTAATATCATTTTTTTCATTTGTTGTGACTTTTAATCATTTGATTTAATTTTTTTTATTAATTATTATTTTTTGTTATGTGAGAATTAATATTCTGCGGGTTCATAAAAAATTTAGAAAAATATGAAGTCATAGTAACTGCCAAAGGATAGGATGCTGTATTATGTCGGAAAAATTTTTTAAATTTATTTTAAAAATTTTATATAAAAATTTATTTTTATTTTATTTTATTTATTTTATATAAATTTATTTTATTTTATTTTATTTTTATTTTTATTTTGAAAAAATCAAAAAGTAAGAAGTGAAAAAAATAAAGTAAAAAAAGAAGTTTAAAGTTTACATAAAAAGTTCTCCCAGTGACAAGGAGTATCATGAACTTGCCAAATCTTTAATTTATAATCTAATCTATAATGTAAATTATCTTATGTTTAATAAAAATGGTCATGAAAAATTGCTCTTATTACACCTTTAACTCGCACTATTCTATTTGCCTGCAGCATGCGAATGGAATATATACATTTTATCTTTTTAAAACAATCTTAAATTTTGTTATTCTTCAAAAGAAGGTAATATGAAGACTATTTCTCGTTATGTTACAACTACTGTACAAGGCCATTGCCTTACTTTATCTGCACATTATAGTTTCGATAGGAATGGCTTATGCTTTTGTAATACGGAGATTTAATGAAATCCGAATAAGTTTTTGCTGCTTTCACCACAGGAAGGGATATAGTTAGATAGGGATTTTTCTTTTTTTAAGTTTGGGCGACTTTTTCGCTTCAGTCTGCTTTGGGTTCGTGGATAATGCTCCTTTATCACGTGTATTTTCTTTTCGCTGCGAATCACTCTTTGTTTTTTTTTGTACGATAGACAAATTATATTTTTAATTTTATTTTTTTTGTATATTAATCATATTTTATTTTTAATTTTATTCAGTTACTCGTGGCTCCTGCAAAAAAAAGTGCCGTCAATGCTCCACTGAATATCGTGCTTACGATTCTGCTGTTTCACCACAAGGCTATAAAATGCCGATTTGTTTGCTACGACACTTAATGAAAACATATGACCATCACGTATTCGAAAATAACTCACAAAAACAAAAACCGTTGGAGTAATTTCAGGAACTATACAATGATTTTTAGGGAAAGTCAACAAAAATACAAAAGTTTAGTGATAGTGCATCAAAAATGGACAAAGAGCGCGATAGGGAATTTTATTAGAAATGAAAAAACGTACGTAAATTTAATAAAATATAAAGCCCTTCTTCTGATCTATGTGAAATTTTGAAATGAATTTGAAGGACTTCAAAATTTCAAACGAGTACAAAAATAAGTCAATTTTCGAAGAATTTAAAATCGGGGCGATGATGCATTGTGCATTTCCGTAAAAACTTTTAATTATGCCTTATAATTATAATTATGCATTATAATTTTAATTTAGTTAAAAATTTCAAACAAAATCGTACCTCATTAAATTTCTGAACAAAATGATCAGAATTTGAATATCTACTCGATGAGTTGGTTATCAAAGAGAAGGTACCTTCGTAGATTCGTATTTGAGATAGTGTGCAAGAATTTTCTAGTGAAAATTTACTTTAGAATAGTAATAGTTGGCGGAGAATCGATATACTTTATTTCTCTTATTTGTTACACTGAATTTGCTAAATATGAATAGTGCTCAAGATTTTCAAAGCATGAAAAAATATATTCAAAGCACGGAACAAAAATCGTAAGCGACAGGTGCTATGGAGAAAAATTCATTTTTTATTTTAGAAATAATCAGTGTGTAATTAGTGAGCGGCAGGTTTGTCTAACTGCTCTACTGAGATATAGAAAATAACTTATTCGATTCGATTAGTCTTCGTTTACGTTCTCTCGATTTCAAACGATAAGTTTTTTTTTCTTTTTTTTTGAATTTGAATTGAATAAATTTTTTCTTACTTTTTTCCCATCTTATGCTATTAATAAATAATATTATATAATAATAGAATATATTTGCCTCCGATAAGAGTAAACCTGTCATCAAAAATCCGGATGGCTGGTGAGGACCCACTTGTGACTCTATCCCCAGATGAATCGATGGTGAAAGGGTCAGATTTTTTGTCTTTTGTATTCTGATATTCCTGAAACGGTGTCCTCGTACTCCAACGCACAATACTTCCACCCCGGTGGTGGATGCGATAAGTATACAATCCGGATCCGGATATAAAATGATCCCAACATTCATAAATAAAATGTGCTGGCGAGCAATTGCTCGAAACATATCAAGAGAAATGGCTCTCTCCACAAGCAGTAAGTATCAGTATCAGAACTTATGGATATTGCAAGTCAGACCGTGACAGTTATCACTATCCACACCTTTTCTAAATATCGTATGGATATCGCCTGCTTGTCGGAGGTTCGTCTTCTTCCTTCAGATCTCGAGTAACTACTAATCCTGGCATAGCGATTGTCATGTCTGAAAAGGCCCATTGCGCTTTGATTGAGTGGAAACCGGTAAGCAAGCATATGGCCTAGGCCGAAGGTTGTCAGGTAAATTCTAATAATATCTCGGTAATCAATGTTTATGCTTCAACTTGGTCGGTAGATGACCGTGATAAAGTACGTTCTACGGGGCTACGGTTGTTGCGAAATCTTTCCATTATTTTAAATTTATTATTTCAAAATAGTGACCCTAACCCACCAAATAAAGCCTTTCATTTATTCATTAATTCCTTACTTTCACATATATCAATAAAGAATAGGGGTTAATTCATAAGAATATAAAGGATATCCTATTCAATAAAGCTATTCTTTTGGGACATTAAGGGACCCGAGTGATTGGGTACCAATATTTCAGTAATCATGATTGGGTACCAATATTTCAATAATCAATAGCATAGATTTTGTTATTTAACATCTCTTGCACCAAGCATTTCTTATTTGTTTTGAAATAGTTATCTCTGGATTTAACTGATATCGAATATTATTTTTTTTGTCTGTATATTAATTGGTTTAATTACCCAAATTTGAGGTAAAGGAATAAAGATTTTTATCAATTCGTGCGATGAACAATTTTTATCTTACTGTCCTGAGAAAGCAGTCGGATCAAGATTAAACTAATACAATTAACGCGTGGCAGGCGAACATCCTACTGTTTCCAATCAATAATTTTATTAATTTATTTTTCACAACGGTACTTCAACTGCTAATAAATCTATACTGGATAGTCGTTCCTATAGAGGCGCTGAAGCTGGTAAGCTTCATGGATCAGGCCATGTTAAGGTTCGAACCAAGATTCGCATAAAATTAACAACTTGCAGGAAACAAAGTCTCTCAAAGCCTTTCATCTATTATTCGAATCCGGCCGAATTATTTCAAAGTGAATTATTGAAGCATCTCAGTGAAATGAGCATCAATGATATCTCTGGAATGGCAGATGAATACTGGTCCCAATTAAAGGCATGTCTCCAAAACCACTCAACCACTTTAATACTAGGATGTGCCAGTATATGCTAGAAATGCTCTAGTTAGGTATGGGAAGTAAATTGTTCAACCTGAAAAGGCTGCCAAAGCAAAAATGCAGCATGTCCTGATACTCGGATTATTGGATTAAAAGGATCAAGGATGTGTGATACTATACACTGGATTGATTTGCACAACTCTTGAGTGCAAATAAGCAATGCCCATTATCCAGTCTACTGCATAATATTGAATATTGCAGGGGAAAGGACGTAGCGTTGACGGACACCAGTTTTTATTTTAAACAAGTCAATTCCCCATATACATAGATCTGTGCCGATTTACGCTGGTAAAATACCTTTATAAGTCGAATGATTACAACTGGACACCGCAATGTTCCAACACCACTCTTCAAAACGTCAATCTATCAATTGGATCGAAGATAGCTGCAAAATCGATGGAACAATTGACGGTGGTTGCTGATATTTGAAGCTGTATTCCAGCACCATTAGCGTGAATATGTGGTCAGCAAAACCACATCCTGGTATGAATCTAGCTTGGTTATGGTGTACTCTCGTATTGCCAGAAATCTATTGAATAGGGAGTAAAAATTTTCTCGGAGATATCTAGCAGGCTGATTCCTCAATAATTGCCACATTGTGTCCTGTTGTCCTATCACCTTTCTTAGGAATTAGGAGCATAATTGCTTTGCCCCAGTCATCTAGTATTATTTCTTTTTTCCATACTAGAGATTATATTTGTTGAAGGTGAAACGATGGATATTTGAAAAGTTCGGCCCGAATACTATGTTTTTCGAGAGTTATTGGCCTTAAGCTTCTGGATAATAAAGATTATTTCCTATTGTGCTGGCGTTTCGCAGTTACATATGGCTCGACGAGAGATTCAACTATGTCCGAGATAATAGATGGCATATCGTGGTTAAGTTTGGCCTCAAAAAATTCCTTCCACCTTATAAGGCGATCCTTATAACAGGTACACCATTACTATCCGGTATCATTTCATTGATCGTTATGAATTACAGTTGCTTTGTGGAGAATGCGGAATAGTTTCCTATTATTACCTAATCAAACCGCGTGTCCATTCTCAGGGCATATCGTTCCAATAGTGATTTCTGTCCTGCGTGATGTTTTCATTGCAAATCTTCGAAGCATCCGGTAATCAGGATTACCTGACATTCGTGCTTTGACAACTTTTTTAGACAGTTGGACAATTGCTTCCCATATCCAACTAGTACACTTCCTGTTAATTTCCTATAATTGGAGGTATTCCTTTAGTTTGGACCAGCATTATTTTGCCGATCCAGAAAAGTCACTGATATTTATGCCATTGAGATGCAACGAAAATCGGACTTAAGAGTCAATGTACACAAAATGGAAGTCTTTTCGTCTTATGTACAAGAAGCTGATAAAATGCCTCTTTTTGTAAATTCATTGCCGATTGAGGAAGTGCCCAATTTTAAATACCTTAGGTCCACTCAAATACCGAATGGTCAGGCAAAAGACGATATTACAACTTTGATCACGGCAGCGAGAAATGCATTCTGCCAGTTGACGAAATCTTTATGAAGTCGTCGCGAAATCACTATAAAAATGGAAATCTGCGTCTATCCAGCTACAATTCGCTGGATCTTACTATATAGCGCGAGACATGGCCGATGATAAAGGATATTATGAAGCTATCTTTTTTTTACCACACATGTCTAAGATACATTTCACGGGTCCACCGAACAGATAAAATTTATTTTACATAACTGCATCTATCTTTGCTCAAATACCGTTTACAATTGACCATATCAGCTCCGAAAATCGTCTCCACTAGTTAAGGCACGTTCTTCGCCCTTTAAGGAAACTAACACATATTTCGTTACTTGCTAAACCGTGTGATGGGTAGCATCAAAAGCGAAGTGGACCAACCAAGACCTGGACTGATACAGTCAGGAAAGATTATGAACATATAGGGGATGGACCTGCAATATATGGACTGATGATGGGAAAGAAATGGTTTCTGTTATTGTCGACAATCGCATCAGACCGCGTCGCTTGGAAACGTCTTACTCTTGAAGCCACTGGGGTCAACCTAACCAGTAATGGTGTTAGAAGAAGAAGAAAAAGAATATTATAAAAAAGGAGATTCGGAATTGTTGAAAAAAATTTACCTCGAAGCTTGATGAACCTGCATCAATTATCAGAATGGAATGAAATTTATCTATGTAATATTAAGAAAACCTGGAAATAAGTCGCAGTTTCAGTTTTTTTGTAAGCAGTTTATTTTTTAAAAGAAAATAATTTATATAATGGTGATCCACAATTATAGTATCGCCCAACAAATTTTTCCAGGATATTTCTGATCAATCGCTTGGAAAACAGATGCGCATTCATCACGTTCCTCTGGATTACCAATTTGATTGAATAATTTAGCGGCTTCTGCAACAGCAATCTTCTCTAGCAATGGGGCTGAAGCGATGTGAAAATAACGACGAGCTGCAGCAAGAGCATTTAACATTGTTGACTCCGAACCTTAAAGCAAAGCTTATTTATATATATATTTATATAAATTTATATAATTTACTTATTTATATATAAATTTTGCATCATAAATTGTTTCACTTTTATACAACTATATTAAGCTTGATCTTGAATGACTAATGGATTATAAATTGTTACAAGTTATAATTAAACTGGTGAACTTTTACCAGCGTCATATTGTTCAATATGTGCGATGTACACGGTCATATGGAATAAACCATTTTCTAAATGACTGCATCGTGTTCGAATAATCCATTCACAAGTTTTAAGTTTCGAAATTGCATCTGCTTTACGTTTTTCAATTGCCTTAAATAGAATAAAATTTCGTCAAATCAAATTAAAATGGAGCGAGAATAGTCTGAAAATATAATAATAAATTAAGTTTAGCCCGTTGTAAATAAAAAGGAATCATGAGATCTAAAATAAAAACTTATAGTACCACCACTATAAACATATATATATATAATAGTATATATATTATATACATATATATATTTAGTAGTTTTATAGTCCGATATATATAAAGATTGAAGAAGCATGAACAAAGAAACAACCTCTACCTTCTGAATTAGTGTGAGTGTATAAAGCCAAGACGCTTAATAATGCTTTGACCATCATATTTTACGAAAATTTTTCCAGTCTTTCTATTCACATGAATTCATATAATGTAGGATTCATGGTAAGAAAGAAGTCATTTGAGTAGCGTGTTTAAAAATTTTAAAAGTGCCATGAATTGTGCGGGGAACATTACAATAAAGACGCAAAAAAAAGTATTTCGCATGAATAGCCGATAAAAACGATGAGATATGATTAATATGAATTAACAATGAATAAGCATGAAGATAAATATTAGTTACGGAATTCAAGTAATAAACAATACAATAAAACCTTATTCTCTTAAAAATTAAAAAAAAACAAACATCAATATAGGCCAGTCGTCTAATAATCATTGCATGCATATTTCCAATATTAGCAGTATTCGCCTTAATTCTGCAACTTTCCAAAATACTACGAGATACATGTGTTAAATCACTGGAAGCATAAAGCAGAGCAAGCAACATACGGCATCTGAAAATAAGGAAACCATATTTTTATTTTATTATGAACTCCGAAAAATTTGGAATGTGCAGAATCTAGATATTCTTTTTCAAATACCGTGTATTATTTGCCGTTTCATTAATCCAATCACTACTGCATGGAGCATTTCGATGGAAATTTCATTATTTTTCAAGAAAAAAAATTTTTATTTATCAGACCTAGTTTTAAGGCGAAAATCATTAGATGTCTTCGCGATCACGGTACCGTTCCGTATAACATTCAGTGCTCTTTGCAAATCACCTTTTGTATGAAGTAGAATCGCATTTCTGAAAATCGATGATCAAATATTGTATTAAAAAATTAGAATTAAATTTTAATAAGAAAAAGTGGAAGGAAAAAAAAATTTTGAAGAAATAAAATCACTAGAACATCATAAGAACAACGATATTTAATGCAATTTTTAGCGCAAATCAATTATCATCACCTAATATGTATTTCATCAGGAGCAGCATTTGACATTTTCGAGAGCCATTTTTCAGCTGAAGACCAATCACCTAGGAAAAATGCTCGATCAAATTGGATTAATGTTTCACAACGAATCCAGTGGACAGCACACTAAAAAAATTCTTAGAAATAATCACAAATAATTACAATATTATGCTTCAAGACAACGAAATTTAAAATAATTTTACGGAAAAAAAGAAATTTAAGAAATAAACAAAGTTTAACGTGGTGTAATGATCCAAAAAAAATGCAGTAGATCCAAAATTCACGAATTTCTTCGGTCAGAAAAACTCTCGTTAAAAATAAAATTTGGGTTATTTATGGGGTCTCTATAATCCCTATCTATCCTCAAGTGAACAATCTTTGAAGCCTTATCTTAAGGAATAAGCTGTTGGTACTCATTGTTCCTGGTTAAGCTCTAACTTATCAATCGCCAGTATGAAAGCAATTCCTCAAAACAACATTTGTTAATAAAAAAAAGTGGAGACCTACTAATACTTCCATTCCCAATGTCCCCAATGTGACGCGCTGGTAAAATTTACTAACAATGGAGCAAACCTAAACAAAGATGCTGAGCACCAAGCATTTATTTTTTTTATTAATATTTTTTTATTAATACCTGCCAGTTATTTTCCAAAGAAAATCGTTTTCGCAGTTGTTCAATAATTAACAAAGCAGATGCAAATCTTCCATTCATTGCATGATAATATGCCACATTAACTCCAGCAATCACCTTTAATAAGTTTTTATATACAATAATAATATTTTTCTTGAATAACACGATCGTTAGAAACCACTAAATCACCTAGTATTTGCAAATATATAAAATAAAAAATTAGAAATTTCGCATTTTCAAAAAAAAAAAACAGAAACGGAAGGACAGAAAAATTATATATTTTTTTAAATTCATAATAATAATATATAAATAATAAATTATAATAAAGATAAATAATTCATAATAATAGATAATGATAAAGATAAATAATATATGAAAACATACCTGTGCCTCACTATTGTAATTATGACACCAATGATCACCACTGTTAAAATACAAAAGTAAATTACAATCATTTGCTGCCTCTTCTGTTAAGCCATTTGCCAGTTTTATACTGGCGATCGTTGCACGTGCAGTATCTTTCATCAATCGAGCTTGAATACCTCGTTCGAAACCATAATCAGCACTAGCACATTGTTGTAAACCATGCGATACGCTCAAATCAACAGCTTATTAATAATAAATAATTCCCGATAAAAACAGAACAAAATATTTCATAATTTCTGAAAATATTTCATAATTCATAGTTTAAAAATATTTTAAGATTAACACTGATTTAAAGGTTATCAACTTACGGGGAAGATTAATTACCTTTCGTGATTCTCACATCTTCTACTTAATTCGATTGATCTTAGTAGTGACAAACAATCTCTTAACTGAAAATCGAGCGATTCCAAATTATCCTCTTTTTTATTGGCATCATCCTTATTTTTAGAAAATACTATCGACAGAATATGAGAAATAAGAGCTTGAGATGGTTCATGAATCGGCACTGAATAAAAAAAGAAGAAATAATTAAAGAAATGTATGTTTGAAAGATCAATCAAAAAATTATAATCTTACAAGAAATTTCATTAAAAGTGGAATTTTTTGAGGACAAATCTTTCGGATAAGAACTGATTGATATCATTTCGATTAATGCCAAACGAGTGCAAATTGTATCTTGATTACTTTGCGCTTGTTGTATTGCTTCATTCAGAAGATGCATGGCATGTGATCTTAAAAACAAAAAATTTAGAACCGAAAAAATACCAAAAAAAAATTTTGAAATTAAATGAACGAAATATAATGAATCCTTATCACAGGAATTGATGAAATACATACGCTGGGCCTTATGTTATACAGCTCTGAAAACTGGAAGTGAACAGATGGACCAGAGATGGACTCGAAAATTTGAAAACACCTCAGTCATAGGAACCAGTAGAGCCAACCAAATCAGATATAGAGTACTTTTTAGAAAAATATTCCGAAATTTTTTACTTATTTCTGAAAATCCTTGATAAGCGAGCGTGAAGAACGGGTGAATATCGTAGTGGTCGAGAATCAGTAATAGTTAATGCTGTTCCAATAAGATTAAGATCATTAACGCGGATAGCTGCACTATCAAAATAAGTTCGCAGTGCGTTTTCTGCAGCAGTAGGATTGCGACAACGAATTTCATTCATCATATCTAATAAATGCTAAAATGAGAAATTGTGAATTGAAATATTTGAGAAATTATTAATTTAATCGGCAATTAATAAAAAAAATGAAAATTCATCCTGCAAGAGTCATAAAATTAGAATTAATAAATTAAAAAATTAGAAAAATGAGAAAATCGAAAATATGCAAAATCTGAAAACAAATGAAAAGACTAACAATAAATCGAAAATCGCAATAATTATGCTTAATTTTATTGCAAAATATTTTCATTTGTTCAATAGTTAACGCTTCATCTGGTGATACATGTAAAAGATGCAGCTGTTGTTCGATAAAGCCTCGAATCCGACGAGAAGAAAATAATAAATTAAAATCATCATCTTGATTTAACTGTTGACTCGAAACCAAAAACACAGAAGGCGATGGGAGCTTATTATATGTTTTTTCTTGCATATATTTTAGATTTATTATCGAAGATTCCTTTTCACGGATTTGTTCACAAGATTCACATAATTTAAGAACCCTAAATAAATAATAAATTATAAAATCCAGATGGGAATTTTATTCAGTTAATAATGTGGTACCCAACTGCAAACGCTCAATTCTCGATAAAAATAAATCTGATTTAGAAAATCCGGGTAATACTGGTTATGTCAAGTCTGTATATCTCCTAGATCTCTGCTTGACAAACACTAATCGCTAGTGAAGCTAATTTAACTAGAAAATTTGAGCTAACCACTTTTTCCAGTTGCCATTAAGAAAAAAATAATGGCTACTTGACTGAATCTCATGTTGCTTCGACTAAAAAGGCGAAAATGGTTTAATTTATCGTTCGACAAAAACTGTAAAACTGTCAGATGGATGCTGGAAACTCACATACCTCTTTATCTCCACATAACTATCTGGAGAAAAGATCAGTGGTCAAACCAATGAATGAAGCTTGCCAAATAAGAAAAGTGGTGACCAGTTAATAGAATAAAAGAAACATACTTGTTCATTAAAAAAGTTGAATCCACTGAACAAATATCATCAATTAAAGCAGAAAATGAAATATTATCACCATATCCACCTATAAATGAAAAATTTTTTCAAGAAAACACAAAAGAAAAGCAAAATAGATCACAATAAATTGCTAAATAAAATGTTTTGCTGAAAAAAGTAAATTTTTGTTTAAATTAAGTTGTCCACGGAAAAATTTCATAAAATATTTAATTTTGTAAAAAGTTACTCACCGTCGTTTAGAAAGGAATCCAAGTTATTTAGATCAATTTTAGATTCATTTAGCCATTTTTTCCATTTTTCATGCACAAATTGCATTTCCGAAAAACTTAGAAGAGAGGCTGCTAATGCTAACTACAAGAAATAAATGACATTTACCACATATTTTTTGCAGATTTAATTTATTTCAGATTATTTTAAAAAACTGCATTGAAAGAATTCTAATGATAAATTAAATGAATTAAATAAATTAAATAAATAAAAATTCTAAAGTTTTAAAGATTAACATTATAGACAATAATAATAATAAATAATGAAAATAATATATTTTGTGAAATATTCATGAATAATAATTTAGAAAATAATGAATTAGTGAAAAAGTGGAAATCCACAAAATATAAAATGACAAACCCTTCGAACAAATACCCCAATGATGCTTTTGGAAAAAGCGAATGGCTGACGATCCATTCGTTTAGAATGACAAAATAATTCATCTTTACGAACTACGATTTCCAAAAATGCACCATGATTATCGACCCTTTAAGGAATAAAAACATGTGAACAAATTTACAACCTAAGTTCAGTCCTTTGCCAACTTGCCATTAAAAATGGAATGTGAGTAAAGGCTGCTGGGGCTTACTGGGTGCTGGGCGCGAAATTTTACTGATATTGAATAAACTAATAAAATAATTTCACAAGAAGAGAATTTCAAGACGAATTTATCTTTCTTTGAATTATCGTTTGAATTACCGTTTAAGAAAATTTTTAAATACAACAGGTTCAACCGAATCCAATGAAGCAAAAATCTGACTGCAAAGTTCACGAAAAGTGAGATCACATTTACTAATTAATGACTGAATAAATAATGAAATTGTTGAACGTTGCAAATCCGTAAATTGTTTTTGCCGATGGCACGAATCGATCGTACGAATCAAAAGGTAAATAGCAAGCTATAATTGATATATTTTAAATTTTTAAAATTAAATTCTTAAAATTTCCCAAACAAAAAATTTAAAAATCTAAAATTTGAAAGATTTACACGATATGGTGTAACTGGTTCCGAATATAAATTAATTATTGAATTCAGATTCTCGTCTGGTTCAAACAAAAGCAAATTATCATCAGCATTCATTGCACTGATAATACTTATAAAGTTTCACGCAATAGAATTTCTTGTGAACCACAGAACATCCGTTTTACCACACCAAATGTGATGATACCATTAAACCATTCTAAACCATTAAAAAATGAGTGAGGGAGAGGAAGAGGTTGATTATTACAGCCAATGGAACCAGCTCAACCAGAAATAGAAGTTTAAAAATGGACAATAAGTCATCGTAAGCAATAAGTAATAAAATATCTAGTTGCTGATTTTATACAGTTATCTAATAATTTTATTCATTTCATTTATGATCCTTGTTTCATTCTTAAATAGAGAATAGGGGAAAATTTTCAACAACGTCTCCTATATACCATACAATTATAAAACGTATAAATAGCCAAATTCCAAATTTAGATAATTGAAAGGCATCAAGTTCAAATGAGCTCCGGTTTTTTTTTAGGGATTGAATGGCTCAGTGTGTTGCTGCTCAATAAAGAGCGCTGAAGTTTGATTCCCCGCAGGTGTAAACCTGTACAAAAATCCAGGTGATGCTGACGACTCACCCATATCTCTATCGCCAAGGGATTCCCTGGCATATTACCCAATGCGACAAGCCAGTGGAGCTAGTTTAACCAATAGTAATGAGGACCCTTTAAAAAAAAAGAGCTCCAGTCCAGCCAATCTTCTTTTTGATGCAAATTCGGCACCAAAAATTGCAGCGCCGTTGGTGGAATTCGTTCGGACATTTATTTATTTTCGATATACTTTTCTTTCAAAGCCTTCGAAATTTCTCAACTATTCTTCGTAAATTGCCATAAAATTAGGCAGATAAATTAAGAATATTTGATGAATTTTTTTAAAATAATATTTAAGAAATTGTTCAAATCGGATAAAATAATATAAAAATCAAATCTTTTAAAATTTTATTTAGTAAAAAACTGGAAAAATTAATAGGAAAAATATAAAACATAAAAATAAACTAAATCACGACAAATGAAAAAAAAGTTAACAAATTAACGAAAGGCGAAAAAATTTAAAATTAAAAAATTAAGGCAAGAAGAAATAAGAGATTTAAAAGAAATGGTCAACCTAGCCAGCAATTCAACAAGCAATTCAATGGAAAAGCATAAAAAATAGTAATTTTTCTTATTAATTAAGATTAAGATTATATATAACATATATTCATATGAATATTCTATATTAAAAAGAATATTTCATTTAAAATGCTTCAGAATGAAAGTAAAAAATTTTAAGGTATTAATGGAGAATTAAGAAAGTAATTTGATATATAAAATTAGGCAGAACGGATTTAAGAAAATACAACATCACAGGTACAACAATATGGTCAGGTTGGAGAAAATAAAAATTAAATAATTTTAATAATTTTCTGAAATTTTAAGAGACATATTAACTAATGAGTATTAAGGATAAGAAGCCACTCTCATTTTCACAATTATGAAAACAAAATAAGGAATTTTCTTCTCGTCAAAAATCTCATTAGCGAAGTCACAGGAAAAAAATGCCATAATAGAATTGCAGAAATATAGAATAACCAAAGCATAACTTTAAGCGATGAAATGGCATTACATCACATTACATCACAGAACACTTATTTTTCGCTTTCTTATTTCTTTTGTTCCGCGAATTATGCGAAGTCTCACCAGAGTACTGAAAATTATTCGGTGAACTGATATTTGAATAATAATATATTATTATTAACATATATTATTCAAATATATCTGATTAATTACTTAATGAAAAAATTTAATAAACAATTTAATGAAAAATTTAATAAACAATTTAACTTTTAAACAAATATAATTTAAACTTTTAAACAAATTAAAATTTAAAGAAGTTTTTACCACAAAATATTCTTTTATTTTTAAATTCACGAAAAATTAGAGAAAATTACCTTTTCTCCATCCTCATCATTAGGAAAACTTTTCACGACTCGAACCAATTCATGAAATGCAGCATCAACATTTACGGGAGGATCTTTAGCAGAAGTTTCTATATAAGGAACTTTAAGATGATCCGCAAGTTCGCGACCTTGTTGCTCACTAATTTTACGTTGATTTACCAAATCAATCTAAAAATTTATAATCTGAAACTAACGTAAGATAAAAAAATTTCGCAAAAAAATTTTGTAACGTTAGTTAAAAAGAAAATGAAAAAAATTAAAATTTCAATTAAATTTATTAATAAATACATATTTCAGGCATTCGGTATAAAAATGAAAATAAAGAACCTTATTTGCGACAAGCAAAACTGGATATTCGGTTTTGTCCTTTACTCTAAGGACCTGTTCAAAAAGTTTAGGAGCCTCCTCAAAGCTTCGAACATCAGTTACGGAATATACTAATAAGAAACCACGACCATTTCTCATATACTGCTCTCTCATAGCAGAAAATTCTTCTTGACCAGCAGTATCAAGAACTGAAATATAATAAATCAATAAATAAATCAAAGCGATCTTATGCAACTAGAAAGACCTTATTCAAATATCCAAAATAAACGGCGACTGGCAAATAATAATAATAAAATCAAAAGAAAAAGATCAAAAATTTCTATTTAAAAAAGTATAATAGTATTGAACAATTTAACTATCCCAATCACACCAACCATTTCATTAACTTTTAAAGCAATCTTTAAAAAAAGCATAGAATGAAGGGAAAAAATAACCATCCATTATAACCCACTGACCATCCACTTCACAATGAATTATATATTGATCCTCAATGGTCGGATCGTAATAATCGACGAACTGTTTCTAAAAAAAAACTTTACTCAAAAGCAGCTATTTATCCATATTAAATCTGCGGTTACTCCCGCTATTTTATTTGTTTTTTATTTCCTGATTATATTTTATCCTTTTTGGTAATAAGTGAAGCAATAATCATATCGGCTCCAACAATGCTATATCTCTACGTGTTGAATTTGGAGTATACTTGTCTTTTGTTTTTCATATTTTCCGTGACGGATTAGCACAACTATAGCAGTCTAATTCTAGAAAGCGAAAATCATAGCTAAGTGGAATCGACAAACAAGCATTAGTTAAGTTAGTTAGCTAATTTTGGACAAGTTTAATTGTTCTGTGAGAAATTTTCAAGTGAACATAAATTAAATTAATCGATAAATTTAAATTTATAGTTCATTCTTAGATTATTGTAGCACTTACATTTAAAATTTACTTTTGATCCATTTTTTATGCAGCGATGCATTATCAGATTTAATTAATTTAAACAATAAAGTGAATCATTCTGAGCGATTCCAATAAAATCGAAAACAATAAAAAAAGATGCATTAGTTCAGGCAACAATGGAATTAATACACAATCCAAAAAAACAAATTAAATTAAAACAATAGCATTTTAAAATTGTTAATTAAATTAAACAAAAAGTCGTTAGCTGCAAAAACTTCGGCTAGTTAAGTTCAAGCGAAATGAATCTGTGAAATAATTAACTTAATTTAAAATTTTATCCCAAAGTTAAATTAGTTAAGGATCAAAAGAACTGATTACTTGAAAAAACTGTATGGTTAGAGAAGATTTTCCAACTCCACCTTCACCAATCACAACTAATTTGTACGTCGGTAATTTAGAATCATCTTCCGGTGGCCTCTTCGGTAAAGCCATCTTAATTCCTAAAACCAATTTATACTGCTGCAAAAAGAGCAATAACAATAAGAGCAATATTAAGATCAAGATTAATATCAGTTGCGAAACTCGTCTCGACAGCAGCTCGAGCGACTGGGCTTGCTCAACACTGCAAACTACTGCCCAGGGATGGCTTCGTAAATAAATAAATAAAATGAAATGAAATAATGACACTAATAATAAAGCACAATTTATTTATTAGCGGGCAGGAGAGAGACTTAAAAACAACGAAGATTTACAAGGAGAATATAGAAGAATACAGAAGAAGCGAATGTGTACAATTTCTCATGAATATGCCACACAATACTGTGAACGACAATGAAATTAGCTTCGTTTTGAAGCTTTGTTTCACATATTTATAATAACTTATTGTGTTTCATTCTCCAAAGATGCACATTTACTTATTTCTTCAAACAACCAAGCAGGGCGACACGCGCCATCTGCTTGCGCCGACAACCACATTCACACTCGCGGATAATTTCCTTTCGGCTTCGATAATTGCAAGCCATTTGGTTTGTTAATGAAACATTTCCCGGAATCACATTATATTCCTTTGAATTAAACATTTATGTTCGATTGTAAATAATTTTAGCTTTTTCTTTGCAATAACAATTATAACTGGCATCGACTAACGAAGTGCGGTTATAAGGAAAAGATAAATTCCTTTAAAATTTTAAATTTTTCAAGAAAACAAATGATTTAGTCTCTCAAATATTTACTTTTAAAATAATATTAAATATACAAAAATTAAAAAACCATTTATAAACCGAGAAAAAGAAGAAATAAGCATTTAAAGAAAACGGAAAAGCCCAACAATAAACTGTAAAAAAATCAAGTTTTTAAATGATTATCGTTTCCAAACAATCGTTTCGAGACTAAAGAAAAATATACAACCTCCATAATTATCTCATAAAGCTTAATACGAATAAAAAAAAATTTAGAATAAAATTTTTAAAAAAGAGAAAAGAGAAAAAGTAAGAGTTAATACGAATCCAGCGGCAGGCATCGATAAAAGTAGAATTGTCGAATTTATCGGTTCAAAAGATTGTTGAAGGTTTTCGTCGAATGAGAAATTCAGTGTTGACACAAGCAGACTTTTCTTTATTTCATCAAAATCATCGTTGTCCTACAAATTCTCCAAATATTACTAGAATTTTAGAAAGAGTACTCCTATATGCGACAGGTCAGCGACCGCAGCCTCTTTAGAATCGCTTCACTTAGCGCAAAAATGCTGCCAGGGAGCGAGCTGAGGATGGAAATGGAGCTGAGTCCCGCTACTTATCACATTTCCTAATGACGACTCCTGTTAGATGCTGCGCCTGATTTCGAGCAATTTACAGAAATAAATAATTGGGAATGAACGAATGCGGTCTCTTTAAACCGAGTTTGTTAGGCAAAATATTCTGCGCCAGCATCGCTCATCTTCCTTCTACTCTCGAAGAAATGGAAAGCTGCTGTGGTGCGACATTGGACTAATTAAAGCGCGATCGAAATAAGCTGATTGATGCACTATAGGGCACTACATTCATACAAACCATGGCGCAGGTTAATATAGAGAATTTCAGGTTGTTTGTGGGTCTAGCCACATTTTATCTCAGAAAATCACAATTTGTAGATGCAGTCATATTTTTTCATGAGAAGATGCGAAAAAAATCCTTCCGTCATGCCTTGTTGGTGGTATGGGTTATCCTCAAGCTTGGTTCCACTACCAGAGACCTGAGAATTTGAAGGTTCTGCGCAGTGCCTTGGCTGTTCCTGTCATTGCTAATTTGCTGATATGATATGATATATTCCAAGTTCATCTCTTCATTAAACATGTACTCCATTATCATTTTATGGCTGTTCCTGGCAATGGGCTCTTTTAGATAGAGATATCTAATGTTATTCGTGGAATTTGTTGAAAGCACTTTTATGATTTGAGACCCTAGTGCTCCTATTACTATTAGGAGCACTTTGGCCTCCATTTCCATATCTTTGGAACTATTTAATCTGAAATTAATAATCTTAACACAAATTTTCCCTTTTCAGCTTCTCGTATTTCTTTATCTTCTGGAAATGAAAATTGTGATAGATATTTGGTAAAGAGAAGATCTGAACCTTAGTTTGATCTACTTCAAACAAACAATCGTCTTCAGGCATACATTGTTTCGAATAGATCTCTGGTATACGAACTGATTTATCGCATTTGCAGTCGTCAAAACAAGCTTCATATGAAACCTGTAATCAATTAAATTTTGTGATTAATCGAAAGAAGCAAGAAAAAAATGCCAACCTTCTTTAAATATATTGTTTCAACAAAGCAGCCAGCACCGATTGACATAACCTTTTTGTACGTTCTGTTTCTGAGATAAAAAGATTTTCGAGAAGTTTGATTAAATCCTCGTAGAAGATCGCCAAGTGTGAAGCATCGGTTGCTGCATCGGTTATCGGTTATAAATTTAGCAAATTTAGCAGTTAGTTTTTTACGAAAAAATGAGATATTATAGGGGCATGCTGAAGGCAAATGATGAACGAACTGGTACTTAAATAATCGGAAATAAATGAAAAAAAGCTCATAACTTATCACAAATACTATCTTTTCAAATATATAGTATACTTCTCTTAAAATATTCAAAATTAATTTTTCTTTAAATAATAATAATGATAATATTAATTATAATTAAACAATACAGAATAAAAAGATTAAACAAAAAATATGTTTTTCTTCTTCTAATATTCGCCACCATATCTGATTTGGTTGTTTCCACTGAGATCTGAAGCTTTCGTGAGGGAGTCACGTGGAGAACGTCTCCAACACCATTTGGATTAATAATATCCAGTTTATCCGAGTGTGGAATGTATTAAAACATATATGCTTGTAAAAATCATCTTGCACCTTATTTGCAAAAGACAAGAAAAAGAAATTATTAGCAATTATTGAAGCATGCAGGCTTCTAGTAATCACACTGACTTCGAAGCTGGTTGCTACCTCCGTTTGAAATGATCCCAAGAAAATATTACAAACATTAACTTCGGGACTATTAAACCTGAAGTTAATAACCTTAGCAAAAATTTTCCTTTTGAAATTGCAAAAATATTTTTTACTGCTTTCATGCCATCACCATCATACAAATAATTGTTTTGCATTATTTCCAAATAGGTTCGTTGTTCCTTCAATAATATTTTAAAAAAATTGTTGGAATGTAATGAAGATTTTTGTCTCTGTAATATTATCAGATTTGTCAAATTTTCGCGTAATTATTCATCACTCTTGGTTTTCCTTTCTAAATTTCGATAAAATTTATTTCATTTCCTGTTTTTGGATGGTACGAATCGATAATAATTTTCATGAAAAGCCTAAATATAGAATAATGAAGCCAATAGTAACGCGGTTCGTGGCTCGAATTTTGCGAATAGGAGAGTTTGCACAAGAGAACTGTCGAGGAAACTCGGGCGTTACTTAAATATTGGAATATTTTTGTACCCTTTGATATTCCTTGTTCATTTTTAGTATCGTATTGCTCACCATTTCCGGTTAAGCTTTCCGCTGGCTTGTCATACCGGACAAGTTTCCCCAACGAGTCATTTGGCAAAACACAAGTCTGTAGTATCATCCGAATTTTTGAAGTATAGGTTTGCTCCAGGAGTGGAATGCCAGCATGGGCATTCCGAAGTGAAACCGACAGAGCTATTCTATTCTTGTGCTGGCATATAAATAATGAAAATAACAGAAATCAATTTTAAAAAACCTGTCATAGAATTCACTGATGTAATATGTGTGTATTATTAATTGAATCAATTGGAAAGAAAAGTCAGAATTAAATTGAAATAGAAAATTACCTGATCAGCAGCCACTGCTTTTGACTCTGATAATAATATCTGATATGCATAATTTGGTGAAATACATTTATTTCCATTTTTATCATTTGTTCGTGGTCCATAGTAAGGAAATTCAGCTCGATCAGGATTAGTTTGTTCAACGGGCCAACATATTACCTTAACTTTGTAATATACCGCCATTCACGAAGAGGTAGGCGCGCAAAGTACTCAGATTATCACAATGAGAGATAAGGATTCCATTATTATTAATCTCGATAAGGATAACGTGGCCATTAAAAAATCTGGAAGATTTTGGCGGCTCATTTATCTATTAAGCAACTCTGGCGGATTTCTAACCATACTAACAGCCAAAAAAGCCAACATAAAAATTGACCCAGCCAGAAATGGAGACCAAAAAGTTTTTTTCTAGGAAAGTTTTCTATCTTCAGCTGTTAATTACGAAATTAATTGAATACGTTGGCATCTTCACATGCAAGAAAGCACGGTCTCCATAGTGAATTTGTTCCAAAGTCACCACGATAAATGCGGTCGCGACCTAACTGATCAGTCTGTTCCTCTTGTATAATTTCTCGCATCCTAAATCACCAAATTTATTTAAGCAAAACTTCGAATAGGTAAAAACTATTATAAAAAACATTTACAACATTATTGTATAACTTTTTTGGGCTTTTCGAACTGTATTTGACAAAATACTGTAGAAAAATCCAACCAAATAGATTCCTTTGGAAATGGATGTTTGTCGGTATTAGAATATATCCAAGGTCCGGCAATTGTCGTTTGCACTCCTGTTTGATAACAACGAAGTCTTGTCGATATATCGGACGGATGTTCGCGCAAATGAATTGAAAAATAAGTTGGATTGAACATTGGACGATTGTAAATATTAAATTGAACGATTTCCGGTACATCCATAATGTCGCTGAGATCTGTGCCAACCATTATGAACGTGATTAAACGCTAGTCATTTTTGGTTTGGCTGGTTCCATTGGCTATTAAATGCTCTTGCCAGAAAGTTCTCTAGCAAATTGAGATAGAGGTGATTCCCCATCCCCATCATCCTTGTGAATTTTCTGACTTTAGCCGAAGCCGAAGCAACATAAGATTTGACCATCAAACTCTTAGATATTTTTAATATGCTATAAGGTAAAAAATTGATTTATAAAAAAATAGTAGATAGATTCGAACCTCTAATATCAGTTGAGGGTGACACAGAAGGTAAATTTGAAAATGCTGTATTTGACTGAAGCTGATAAGGAAATAGCATCTTTGATAAACAAAATTCTGTTTCCTTATACGATAAACATTCATGAAAGCAAGGTTCACGTTGAATACTACCATTAGAGCCCTATGAATTTTTAAATTTCTGCAGTACTTTTGGCGCATTATGATTATTATCTGTCGCCAATTATTTTTTTAATCAATCAGACTAATTAGATACAGATCAAAGCAGATCCGTTTTAATGAATTGCTGTCTATACGGTACATACCAAAATGTTAAAAAAAGATACGCACCGCGACAAAGCACCATGGGCCACGATGCCATCGACCTGGGTTTCTACAGTAATTCTCATGATAATGGATACCAGAAGATAATTTTTTAAACGAATGTGTAAGCGATGGACTTTCTTCGTTATCAAAATCACTTGCCAAAAATGTTAAATTTTTTAGTGAATCCCAACGTTTACATATTTTACCTCTAAAAATTTTAATTTAACTTGATTTTTCAAGAATTTAATTGATTTATAAGTTTATATTATAATTTTTTCTTTATATTTTAAATTTTCATATATGACAAATAAACTGAATAAAAAATATTGAATTTATCGTGTGAACAGGTAATATTCAACATTTTTTTATTTTTGCTTGATGTCACATTATCAGATAAGAAAATAAAACTTCATTTTCCAAGTTTTTAACAATATTCCCGCTTTTCGACTTTTATCAAAAGTCCCAAAATAAATTTGACAATGCCAGAAATTTTCTTGAAATTTGAAATTTTTAATTAGTGGATGTAAACTGTATAATTATGTTCATTTTATATGTCCAAAGCACAGATTTTGAAGGTTTACGTTACGGATAGGGATTGTTGACCGCGGTACCAACTCATTTTATCAGTCGATTTACGACAAGAAATACGGTAATCCGTGATATTGGAATGACAAGAACCAATAAAATACTGATTTTGTTCACGTCGAATGCAATAATATCCTCGCAAATTATTCTGACGAAAACAACTCCCATACACAGGTTTTACCGATAGAATACGATACAAATACTCGCTAAATTTGTCGGTTAAAAATTTATCAATTATTTGTCAAAGAGACATTCTTTTCGCAGAGTAATCAAATTCAAATCAGAGAATGTGTCAAATTTTGCCAATATAGCAGATAATAATAAAAAAAAGCTTTTAAATCAAGAAAATAAGCGAATGAAAAGTTACTTAGAAGGAGAAATACAACCGGTCGAATCAATTTCTATAGTTTCGATACTTTTCCGACAATTTTTATCACAATGCCAAGGTCGGTCAGTTAAGTTCCACTGAGAAAATGATAACTGCATAAACGATAATATTATAAAAATATTTAATTTTAGCTGAAATCAGAGAAATTGGAAATTTATGACTTTTCAATTGTAAGCAATAAGTTCAGGAATGGTTGAGTGGTATGCAGCCATGAGTAACTGCTTTCTTGCTTTCGTTAATAGCATTAAACCTTTTATTAAAATAAACCAAAATCAACCAAACTTGTTTCCCAATTGATTGCGATCGAACCTCATAGCCTGACAACTAGTTGGGACAAATCAGAAATAATAGCAGAAAAACCAAAGACCAAAGATCTAACAAGCAAATCATGGAAACAACTCGGAAGGACCAACACTGATGCATGCAAATTTATTATAAATTTATCAGTGCATGCAAATAATTGCGTATGAAAATTCTGAGCCCACCAATAATTGTTTTCTCAAAAAACAACTTTATTATAAAGATTATAAAAAATGTTTTGGCAAAAAAGCAACAAACCAACCATTGAAGGCCAAATAAATTATCGAAAATTGAACTTAAAAAAATTCTGAATTTAATCGTTCTGAATTTCAATTTTATATTCTTCCTTTCCATCTTTGCTCCTCCTTTAGCTTTCGAGAATTTTCTTTTCCTCCAACTTTTTCTTCAACTTTTTCTCCTCCGCCTCGCCCTCCTCTCTCCTCTCACCCCCTTTCCCCAACTCACCCTCCAATTCGCTCATTCAAATTCTTTTTCCTTTGCTTCATATTATTTAATCGGTACGAATTTTAACATAAATAAGCCGAGAGGGATGGAATTGTACCTCCCAATGATTACAAATGAATCACTTTTATTTGTATAAATCGTTAATCCTTATGTGGTAGATGTGGTCGCCTGGGCGGTTGTTATTTATGTTCTCAGTTCCACATTTTATTGTCTGAAAGCACTCAACATTTTGCTTTTGGTGAGTTCCGTCACCCGCTAAACCTGGTCCGCCTAGCCAGAATACCATTTTTGTAGATAAAGTAACAGGTCGATCACTAGTACCATTCAGATTTCATTTTTTATTACGTTTGCTTTCAGTGCAATTAAAAACTATAATGTTTGGTCAAAACAATAGAGCATTCGATCGTTTCTTATTAATCACAAACATTAAATATCAAAAACAATGAAATCATTAAAATCTAAGTTGAGAACTCTTAAAAAATCCTCTTAACTTCAAGCGTAATATGTAATTTTTTATTTTTTAAATGATTTTTAAAAACTTCAATTTAAATATTTCAAAAATTGGTAAAAATATGGAAAGAAATTTCCCTCACGAAAAATTTTTTTCATCCTGCTTTTCACTTGTGTTTTTTGCTTCTTTCTTATTTTTAAATTGAATTTTATTTGAAATCTAATCAAATTTTACAAATATTTGCAAGTAATAACTATAATACTATAATATATGAATAAAAATAACCTTTTTTATTCAATTAAATATTGCAAATATTATATTTGAGTAAATTTTGTTGATAAATTTTGTAAAAAAGCAAAAGTATTTTTTATATTAAAATAAGTATTTTAAAGAAGTATTTCATTTTTTTTACTTTTTATTTTTTGATAAGAAATATTTTATTTCAGCGATATAATTCGATGTATGTTATTGACAACAACAGTAAGTATATTTCTTATTTTATGGACATCGATCTATCTTATCGATTATTATTTTCGTTTACATCGAATTAATTTTTATATAAATATTGCAAATAAAATTGGTTTAAATGTCGATTTGTTTTCGGTAAAAACTTTTTAGAATTTTTATGAATTTTTTAAAATTTGAAAAAGTATTGTTTTTTTTGTTAATTTTCGTTCAATTTTCTTATAGCGTTCATTATTTCTGGTTTTACTGGCTTATTTGACTGTAAGAATAACATTTTTTCACTAGAAATATAGATGGATCCTCCCATCATGGATCCACTTGGTTTCACCTTTAATGAGGGATTTTTATTCTGATAGCACATGTCTTCTAATAGCCCTGACTTAGGCTGGTTTCACTATCTACAAGGGTAAGGCGTTTCCAAGTTTCGCGATTTGTTCCTTCGTCGACAATAATAGAAGCCATTTCTTTTTCCATCGTTTAAGTTCATATATTGTTAGTTCACCCATACGTTTAAAATTTTCTTTCACCTTTTCCTGACCTTGTCAGTCCAGGTGTGATTGGCCCACCTCTTTTTTAACACCACGGGGTTGCAAGTAACGAAATATGTATCAATTCTTGTGATGGGTGACGAAGAACGATCACGACGCACTATATTGGTATTGTTAATGCAGATGGTATTTGAACGAAGGTGTGTGTGATCATGTGATCATATTATCCTCTCGACTGAGTCTCATAAAATGTATCTTAGATAAGAGTGGTCAAAGGCGAATAACTTCTTAATATACTCCACTTTCATTGACCATGTCTCGCAGCCATATAGCAAGATCGAACGAATCACGGATATATTAATGCGGACTTTAGTTTTTATGATGATTTCGCGACGGCTCGATAAAGATCTCGTCAACTGGAAGAACATATTTCTAGCTGTCGTGATCCGAGTGATAGCGTCTTTTACCTGACCATTAGGTATTAGAGCGGAGATATTTAAAGTCAAGCATTTCCTCAACCGTCAATGAATTTGTAAAAAGAAGATTTTTATCAGTTTCTTGTATATAAAAGGAAAAGATTTTCGTTTTACAATTCTCGCTGCAATTGCTGATACGTTGTTTAAATTATTTGCATTTCGTCATAACTGTTAGCAGTGCAATATCAGCGTATTCAAGGTCTGTAATGTTATGCTCTGGATTTATTTGCACACTCTTGAGTGCTTACAAGGGATACCCATTATCAGTTGCTATCGCGTATCACTTCACTGGTCATTTATCGAGTTATAGTTGGTTTATGAAGAAGATGAATTAGTTTCCTACTGTCGCCTAATCGAGCCTCCGTTTCCTTTTCCCAGGCCATACCACTCCAGTAGTGATTTCTTTCCCACCGTATTGTTGTCGTTATAATTCTTCGAAGCATATGATAATTAGGATTTTTTAACATTTAGGCTTTTAGTCAAATTAATTCGTGGTTACGAGGTTAAGATAAATGACAAAAGGGTAAAAATTGAGCCCATACTGGTTTCCCTCAACAGCACAACATATATGATTACAAATTCTTCATTTTATGACATTTGTTGAGGGTTTTTATTTAAGAAATTATTGTGTAATTTTAGATTCGTTTTTATACAAATCGTTTACAACGAACGTTTGATTTCCATTTATTATTTGCAAGAGTTCCACAGTGTTATAATTTAATTACTCGATTTTTTTTACTGTGGTTCACATTGGGAACAATATCGGCTTTAGCAGCGTTATTTATTACAACTTTTTTCCTTTCTTTCGTTCTATTGCGAGAATTTTATGTATTTTTATCAAAATTAACAATTATTGATCAAGCAGCATTTACTGAAAATTTGCGATTCATGCATGATAGTAATAATATAAGTCTTAATACATTTAATCGAGAATCGACGACATTTGATACATCTACTGGTAAATTTAATATTCTTATTTATTTTACTTGTAATTTATTTTGAATTTTAAATTTCAATTATTCTTTCAATATTTTTTCTTTATTTTAAACTTAACTTAAATTTAAAGTCGGCTTAGTGCCATTAATTCCTGGTATAAATATACCATGGAAACGAGTACCACTTTTTGCCGCAGTGCTAGTTATTTCGGGTATATTTCACGAATTAGGCCACGCAGTTGCCGCTGCAAGTTTTAATATACCGGTGAAAGGTTTTGGTCTTTTAATCGTTGCTGTATATCCAGGTGCTTTTACTGAACTCGACAGTTTGGCTTTAGGTAAATTATTCTTGTTTCTTCGATTATTCTTGATTGGTTGATTTTCCATTCTTTTATTTCAATAATCTATTTTATCCTTTCGTTGTTTTTCGAATTTTTATAATTTATTTTGCCATAATTTGTTTATAGTTCGTTTTAATTTTTGATAGTAATGATAATATTGATAATAATAATCAATTCAGGTCGTGCAACAATGGCTCAGAAATTAAGAATTTATAGTGCTGGAATATGGCATAATTTTATATTATCATTTTTTGCTTATCTTATTTTTTCAATTCATCCGATGCTGTTATCTCCATTCTATAGTCAGAATAACGGTGTAATGGTCGATGGTATGTATCATTAATTCGAATTTAACCATTTTTGCCAACATTTCAACATTTCAAAATGATTTTTTTTATAATTTTGAAGTATATATATCAAGGTATATAATTTACTATCTTTTCATTCATTATTTACCAATTTCCATTCTATATAAATTTTTATATATAAAAAATTAAAGAAGTGGATCCACGATCAGCTTTATACGGAATCAGTGGTCTTCAGTCTGGTGACATAATTAAAGGCATTAATGAATGTAGTATAAGCAGCCTCAAGGATTGGCATAGTTGTTTAAGAGCACAGAAAAGCGGTTTGGCTCGTGGTTATTGTATAACTAACGCTGAACTTATGTCCAGTATTGCTTCTAAAGTTGTTAATTTGCTATATATGAATTATTGTAACCATATTTATTATTTATGAAGTGATTGCTTGTTTTATTTTTATTTTTTTAATATATATATTTTACTTATCATATATTTTACTTGTCCAACAAATTTTATAGGTTATTCCAATGGGAGATGAATTAAATTGTTGCGACCAGCTCGAAAACTCATCGGGATCGCATTTATGTTTCTATTTTAAAAATAGCTCTCGTTCAACAGCCAGTCGAGTTAATTCTGCTGTGGTGCTGAATGATTTGTTACCATCATCAACATCATTTAATATTTTTGCTACAACTGCTGCCAATAAAAAGGTACAAATTTTTATACTGTCAGAAAATGTGCCATCTCGATCGAAGGATTAATTAAATTCCTTTTTATTTTGTACTGTCGTTTCATTTTATATTACAGGAAATTAGCAATGCTTTCTTTGAAGTTAATTTACCGAATATATGGAACAATTCCTTCAACTCCCAAGTTAATAGCAATATTCCAAAAAAAAATAATGAAGGAAAGAAATTAGTGCACAAGCAGGAAATTGTGGCGCAATACTCTTATGCTTGCTTATTTGGACGTAGTGTAGCAAGTTTATTTTCCATTTATTCCTTTTATATCTTATCCTTTATTTATTATTGATGCTACTGGTAGAGATGTTGATACTTTTATCATAGCATCCATGTAAAATTTGAAAGTGCGATTCAAAAATTAACGGCAATCTAAGTTCTGCATTTATTCCCTATTTCATTTTTTCGTAAACGATGTCAGATCCATGCAGCAGGAAAAATATTTAGATAAATATTCGCATCTTCAGGTCGCATTGCTGGTTTCGAGTTATCACCACTAGCAGCTTACTAGAGTGAGAATGTTTTAAGCCTTCTGATGAAAAAGTAACTGAAACCAATGCTTTTCCCATTATCAAGCCATTTGGGATCTTCAAAATCTTCCTGACCATATCATTCCAGATCTTGAATGATCCTTGCTTCATCTATCAGGGCTTAGAAAGTTGCAGTATGCTTTAATTTCTATGGTGAATAATGAAGATATGGCCTAAGCTGCACAGAAGTTTTGGGACAGTATTATTAATGGAGATTTGTTCTAGCAATGTTGATGTGTTCTTGGAGAATATGTAGAATGTAACATATTGGCTTGGTCATATATAGATACTTCATGATATATCTTCCACTTTCATTGGTTATGCTTAGTTCTTTGTCATATAGCACTGTGCTTATCTTCTTTTAACCATTACTGGTTAACTAACTGCTAAAGGTGGGGTGAGGTTTCCAGGCCATTCGATATTATTCCATGATTAACTGCTTTTTTTTATGCATTCAGAATCTTCAAAATTTTGACTATGTATTACCAGATAGGTATAAATTTTCATTTTGTGATTGGTTTCAATTCAAGGAGGACTAAAAAACTTCTAGCTGTAATTTTCTTTACTTGGATTTCATCCTTCGTATGGTCATTGCATATGAATTCGAAATATTTAAATTCTGGCTTTTGTTGAGCTAGTGATAATTTTTTAGAAATTGATCTTACCAAATTTTGGTATTTAAAACGAATAAATTCTCGACTTATTTATTTTGATTTGAAGGCCAATTTTCGCTATTATTGAATAACCAATAGATCTCGTATTTTAATTTTACGACAAGGGCTACAAACTAGTCGTTTGACGAATTTGCATAAAAGAATTCTGTAAAGTTAATGTGTCTATTAGTTTTTTGAATTTTTCGCAATTCATTTGTATTTTGTGATTATAGGTAGAAAAATGTGCAGTTCGTCGGCAGATTGTAGTATTCTTGGAGATCGTTTCAAAAGGCTTCGGCATTGTGTATTTCCTGCTCTCTATAATTATACAAGGCTGCTTAAAATATCGTTGAATCATTCTTTTCGCATTGTTTTGTTCATAGGAACTGTGGATGAGGTTTATTTTCAAAATTAATTTTTTAAAAATCTGTAATATACTACTGAATATGGTAAAATCCACGAAAACTTATCGTACTTAAATCTGAAAAATGGTTGGTAGAATTATTTGTAAAATGCCAAATCGATTTGTACTCATTAAAATGCCCTTAAATTATCGAAAAAAAAGAATTTCTTGTCCGTAGAAATTTGCAAGAAAATTTATGAATTAATTAATAATGTCGAAAAGATTTAATAAACAAATTTTATTTTTCACTTTGAAAAATATCGCAAAAAAAATATTTTTATCTTTGAAAAATAATATTTTTATTTTGCAGCTTTTAATTTTATTATTTATATTATCTATTTTATTTGCTACCGTACAAAGGTTAATGATAATTAGATTAGTGGTAATCGATTCAAAACATCGGTTTATATCGGTCCCTTTCTGTTTTTTTTTTTAAACAAGTTCATTTGGCAAAAGTGATTTGGTGAATATATATAGACTGAATATGTCTTAAATTACAATTTTTTTTTCTTCAATATTTTTTCATAAACCTTTTTTTCAGCTGGTTTATTACGTAAAATTAAACAAATATGTTCCTCGTTTTTTCTTCTTCCCAGTTTGGTTGCCTTATTTTATCAAACTTCTTTCTGCATCTGTGTTCACGATTTCATTGGGTAATAATTATTTTGATGTTTTCAATTTTTTTTTAAATTGAATTAATTACAATACCTAGCAGGAATTCATAAAACTCACATATGACATTTTCCGACATTTTTTAAAATGTTGTTACACCATTCAGGTATGGCTTTCCTTAATGCAGTACCGTGTTTTGGTCTTGATGGTCAGCTGATTTGTATGACGCTAATAAACAGCTTATTTGTTCATATCGGTCAAAGGTAAGAAATATACAAGAAATAAATGGATAAGTAAATCTTAAAAAGAATCTACATCTACAAGAATCTACAAGAAAAAGAAGAATCAAGTTATGAATTATTTATAAAAAAGGAAAAACAGAATAATTTGTAATAATTATTAGACTTTTAGGACCAGACATTCTCGCTAAAAAACACCTGGGGATACAAGGCTCTTTAGAAATCCGGATCCTTCAAAAGCAATACACCATTGGGCTACATCACCTTTAACAGATAAAAATGTCATTCGCAATCTGCATAATTACCTCACATTTTTCCATTAGGGATGCTATGCTTCATATTTCGTTCGAAAAAGTTAATTCGTTCGTAAAAGTTATTATATTTTATTTTTTTCATTCGTTATTTAATATTATTAATCGATGCTAATAATTTCAGCAAACGTCGAAAACTTTTAAGGCTATTACTTTATTATGGAACGTTTGTCTTAACTGCAAATGTTATTATCGCGTTTACACATTTATATTTTGTTAAATTACAATTTAACGATCTCATTTTAAATCCTTTTATTAGGCAAGTGAATTAATTAATTGTAATGAAGCAAAAAAAGATTTGTAATTTTTATTTCTACTGTTTTTCCACTGAAATCAATGATACGCATTTTTATACTCTTGTGGAAATCGCCTTATCACTTGTGTTGTAATTTTGCTTATTGCTGAGCTTTGTGTATGAATGGAATATCAAAGATATTAATACAAATATATTGTTTGGTAATTAATTATTTCTAGCCTTTTTTTCTTTTTAGCTGTATATTTTATTGTATTTTTCCATTTTACTGCAGACTTTTCCACAAATTTTTAAATTTTTATAAACTTTTAAAAATTTTAAAATATTCAAATGACCGCGTAAAAAAAGAATTTATTGCAAATTAAGTTATTGCAGAAATAAGTTATTATAAAAATTTAAGTAAGTGCTGTCAAATGAAAGGGATTTAAAGGTAGAATAAAAGTAGATCTGAGTTTAAAAAAAAGTATCATAGAGGAAAATAGCGATTATTAAACAAACATAACAATAATACATAACATAAAATAATAGTAATAAAAATAAAGTTTACTTCAATGGTGGCGGTAAAATTTCTTTTCTTGTATTTATTTTTTTTGAAGGTATTGTTGTTATCGTTGCTGTTGTTGTTGTTGTTGTTATAATATCAACAATTGCTTCTTGAACCTCAGTTGAATTAAATATTTCATCTACAATCATAAGAAATATTTTATCATTTTCCATAAAACTGAAAATGAATGATATAAATTTAGAATTTACTTCATCATTAACAAATATTTACTCCATAATTCAGTCATATCATTCTGCAGAAGCTGTAATACTTTTCGAAGAAAAATGACGCAGTTTGATGGAGCACTGGAGGTTTAATGATATTTTAGTGGCAAAAAGCGAATGTAATGGAAATGGGAATGTAATCGAGGAAGTGTGAAGAGATTGTAATAATGGAGTTCATGGTTCTCGACCGTGTTCTCATCAGAGAAGCGGAATATATTTTCCCATCCATCAAGAATTTTAAGTTCAATTTAATAAAAAATTAGCAATAATAAGCATAATGAACTTGGTAATAATAAATAATAAGCTGCGCACTGATTTACCCACATATAAGATATCAAAGTGATTCCGCCAATCTAATTCGCATGAACTTTCCGTAAATGAATAATATTAGATAAAGAGCCTAAGACAAGCAGAAGGCAATAGCAACGAAAGTGAATCGCCCATTTCTACACCATCCAGTCTATTTAGCTTTAAGAATAAAGCAAAATGCATGGTATTATTTGAAATAAAACGTTACCAATCCATTTTAATTGGTGCAAGAATTTAATTTCTCAAATTGTTATATTTTATTATATTTTTTCTTTTATTTTATTAAATTGAATATGAAATCTGGCGTTCCCCAAGGTAGTTGTATTGCGCCCTTACTTTTTTTATTATATTTAAATGGTATCACCAAAGTGGTGCTAAATTCTATCATTTATATTTATGCTGATGATTGTGAAGTTTATTATTCTCACGGTAGAGCGGATAAGCTATCTCCACTGCAGGAGGACTTCAACAAAATAAAGATATGAAGATATGACATTTATTTAGAAAAATTACCTTTTCTTTTCAAAAGTATAGCCTTATTCATATCAGTTCTAAAGGATTCGATCTTCCTAATCTTTTTATTAATGGTAATATAATCAGAAGAATCTCATATACTTCCGATCTTGGAATAATCATGGATGAAAATCTCGGTTTCGACCCTCATTGCAGAACCATAGTAAAGAAATCCTCAAAAATACTAAATTTTATTTTTCGTTCGTTTAAGAACAAAACTGAGGGTTTTCTTATCAAAATGCACAAAGCGTTTGTTCGGCCTCTTATTGACTACATTACTACTATTCCACAGAATATCGCAAATCAAGTAAATAATTAAAATAATTGAAGGGCTCCAAAAATATTTCATACGACGCCTCTTTCCTAATAGCAATTTTAATTATAAAAGAAAACTTCTACAATATCTAAAATACAACCTGGATTCTCTCCCAGTTCGTCGAATTAAACAAGATTTAATTTATACTTATAAGATTCTATATGGTTGAACTAGATTGTTCAAAATATTATAATTTTAGAGTAAATTTGAATCCAACAAAAATTAATGGGCTAAAATTACTAAAATCTATGAGCAAAACTAAACAAAGGACTTCTTTACTCGTACTATTTATTACTGGAATAAACTACCGAATGATATATCTTGTGCGCCATCCCTAGCTAACTTTGAAAAAAGAATAGATAATATCGTTTATGATATAAAAATGCAGGAAGTGTGAAATCTCGATGTTTATCATCCGATTATATATAATACGGTTCAATTTTGCAATTTCCTCCTTAGATTATTAATTTTTGTCATATTTTCTTTTTCTTTTTTTATCATTAATTATTATTATTTGTTATCTTAACTTATTTGTTATTATTATACACGCACATGGCGCTTGTCGCTCTGTTTGGCCAGTCTTCAGTAAATAAACATTTTATGCTATTAAGATGGATCTTGCTAAAGCGCACAGTTGTTATTTCGCTTGATTTTTTAAATAAATGGTTAAATAAATAAAATATATATTTGTAAAATAAATAATAAAGAAATAAATAAAATAATACAAAAAATAAAAAATGAATAAAATAATTGAAAATAAAGGAAAAAATTAATAAAAAAAGGAAACAACCTTGTATGAAGTTTTCACCGTTATTATTCACTGCATTAACAATTTGCAATAAATTAGTTTTCAACATGAAAAATAATAAAAAAAATGAATAAATGAATTTCATCGTATTTGTTATAAATAAAAAGAAATTTTTCTGAAATATATTTAAATATTTATTTTTTAAGAAATTTTAAAAAGAATGTGGAAAAGCCAATATTTTAAAGCAAAAACGCAACATAAACATCTAAATATTTTATAAACCACTTTGGCTTTTACTATTTAAAAGGACATCAACAAATTTTCAAAAAACACCTCACCAAATGCAATTCTATTAAACAAAACTGCGAAAAATTATTCTCTGATTGCGAACCTCGCAAGAGTACGAACTTTGGGTAATTCGTTAGTGAATGAGAAATGCCATTTATGCCGAAGTTTAGCAGAGGCCGTGACCGCGTTCATTTTTGCTACCGATGGGGTCATTCAGAAGTTGGGGATGAGATATTGTTTTGGTGGAATGTGGTCCATTTTGGTGCTTTTTGTGGGGATTGGTGTGTTGTGGAATTTAGGAGTTTCATTTTTGCTTCACTTTTTTGGATTTATTTCGATATTTCTTCCAAAATAATGCAGTTTATTCCGGGAGGTCTTATTAGTTTTTTTGTTACTTTTTATTTTTATTGTTATTTTTGGATTCAATTTCATTATTCGCTTTCAATAAATCAGTAAAAGTGGATTTTTATTTTTCAGCTCATTGAAGAAAAAAGTGGTTTATTGGTTTATATGTATTTTAATGATGCTTAACTGTAATAATAATACCAGTAACAATAGTAATAGCAATAATAGCAGTAAGGATGGAGAAAAAGAAAAAGGTGGACCCGTCGTGAATATTTGCAACGTGTGGTCGAGTAATTTAGAAGAGGTTTTTTTTACTTTTCACACTCAGTGAAAGAAAATTTGTACAAAATATTTTCAAAAAGTATCGAAAAATGCCAGTTTTTGTGGTTTAGGACGATTTATTTTTTCCCATTAAATATCATTTATTAACCTTTTAGCTTTAAGCTACTTTATATTAAATATTAAAAATTTAAACTTTTACAGGAATTTTCTAGAATAAGAGAATTGGTGCGAAGTTATCCTTTCGTTGCGATGGATACCGAATTTCCTGGAGTTGTAGCGACTCCTTTGGGTCAATTTCGAAGTAAAGAAGATTTTAATTACCAGCAAGTTAGTTGTACTGGAAAAATGCACCTAACACCTTTCCTCTGTTTAATTCGTTCTGAAAAATATTTTAAGGTTTCGTGTAATGTAAATATGTTGAAATTGATTCAAGTTGGTTTTGCAATACTCGATAAAGATGGAAATTTGCCACCATGTGGTGACGTGTGGCAATTCAATTTCCAATTTTCCCTTAATGATGATATGTATTCTCAAGAAAGCGTTGAATTATTACGTGAAGCTGGAATAGATTTTAATCGTCACGCAGTAAATTTTTTATTTTTAATAAGATTTTATTTTAATTTTTCTGTTTCGAATCAAGTAATATATGCCCAAAGTAAGCAGCATTGGTCTGATTCATATCCACTAATGAGGTAACTCGATCCATTCAATGCTAAATGAAAAACCATCAAAAACTATCAAAACTATCAGTATTAGAAGTAAATCATCTAATGAGGTGATTCCCTCAAATGATTCCCTACTACGAGAGACCTTTATCTACAAAATTATTTTTCCTCACTTCAGTTCTCAAGTTTTTCTATTTTTATTGTTGTTATTGGCATTTTTAAATTAAATATGCAATACACGCAGTGGAATTTCATGATTAAATTAATATTATGTTATGAGTTGAAAAAATTCTTTCGATGATTTCGTGGTGTGATGAATGAATGAATATTCGATTCTAAAACTATTAGCAGATTCTGGATTTCTTTGATTTTCGTGAATTTTGAAGGTATTTTTTTCAGAATTATTCTTTTATTCTAGACGGAGGGTATTAAAGTGGCCGATTTTGGCGAACTTTTAACAACTTCTGGTCTTATCGTAGCTGATAATATTACATGGTTAACTTTCCACAGCGGTTATGATTTTGGCTATTTAATGCGCTCTATCATGCTTCAAGATTTACCTAAGGAAGAAGCACATTTTTTCGAGATTTTTCAAAAATTATTTCCACATTGTTATGATATAAAAATGCTTATGAGGCAGCCTGGTCCAGTGAATGCCAAATTGCGTGGTGGTTTACAAGAAGTATGTTTCGGTATTCTTTTTACCAAAAAAATATAGAAATCATTCATCAAGTTTATTTTTCATTAGTCACATGAATCATTATTATTAGAGCTAGACAAATCAAAAAAGATATGTGGTGTTAAAAGACTTAAAAGACTTTAAAAGAATTTGTGGATTGTAGGTTGCTGATCAATTACAAGTGATTCGCATTGGAAGTCAACACCAAGCAGGATCTGATTCTTTGTTAACTGCTCAAACATTTTTTAAAATTAAGGAACGCTTTTTTGGCGACAGTTGGGATGAGGTTTTCTTTTCTTGATTCTTCATAATAAAGTAATGAACTAGGTATTGACATATGAAAAATTTAAATATCTAGATCGCTCCAACTGTCAAAGGTCATTTATATGGATTAGGCAGAACACTTTCGGCAACGTCTTACCTTCAGAAAAATAATGTATCAACTCCTGAACCTCAGCTGCAGTTATCAGCAACGCCTGAAGCTTGATATACCCATCCGTATATGAAAAAAATGTTTTATCAAAATTTTCTGCATGATTTTATGTCGGTAAATAACGTAAATAACAGCTTAACAATAGTTGCGAAATTTATCTGCCTTCTTTTCACTACATGTGAATCTTGATATCATGGATCCCTTCATGCGATTTCTTCGTAATTTTTTTCAGCTAAAAATGGATCCATAATTGTGCAGTTTTGTACGAGTAAAATATTATTTATCAAAAATGTTGCTTGCAAACAGAAATAAATGATTTGCTCAAATGTTTTTTTAATTCTAAAATTGGTATAGCGAAGAATTTTAGATTTTACCGTCTTGCAATGAATTTCTCTAAAAATTTGTAACAAGGGATCTAAAATATGCTAAATTTTCATAATTTTCAAAGTTTTATTTGGTGAATGGCAGTGGCAAAGTGGTAGAAGACAGAATTCGACGAATGAAGCACAAATTGTGTATATAAAATATATGTTTGGGAGAGTTGAAATCGTTCAGGTTTAATGCAAATTTTTGATACAACAGAGTGTAGAGTCTAGTTAGTACCTCTCAATAATCGGAGCCAGTCCTGCCAGAAATGATGAGTTATTATAATTTAATGTCCACCTTTTTCAGCAGCAAGTGAGTGCTCGAGGTGGGTCTGGATTAGGGAGAATTTACATCTTTTTATTACCACTAGCCAGAATTTCCCTAAATTATGAATCGTAGATGAGAAACCACAATATTCTCAATATTTGTAACTTGTCACCAGTAGATCTCATCACCGATATTTTCATATTCACATCATTCCATTCGATCATTAGATATTTAATTAGTTGGGCAGAATCCACTGGATACAAGCTAGAGAACTTCGTTTCCAAAGAGTTCTCCACTGCTTGAGCGTAGATATAGCTGAGCCACCCAACCGATCGATCATTTTCAGTTATTATATACTCGTAAATCAGGGTTTGAAGTAAGTGGTACCGAATGAGCTATCTTGTCGAAAATTTCATCGAATCAGTGGGAAATTCCTATATCTATCACATAAGTTGGAGAAGATTGCAAATTTTAAACATTTAAACTTTAAATATTAAAGCCCTTATACTAAATGGCCAAGCCAGAGTCCGAATCCCGGCTCTGGTAATACATCTTTTGGTCTGGAGAAATCTCTATGAAATCACCAAGGAATCACTGTAAAAATGAAAATACTTACCTTTTTGGTTGGTTGTACCACTATGTTATATATGGCCATTGAGACTCACATCTAAAACTTTCTCGGATAAAACCTAGCATTACATCGATCTTCACTCAAAATAAATAAAAGCGTGCGATCACAAATCTGGTATGAGTTGCACCTGTACAGGTTCTTTTCACCGTCCACCGCAAGAACTGACGCACACATATCCCGTCATTTAGTCCTGTGATGAATGGCCTTAAAAGCGAGAAAGACCAGTCAAGAACCAACCACAAGAACTTTAAACCAAAAAATGGTTCTTCAAATTGCTCACATGAACTGAACAGGATTAAGCAGCATGCTTTACCCTTGTAATGGAACCGGCCTAACCAGAAATGGTGCGAGTTGTTGTATGGCTTTTTTCGATGTTGGAACAATTTGCATAATCTTATTTAAGACGGACCTTCGTGCCATGCGTTCAAAATTTCTCTTAACCATATATGTTTCACTGTTTCATGCTAATGTTTTTAAAAAAAATTGAGTGAAGCCTGAAAACTTCACCGCACTATAATAAATGAATTTAAAGAAAAATTTAAAGCAATGGTCGTCGAGCCAGTCCCCGCACGGACTCCATGAGGCCCATGGCCTTCCCCAGGGAATGCATAGGAGCCATAATTCGAATTGTGCATTATTTTATTTGAATGGCAATCTTCGAATCTTTTTTAAAATATTGTATGCGATCCAATATATCTCACATGAGATGTAGGTGGGAAAACCTAATAAAATTTTGATTTAAAAGAAATTTGAAAGAACTGCAGGCTTTTAATGTAAAACCTGGTAGGTCAGTGAGACACCTATAAAATTAATATTTAGTTATAACATTTAAAATGATTCGCTGTAAGACCCAGCGTTGATTATTCGCAATTTGGAATGGACATTGATTTCGAACTGTAAACTGTGTCGTAATTGGGTCTATCGACGTCGTTAAGAGGTGTGTTTTGCTTGAGAAATGCCACCAAAGTTTGATCCCAGCGAGATAAAAATTGGTTTGTTTTGTCTTTTTAATTGTATTAATGATATTTTTAGTAAAGAGTACATAATTTTTCTAGTCAAATTACTGCTAGAAGGATGGAAATGGTGCTTGGTTTGTCGGCATATTTCCTGGTGACTGTGTGCGGATTGGTGTGAACCTATTAAATATCGGGTTAAATGCAAAAAGAATAGAATTCATTAGGAATTGCTCGAGATCCCTTTGCTCAGGTTTTTCATGAAGTCTTTATTACTCGAATCAGAGAAGTTTTAGGGATATTTCTGAGAAGTTGTGTTGAGAAGTAATATTTTGTGGCATCAGTCAACTCAAAAATATAGTTTAACATTGAGGTGATGAAAGAATGTACTGGATTATGATTCCTTCAGGTTTAGGCTTTTTTCTGAAAGCGTTATTCATTTCTAGTTAGCTGATAGCTGATTTTTCATAAATCGGCGCTCGGGAACGAATGGGCTATGGGCCATTGCCATTTTACCTTTTCTAAGAAGACTAATTAAGAATAAAATATCTCCTCTCATATTCTGTTTCTTAAAATTTAAAAATTTGAAATGAATGTTTTCGTTCGATTCAGGCATAATCTGACTTTTATAAAATACTTTTATTAGTATTTTGAGCCTTGTCGTGATTTCGTTATTCGTTTGTATACATTTGTGGCAGTTTTGAGTGATTGAGCGATATAATATTTATATTCGTGCAATTAGTGCTTAAAATTACAAGTTCGTTGTTTTCCACAAAAGGATATTCTATTTTTTTTCAGTTTACCTTCGCTGCGTTGGAGGTGAAGTTGGCGCAACTTCAGCTTTGGCTCCAAAAGTTGGTCCACTTGGTTTGGTTTGTTTTTTTTGGTTTCTTGTTTGCATTAATTATATTAATATTATTTAAAATATAATCTATTGAATTTATACACTTTTAGTCGCCGAAAAAAATTGGAGATGATATAGCAAAGGCGACACAAGATTGGAAAGGTTTGAAAGTTACATGCAAATTGACGATTCAAAACCGAGTGGCAAAAATTGATGTCGTGCCTTCGGCTGCTTCGCTCCTAATCAAAGAACTAAAAGAGCCGATGAGGGATCGCAAGAAGGTTAAGCACGGTATGCAGATAGAGAAGTATCATGCGATGTATAAGAAAGCAGTGGGTAGGGTGACCCGAAATGGTCCCCATCCCCCAGACCTATGTTGTATGATCTTAGTGCAGCAAAGGCTGGTAACCGTGTCCGTATGCAACACGGTAAGCTGGACAGAGAAATAGAGTAGTTTGTAATGAATTAAAGAATATTTATAAAATTCATCTTATCTGACTTTTGTTGGGTTGTAAATCTGTTTTTAAATAATATTCAGGTGAATCGTAACTATTATTCCTTTGGCGCCATTGAAATTTTTAAGATTTTTTCCCTTTTTTATTAATTCAGTTTTAATTCAGTTTTTTTTTATTTATCGATATCATTTCATTAAATTAAGAGTTTATGCACTTGGCGAAATTTCAGTGAAACATTCTGGTGATTTATCTGTCGAACAAATCATAAATATTGCGAGAAAAATGCGTCCTCGTTCTGTTGCGAGAAAACTGGAAGGGACAGTCAAGGAAATTCTTGGTAATTAAGCGATTTAACGATAATGATGAGTGGTCTGATTTGGTATTAAATATATAAATTTTAGGAACAGCTCAATCAATAGGATGCACAGTGAATGGACAACACCCGCATAACATTGTTGATGCTATTCGTAATGGTGAAATTGTTATACCAGAAGAATGAATTAAAATTTTATTTCATTGTTTTTTGTTTACTTTTACTGATAATATAAATTGTTTTGTTGCTCGAAATGTTTTACTACGCAAAGCATTGCGTGCTTATTTCCATAAATCTATATATTGGTATATTGCGAAACTCAAATTACAAAGTATAATACCTACATAAATAAAATACGACTGGTGCCATGATATTTGGCTGATGGGTCGTTGGCTGCAAGAGAGAGACCGATCTTCTAGGGCGCAGATTGGATGTGGGTTTAGGCTGCTGGAGGGGTTCGATAACATTTGTATTTTGGTCTCAAAGTTGTAAATCGTAATAGCTAATATTTAGATAAATAGGGTTGTAATTTAAATAAATTAGCGGTGAAAAATGGCAGAGATTTTTAGTGTTCAACAACTAAATGTTCCACAGTCATACAGGTTGTTTGTTGTTTTATTTATTTAATATTTAATAAATTTATTTAATTTTTCGGGTTTTTCATTCCCATTTGAATAGATTTTGGGGTGGGATATGGATTTTTTACATTAGATTTACATGATTATAGGCAATTTATTTTACAAGTAAGTTGGCGGTATTATTTTGAAAAAATGGTGTAAACTTTCTGAGCGATGAGTGCGATAAAAGTGAAATAAGAGATAATAAATTAGTGCAGGCGAATGTGACTCATTTTCAAGTATAATCTCGGAGCTTATTGGCTTGTCTCATACGAACTTAAGTGATAAGAGATCTATGTGATCGGGAAGTCGAGGAGGGATTTTGGACTTTTTTGGAAGCGAGCGAGGATCGTAGGTGAAATAGGCGAGTTGGTGGGAATCACTACCATATTATCCCTAAACTATATGTATTTATAAAGAAGAAATGCAAATAGAAACAGAGTTGAGAAGATAAGTGGGTGGTTCTGTGATTAGGAAAAGATGGACTTGAAGATGGGCCAAGACGTCTTCGTTAGTGAAGCGAGACAAATATCAATTTTTCAGACTTTTTCAGAAGTCTAATAGTTTTTAAATTTCGCAAAATACTTTTAAAATTTCCAGGAAAAGTAGTTTTCAATTTTTTTATAAGATTAAAAATTCTAACGAAAAACGAAAAATGCGAAAAAAATCTTAATATTTGCTCATACGAATCGTTATCAAGTTTTATTTTTCTAGAAATATATTGAATTTTTTCAAGAAATTTTTAAAGAACAGACCTGTCTGAATTTTTAATGGAATGAAATTGACGAATATTTGTGAAGAAGAAAAATCTTTCATAGATTTGCTTCAGAGATAACATCTTAAAATGGAATGGTTGGGGATATCAAGATTCGAGTTTTCAGCTCGACGAAGATAACAGTGTTATTTTTACGGGTCAAAGGTTGTCTCTTTTTGAAGATCTTTTCAGTTTAATTACATTAATTACAATTTAATTATTTCAATTATATTAACAATAAAAGATTGATATAACTATTAGTTTTATATTAATATAGTTATATTTATATAATTCAATATATAATTATATCAAATTATATATAATTCAATATAATTATATCAAACATTGCATTAAAAATTTAAAATCAAGATAATATGACTATTAAAAATTAAAAAGAATTAATTGCATAAAATTTAAGGTATGAAATGTCGGGAAAAAAACTACCTTATTTTCGTGAATGGTTCGAAAGAAATCTTGGTATCGATATAAATCATCGTGCTCGTTCTTGTATACGAAGCGAATTAAATCCACCGCAACCGATTAATAATCAAGAATTTATCGACTTCTTATATTCCATGAATATATCATATTCAAACGCTCCTCAGCATCGAATCGTGCGTTCTCATGGACATACCGGTTCTTTTGATACTTCTATCTATCTTTCACTTATTATTCCGCTTATTGCATTTCACTAAAGGTTATATAGGATTTCCAACTCCACTCGTACTTATATGTTTTTCACCATTTAGGAAGTGTAGGAGAACTAGCCTTTTCACCACCCACCACAGTTTAAAATTTAATTTTCGGCGAAAAATTACGCAGTGTCTATAGATTTTTTTGGAGCAGCGATATTTATTCCATCTAAAATATTACCTTTAAAGCACAAAATATTACCTTTAAAATAATTAATTTTTTGAGGTCATCAGTGTTTATTTCTTTAGTGCATGAGGTGATGGATTTGCGAAAGGGCAATTTGAAAAGAATACCGGATTTAATAGTTTGGCCGAAAAATGAGTTGGAAGTCGTTAAGGTACAGCAATATTCAAAGAAATAAGGATTTATTACTTGATATAAAAAAATTTTCGATTAAAACCATATTTCTAGCTTATATAGTTTCACTCTGAGTTTATTACATTTTCTTGCACGATAAATTTTCTTTTTATAAGAAATTTTGCAGATAGTTGAGGGCGCAAATGATTTCAATGTAGTGTTGATTCCGATTGGTGGAGGCACTTCTGTTTCGAATGGTTTAGAGTGTTCAACTGATGAATTGAGATCGATTTGTTCGCTTGATATGGCTTTAATGGATAAAATTATATGGATTGACGAAATCAATTTAACTTGCAGAGCTGAGGTATTACATTATCGTTTTCGCATTTTTTCATCATGTTGAATTATATGAATCGGAATTTTGGTTTTTACTAATTATATTACAATATCTTGATCTCAAGGCAGGTATAATTGGCCAATCGTTAGAAAGGCAGCTGAATGAGAAAGGGTTCACTTGCGGTCATGAGCCAGATTCTATGGAATTTAGCTCACTCGGTGGCTGGGTTGCTACTCGAGCTTCAGGTATTTTATGGGCATTTATTTTGAATTCTATAGGCTTTGTTTATTTCATTGTTATAAGTGGGAAATTTGTAGGTATGAAAAAGAATAAATACGGCAATATTGAGGATTTACTTTTACATGTGAATTTAGTTACTACGAAAGGTATAGTTAATAAAAATTGTCAGGTAATAATTACAATTTTATTATTTCTTTTATTAATTGGCTACTCCAATTATCAATCACATTAAAAAATACCAGAAGATATCTATTGATATATCAAAGTCACTTGAACAAGTAAAATTTATCTCACATTACCAAAATTTCTCAAAAATTCTCATGAAAATTCTTGTAATACTTCAGGTCCCTCGCATCTCAAGCGGACCTGATATTCACCACTTAGTTCTTGGTTCTGAAGGAATTTTTGGTGTAATTACTGAAGTTACGTTGAAAATTTTCCCCTTACCTAAAGTAAAACGATATGGTTCTATCATTTTTCCTACATTCCAAGATGGAGTAGAATGCTTTCGTGAAATTGCAAAACAGGTTTTATTTTCACCTTCATTTTTGCATTTTAAACAAAATTTTAAAATAATAAATAGGAAAGTTCTCGATATTAAACAATAATTGCTCTTGAAATTTCGAGGAATTTGTATAGTTTTTAGCGCTGTCAGCCTGCTTCTTTGCGACTTATGGATAATGAGCAGTTTCTCATGGGACAAGCATTGAAATTAGAACAGTCGATGTGGAAAAAATTGTCTAATGGAATGAATAAATTGTATATAATGAAATGGAAAGGATTTCAGGTGAAACTGGTGCTTCAGAGATTTCACGAAATTTGAATTATTACTGATGAACTTTTTTCTTCTTCTAACAGTTCCCACCACTGTTGCTTAAGCTAGCTCCACTGGCTATAAGGGTAAGACGTTCCCAGGCTGCGTGATCTGATGCCATCGTCAACAGTAATACAAGCCTTTTTTTCCATATATCATAACACCTAAATCCATATATCGCTGGTCCTCCTAAACGTTCAAAATGTTTTCTGACTATACAAGGTCTTGATTGGCCCACCTTGCTTTTGATACCACCAATCATAATATTTAGAAAGTATGAAACCTATATGACATAATTCTTGTGGTGGGCAATGAAGAATGTGTCGTAACCAGCGAAAACGACGCTTTATAATGGTACTGTTAATACAAGTGGTATTTTAAAAGAAGGTAGATACGATCATGTGAGATTTTATTCACTCGGCGAACTTGTAAAATGTACCTTAGACATGAATGGTCAACAACAAACATCTCTTAATATCCTCCACTCTCATTGGACATGTCTCGCAGCCATATAGCGTCGTCGACTGAATCGCGGCTGTATAAACGCAGATATTCATTTTTATGGTGATTTATGGTGAATGATTATGGCAACAGCTCCATAAAGATTTCGCCAACCAGAAGAACACATTTTTAGCTGACATTGTCCGGATTTTTAATTTCGTCTTTTCCATGGTCATTCGGTATTGGAGTGGACCCAAGGTATTTAAAATCGAGCACTTTCTCAATCGGCAGTGAGTTTGTAAAAAGAGGCATTTTAAAGGCTTCTTGTATATAAGACGAAAAGATGAAAAGGCTTTTATTTATATTGACCCAGAGTACAGATCTCGCTGCAGTTGCTAACGTTTGCATTTCGTCCTAACTATTAGGACTACATCATCAGCGATCTAATACCAAGATCTGTTATAATGTTCTCTGGTCTGGTTTATATCTTCTGGAGTGCCGATAAGCAATTTCCATTATCTATCGCATAATTAGGGGAAAGGACGCAACCTTGACGGACTTCAATTCTTATTTCGAAGGATTCTTTCAATTCCCTATATACACGGACCTGCGACTTACGCTGATAAAAGCAACGTCGCGTTCCATCATCTTCCACTGCGCCGTTCTGTCAATTGACTCGAAAGCAGCTGTATAGTCGAAACACGTGATAGTTGGTTGAAAATATTTGAAGCGATGTTCTAAACATTTTCTTAACATGAATATCTGGCACAACCGCGCTCCGGTCTGAATCCAGTTTTATTAGGACGCATTCTGCTATATGTCCTGTCATCTTTCTTGGAAATTTGGAGCAGAATTGCTTTGCTCCAGTCATCTGGTAATATTTTTTCCCATACCAGAGAATATATTTGTTGAAGATGTGTTATGAAGGACGATAGACGATGGATGAATATTTAAAGAGTTCCATTTTCTCCCGGAGCCTTATTGGCCTTAAGCTTATGAATAACAGATATTATTTTTTCTTCCGTCGGGGGCTCGTAGTTGCAAGCATATGGTTCAGCGAACGTATCATTTATATCAGGGGCAACAAATGGCACTTCATGGTTAGGTTTGGCCTCAAAGAATTCCTTCCATCTTGTGAGGCGATCCTTAATAATCTTAACTGGCATACCATTGCTATCCCATACCATTTCACTAGTCGTTTTTCCCCGAATTATAGTAGTTTTATTAAGAAGGCGAAATAGTTCCCTATTATCGCCTAATCGAGCCGCTGTCTCCATTCTTAAGATCATTTCACTTCAATAATGATTTCTTTTCCGCCATGATGCCGTCATTAGGATCTTCTGACATTCGTGCATAGACATTGATGACCGAGATATAGCAGAATTTATCTTTAAAGCTTATAAATCATACATTTACTTACCGGTTTCCACTCAATCAAGCCAGAATGGGCATTTTCAAACATGACAATTGCTATTTCGCCCTGAGTTATCAAAAGCACCACAGTAATATAGCCAATACCTCTGCTTCAAGCGATTATTAGTAGATTATTAACATATATTTACACATATTTAGAAAGAGTATGGATGATCTCTTGGTTTGCAATGTCCAGAAGCATTCTGACATTCCACGCTGATATGGCTAACACCTCATCGCACGTGCATAGTGTCATTCCTTTTGATAGGTCTCGATAAACTTGGGATTGTTTTATGCCCAGATTGTATACTTATCGCGTATGCCACCGTCTTGGGAATGTCATGTGCGTCAGAGAACGAAAATGCCGTATCAAGAACATCTTACCCTTTCACCATAGAATCGGTGGGTATAGAGTGGGTGTTACAAGTGGATCCTCAGCAGCCATACGGATTTTTGAATAACAGGTTTACTCTTGTCGAAGACAAGGTTAGAAAGGAAAAATATATAATTTAATCTATAATTTGTTAGTTTCTAATGAATTAGAGCCAAGTTTATAGAAATTTCATGAAATTTTGGTCTATAATTTTGTAAATGGGACAATAGCAATAGTTTAATTTTTACGGCAGTCTGCTTAATTACTGATTTTTAATCTTTTTAAATAATTCTTTTTCATAAATTTTTTAGCCGAATGAAATTGTTGTCGCTACTTGTGTATATGAAGGAGATTTCGATGAAGTTAATGCACAAGAGCTTAAAATTAATACGATTTCATCTGATTTTAATGGTATTCCTGCTGGTGAAGAAAATGGTAGATATGGTTATCGATTAACTTTCGCTATTGCATATCTTCGAGTAAATTTATAACATCTTATTTTTCTTGCAAAGTTTTTATGAAATTTATTTTTTGCTTAATTTTACGAGGATACCTTCAGCAATTTATAATTTTAATTTCCGATTATTATTAATCTTTTTTTAAAAATATTTCTTTATTTGCTTTAGGATTTCGGAATGGAATTTGACGTTCTTGGTGAATCGTTTGAAACTTCTGTCTCATGGAATAAAGTACTCATTTTATGCACAAATGTTAAGCGGTTGATAAAACGGGAAGCGATAGCTAATGGTATAACTCGTCCAGTTTTTGCCAGTTGCAGGTGATTTCGTTTTTTAACCTTTTATGATTTTAGATTCAAAATCATTGAAAATTGAAAATTAAATAATAATAAAGAAACAAGTGAAAAAAGGAAATTTATTGAATAAAATTCAAAACTTATGACTATAAATCGCGAAGTTAAATATTCTGGTTACACGCACAAAATAATAAAATAATAATAAATAGCAAAAACGCGATTTCTTATTGAGATATTTTACTAATATTTACTTGTCTTTTAACAACCTTTCAACAAAAAAATTTAAAAAAAAACTTAAAAAAAATTGATTTTCAATTTCACTACAGTTGATTTTAAATTCAGGGTAACTCAGATATACGATGCAGGTGTTTGTGTTTACTTTTATTTTGGATTCAATGGCGCAGATATAGAAAATGCTTTGGGAATCTATGATAAGATTGAGGTGTGTATTTTTAAAATTTTTTTTAATATTATAATATATATAATATTTAATATAATAATAAAATTTCAGTGCTGAAATTTACGAATATCAATTTTTGTTATAAATTTATCTTTCTTTCTTTATCATAAGATTTCCACCCATAATTTGTCAAGGATTTCTATGATTTATTTGAATGCAGATTTCCAGTTTAGTAATGACGCTTTATTTAGTCAAAAGATAGAAAAGATCAATGGATAAAAGCCAAAGCATGTTAATTTGATATTTCATTAAAATATCAAAAATATCTTTGGTATTACAAATCATTGTGCAGTTAAGGATTGTAAAATTTTAAGTTTACTTATCGTATTGTGCTATTTGTTTTTATTTTTACTATTATATTTCACTATTCATTGAATAGTTGACCATTTTTTAACAGTGATTTTCATGATTTTCATTCACCCATTTCAAATAATTCAACTCAAATAATTTTTAAAATTTTAACTAATGTTTCATTTTTTTATAATCTGAATATGAGGAAAATTCTACGCAATAGTATTTTTGCAAAATTTTCATGTTCTGAATATCAATGAAATCTTTCAATTTTAAGATGAAAAAAATTTTAGAAAGCAGCAAGAGATGAAATAATTGCTTGCGGTGGGAGCATTTCGCACCATCATGGAATAGGAAAATTACGCAAAACTTGGATGAAAAAAACTATTGGTGATTTAGGAATTTCTGTAATACGCTCCATAAAATGCGACGTTGATCCAAAGGTATATTTTTTATTTATATGAAGAAAAAGATTGAAAGTAGAATATAATGAGTTTAGTGAATAGTGAAGAATTTTGGCTTTTATTTTTATTATTTGTCCATCACTGGCTCCTTTTCCTGGCCAAATCAAATTCTTAATAAGTAAATAAATGAATAGAAAATTATACTTTACTGGATATGTTGTTTTTTCAAAATTTTATTATTTTAGAATATTTTTGCGAATGGGAATTTGATTGATATACCAAAAAGTAAAATATAAAAGTGGAAAAAACCCAAAAAAAGAAGAAAGAATCGAAAAAAAACATTGCGGTATTTCCATATTTTTGACTGAAAATTCTAGTTAAATTTTAAAAATTTCTTTTAAATTTTTCTTCTGCATTTCAATGCGAAATATGATAATGATTGTGTCCACCTGTAGCCTTCCATTTTAACCACTCGCTTCCCCTCAAAAGAAGAAATTATTTGACTTCTTTCAAAAATATTTATAGTCGGTTTCGGTTTGACGATCCTTATTTAATCAAGTTTTTAGTGATTTGAATTCTCCAGTAGGATGCAGCATGCATTGAAAATGTCTCGTAAACGCTCATCACAATATGAATAATTTTTAACTTTGCATTATGAAGCGAATTTTTTAAAAATAGGTGAATTTTTTTTGTAATGAAGCGAGAAATGTTTATTTTTTGCTCTGTTAAAGAATTTTCCTGGTATAATAAAAAAATTTAGTCACTTATCTCTTGCCTTTTTTTTAGTTATTATAAAATGTTTCTAGATGTTTTTTATTATTCATATTCATATCGTTTGTATTTGCTATATAATCTGCCATATTTTATTCTGCCTTACTTATGAAATTATAGTTGAAAATTTTGAAAATAAAATTCCATTAAATTAAAGGGGGGTCCATTTTATTTAAATTTCTTAACTTAACTATATTTTATTTATATTTCTTAGTATTTGGGTATTTTCGCCAGTGTTAGTTCGCCATGGAAAAAGGATATATATATATATCTCTTACTAATGTAATTGTATGAATTAATTGGTCAGTTAAAGCCGAACGGAGATCTATAAGCAACTTTGTAGTGAATGGTTTATTAATATCATCGCTCATCTGCAAAGGCGAAATCGTTAGAAATGCTCGTAAAATAAAATTTCCAGTGATTTGGAATGAATGATTTCAGGAAATGCCCATGTTGAAAACGAATATAACGTCCTTATTTATCAGGGCGTTTTATTGTATGTCGATTTTTTCTTTCATTAAGGTTTTTAAAACATAATCACCTTATAGCTCTCGTCATCCCTGACTTAGTTGGCTAGGCCGAGGTCCTTCCACGGTGCGTACAGTGGATGGTACGTTTCCCGGGGCCCACTTTTGGTGAATTCCTTATTCTTAAAGGATGAGGGATTTTTAAATCAAATTGTAAAATATTTATATTAGTGTGCTACCATTATCCTATTTTTATCAGAATTTATCTTCCATCATTTATTTAAGTTTTCTTGAAAAGAAATTTATTTATTTCGGTTAAAATTTTTTTACTGCTTTTTCAATTGTAATTCCAAAATAATTTTTGTTATTGTATACGTTTTGCTGAGCTGGAGCTAATTTGCTTGGGTGATTACTATGTTGGGCCTAATTTATTTGGAAGATTGGTTGGTCTAGTTTTTGGTTGAAAAAAGGTACACTGGTGGAAATATGCCAGTGCTTATTTTTGAAAATATTGTAACAATTTGGAAATTGATGAAAGAACATCGATTCTTATTTTCTTATTCAGTAAGTGAATTTTATATTTTCTCTTTGATGCCATAAGTGCAAAAAAGGGGTCTAAACCCGTCGCTTACGGTTAATGGAACTAACCAAAGCAAGATGTTTCATGATGTTATAGAATAAGAAGTGTTAGAAACACTTCTATAATCTGCAAATTGGGTGATAGCGCGGCGGGATGTATAAAATTTACTAAATGTTCTATATTCGGGCCACTGGTGTCGTTTTTCGTGACACTAAAAAGAAGATTAAGCGAAAATTGTTGCTAAAAGATGACACAAAAATTTTAAAGGCTAAAATGGCACAAAATTTCGTTTTAAGTTAATTTTTGTACTTTTTGTAATAATTGGAGTTTTTTTATAAGAGCACTTAAGGTTAACTCGCGTCGCTTAGTTGTGGGACCAGACAAATTTCGCCATAGAGGTATAGGCGAATCGCCAGTGTAACTCGGGTGAGGGTCAGGAAGATAACGGCGATCCGAAATAAGCATTGAATCTTTGCTAGTTTGTCCCCGTCATCCTTTCCATCTCTCCCATCTAATATTCCTCTCTTTAATATTTTCAGTCCATAATTCATATTTCGAAGATATTTTCAATTATTTGTTTCAGCGATGCTTCCTCTTGTGCAACAAATGTTCCCACCATTGTCGAGTACACTTCGTAAAGGTGACTGTGGTCGTATAGCAGTCGTTGGTGGTTCATTTGTATATTCCGGAGCACCTTATTTCTCAGCAATCACTTCATTAAAAACTGTTCACTTTTTAAAATTTCTTCCTCTAATCTACCATTTTACTAACTTTGTGATTAGCATGAGATTCGTTCCTCTGACGAGGCATAAAATTGATTGTCCAGCAGCCAACCAGATTTCTCTTTTGTTGACAGGGAGTTATTTCCAGGATCAAGAATTATGCTATTTGCAATCAACCACCAGCCAGTATTTATTTTGCATTTTTTTCAAAAACTTCTAAAACATGAAGTAAATGAAGTAATGTTGCAGGGAGCCGATTTGGTGCATGTATTTTGTCCAGCAGAAGCAGCCACTGTTATTAAAGGTTATAGTCCAGAACTTATGGTTCATCCATCCTATGATTTAAATACATTACAAGAATCGATGCATCGAATTGATGCGTTCATCTTGGGACCTGGTCTTGGACGAAACGATTCTACACTTTCTGTTGTACAAAATGTTATTGAAATTTCGAAGGAGCGCAGTTTGCCACTCATTATCGATGCCGTAAGTTTTTTACAGCAACATTCACCATTTATTAATCGGCTTCATAAAACAATCGTATGGGCTTTTAAGCTTTGAAATAGAGATGCACGTGAATACGCAGTACCCAGCCAGCTGTCATGTGGAGATAAAACGCACACTGTTTGCCCTTCGTAGTGTAAGATATGAATCCAAGCGTTTTCTTAGCCAGTGATGAACACAACAATGATGCAATGAAAATTGAATTGAATATCAATAAAGTGAAATTTTTTTAATTACCAACAATAATACTATAAATATTTAAAGGATGGCCTTTATTTGTTGGCATCGAAATTGGATCTGATAAATCGATATTCAAAAGCAATTTTAACTCCAAATTATCCGGAATTCACGCGATTATATTCAATGGCTTTTAATGTTGAAGCCGTAGACGATGAAAAACGAAGATCCGGTGAAGCTGCTAGAGAATTAGCTCAGCATCTTGGCATTACTATATTTCAAAAAGGAATAGTTGATATTATCACCGATGGAACGAAAAGTTGTAGATTTTTTACCTTTTTTACCTGAAACCTGGGAATTTCTCCAATTCTCTGTTTCATTTCACTGATCAGAGTTATGTAACGAAAATAACCTATTATAATTTAGTCCATTTTGGAAGAAATGAAGGTTCACCGCGACGTTGTGGCGGACAAGGAGACGTGCTTAATGGTGTTTTAGCAGTATTTGCGCTTTGGGCTTCAAAGTAAATAATTTTAGTTTAAATCATTTTGAAAACTTAGGAAAACTTGAAAAATTTATTTTAATTTTTAAATTTTTAATTTTTTTAGAATGAATTATTCTATTCCTATGGTATCTGCTGGTTTAGCAGCGAGCGAATTTATTCGAGCAGCGGCCCAACAAGGTTTTAAAAAATATGGCAGATCCATGTTAGCCACAAACATTATCGATGAAATACCAGACCTGATTAAACAATTGGACAAAATTGAATTATGAAGCACTTTTAAAAAGATATTTCGCAATAGGTAATTGAAAGATTCCTTTAAAAAAGTACATTACGAAATTTTCATTTGCTAATTGATAAAGATTTTGTTTCTTGCTTGTATACAGGTCTAATACTTCCTGTTAAAATCGCCATCAATAAATATGGACTGAACCCACGGTGCTTGTTTTAGCCCTCTTGCATATGACATTGACTTGTCTCTAGAACATCCAAATAAAGAAAAGTTTATAAGGAAAAGACATTCGATTCACATAAAAAAAAATAAAAAATAAAAATAACAGCAGTATTTGTCCCTAATTAGCCTAAACAAAAATGGTTTAAACTAAAGAGGATGAACATTGTATGTTTCCAACATAATGTTGCCATCTTTAATCTTCCTTCGTATAGAAAACTGATAATTAAGAAAAACGATGTCAAACCGAATTTCAGCTAATGATAAGCTCATCAGATGAGGAAAGGGGCGCAAAATATTCTTCAACCATTTTATCACTTATTTCTTCTAAAGAAGCTGGCTGCCATTTTGGTTTTCGATGTTTCTCGATTAAAACTAAAAATAAAATTATTTGTATTAATAAAATACATAAAAAATAGGAATATGAATTTAATTTAACTTGCTCGGCATCCTTCATGAAAGTCATAACCATTCATAAAACGTTGAGATAATCGGTATTCCATTGTGAATATGTCCTTGAATTTCATTTTAAGACCTTCCTGCAGTTGTTTAAAAGTTACCTTCATTGACATCGGACTCTACAAACAAACACTTTCACTGGACATATTTAAAAATTCATTTTCCAATTGTTTCATGGCCGACGATCGCACCTTAACATTGAAAAACAATAAAGAAAGTGATGATAAAAAGGAAGCATAGATGTGAGGCAGATATATTAAAACGTCGAACTGCGAAATAGAAATAAGAACTAACCATTTTACCAAGTAAGTGAAGTTGATGTTTCATAAAAGCATCATCGCTTTGTTTTAACTTCTCGAATACATAATCAAGAGTAGATTCACCAAAAATTGAATCAATTGCCGTCAGATGTGGTTTAAGCGAAAATTTCGGTAAATCAGTCTCATGGTATTTGTTTAATACTTCATTCACTGTTTCATTTGAAACACTTTCATTGGACATATTTAAAAGTTCATTTTCCAATTGTTTCATGGCTGACGATCGCACCTTAACATTATCAGAATCAAAAAACAATGGTATTTTCGATCTTAAATGGTATTTAATTAATTTTTTGAGAAAAAAACATCAAGGTAATCGAAGATTAAAAAATTTAAATTCAAAAATTATTACATAATGAGTTGCCAATCCAGCATGAAACACATCAGCACCTTCTAGTCGATAACCCGTTAAAGCAAGAAACAAACCAAGATGGCATGAAAGCCGAGGGAGAAAATATGATCCTAAATACAGTTATGAACTTAAAATTTAATAAGAAATATAAACAGCGATTAAAATAACAGCTACCGCCAACATCTGGAAAAAGTCCTAAAGCAGTTTCAGGCATTGCAAGAACCGTTCGCTCAGTGGCTATACGAAACTTTCCATGTATTGATAAACCACATCCCTTAAAAGAATAATCCGATAACGAATTTAAAAAGTTACAAAAATCTTCAATTCCATAATAAATAAAAAACTTACACCACCCATTGTTATACCGTCAATGAGTGCGATATATGGTAAAGGATAAGTTCCAATCTCATGATTTAAAATATATTCCTCACGAAAGAAATCTTTATGAATCGTTAATTTTGGATCCTTCGCTAGTGCCGAGGATGTAACCGCTGAAATTATGATAATTATAAATTATGATAATATTATTTCAAGCAAAAATAATGTCAAAAAAGGTAAAACTAAAAATAACACCTGGCACCTCACTAAAGAAAACATTTAGATTCGTTTGTTTACAAACGAAGTGGAATGTAAATTTAGGAAGAAACAATGCTGACCAAGAACATCACCACCAGCACAAAACGCTTTTTCACCAGCACCTTTTATAATAACCATCGATACATTATTATCTTGCTTCCAATCCTAAATTTTTAATAATATTTAATTAATCAAACATTTTTTAAATATATTCTGCATATCCTTAAACATATCTTTAAATATTAAAATTAAAAAAAAGATTTTCAGTACATATAAATGATAAGAGAGAGAATGACCATCTAATCTGAGCTAAGGCAAATAAATGTAATTACAGTAAGTAAGCATTCTTCAGTGGGCTGAAGTTGATTTAGATGGAGCTAGCAAAATCAGTCTAACGGCGCTAAAATAAATAACGATTTAAAAACACAAATTTAAAAAAAGCTTCATTAGAGATTTGAAACTGTTTAATGAACTATAGAAAGTTGCAGCGAAAAACGACCGCAGCGAGTAGGATTCGAACCTACGCGGGCAAAGCCCATTTGATTTCGAGTCAAACTCCTTAACCACTCGGACATCGCTGCACCGCCCGTACTTCCAAATTCATATTATACATGTGCCAAAATTACATATAACAAACCACGAACATTATCAAATGTGCTTATCATTTCTCATCATTCTCAGCATTCACACTTTTACCAAATTACTCGAATCATCACCTTTTTTCAATTCCTAAATATTCCCTCTGGGCTTCTCTATCACCTATATCAGTAAGCAGATCTCTTACTAAGTTGTTTCAAAATTTAAAAATGCACCAAATCCGAACTTTGTCCAATCTACATTTATAGATGTCTTGTTTTTAAGATGCCAAAACTGAACTGAACTAAACAACTAATAGCCAATCAAAAATAAAATAATGCACATTTATAAACATCGAATATTCGTGATTTAAGCATCGATTTGTGACATTAACGAATATCAAATTTAGTGAAATTAGAAAAACTATAAGTGATTCCATTGAAAATCGAAATCTATAATGAAAAATTAAAAAGATAGCCTTAAGCATTGGACTTAGTTTCCGAACCATTGAAAGACTGAGGGCGTTTAAAGCTTTCGGACGATTTAAAACAATTATTTGCTTGCCGTTAACCGAGTAAGATAAAACATCATTCACAGCGTTCGTTGATGTCGATGACTATAAAAAATAAATTTAAATAAAAAAGCATCTAACTAACTCGCCTTCCTCTAATAGCACATACCATTTTTCGTTTAATAACTTCACTAAGATGAACTCCTTAAGTCCAAGAATTATTTGAGGATAAAGGTGCAAGCCTAGTCTCAAAAGCCACTCGAATTTCTTATATATCATTCTTTTTCTTTTCAGCCACGAATGCATCAAACTATACCAACAATCTTGGTCAATTTTGTCAATTCTACAGAAAAGAAATTGATTCAGTATTTTCACCTAATTCACCTCTAAAGTGAAAAGTTATCCCTGCAAAAATTATAATTAATGGTAATAAATGAAGAAGAACTAATAAAACTAACCAAATATTTGCCAGAATATTTTGGTAAAATTGAAAAAATTCTTCCAATAATCATAATCTACCGAATCAAATGATAACAAAAAAATAAAAAATACTTGAAAACAACATCAGCAAAAAATTATTTAAATTAAAAAATTATTTCACATTTCGAAATTCAGTTTTTTTTCAGTTGTTAGTTTCAGTTAATTCAGTCAATTTTTTCAGCTGTCCTATGATAGATTCATTTTTATCAATAGGAATCAAATCTAATTGCCTTCAGCGAACAAACTATATGACTCGGCCATCCTTATATGGTTTGGTGAATTATTGCTCAAATCGAAATGCTGATGCTAATATTGTACGCTTAGAATAAATCACAAACTTTGTGATGGATGGCAGCAAAAATGATGAAATGCGAACAATAGATCGAAGCGATCTAGGGAGATTTTGATAGGAGAATTATTATTAATAATTTATCCCTTTGATTTTTTTTTTAATTATCTTTAAATTTCTCTTTTTTAAACTTAATTATCTCTACTTTTTTGACAGAAGTAAATCTGTCATGATGCCGAAAATCCGGATGGCTGTTGAGGACCCTATGGTGAAAGCGTCATATCTCTTTGATGCGACGTCCGAGTCTTCCGAGGTGCATGATATTTCTGATACATGCGATAAATATACGATCCGGGCGTAATAATAATAAAATTCCAAGGCACAAGCACAGAATTTGCTCGCGAATCGAGATAAGTATTCAAAACCTGTCAAGGGAAGACATCTATCCGCTAATACTTTGTAAACGCGGTGAGTTGCTGGTTATATCTTGGAACGACAGAACGCTTATGGAGTTGCAAGCCAAGCGATCACTGTTCACACCCTCTCTAAATACTGCGTGGATGTGGCTTAGTTTGTTTGTCAGTCTTCCTTATGTCGGCTCTCAAGCAATTATTAAACCTGGTTCCGAGCAAAGATAATGGTTATATCACTGTAGTGTCTCGAATAACTCGGGGCGAAATGGCGTGGTAATTGTTATTTTTGAAAAGGCTCGATTCGCTCTGATTGAATGGAAGCCAGTAAATAACCGTATGGCCTACGCGCGTTTCAAGGGAAAATTCCGCAGTATTTCGGTCACCAGTTATTTTCTCCAATTTTACGCGCAGATGACCACGATGAGGATAAGTTCTATACGAAGCTTCAATTGTTAACAACATTTCTACCGAGTGACATGGTCATAATCGGAGGAGATGTAATCATAATGTCATTGCGATGAATTCGGTAATTAGCAAATATGGCATCGTGATCCAGTGCGCCTATGGAAAAACGCCTTCTTGTTCTACAGCATGAACTCTTTGTTATTAATATATGCTTTCGGCATTGGAAAAAAAATATTTAGTCACGTAGAACTCTCCGAACAATAAATATTCCAATCAGATTGATTATATATTGGTCACTTACAGCTGGAAGAATTTTGTACTTGAAAATCGTTTTTATCCAGGTGCTGAAATGGATAACCGCCATGGATTAGATAACACTATGGTTCGAACCAAGATTCGTACAAAACTGACAAGTCGTAAGAAACAATGTATCCCAAGATCCTCAGACTATCTCAAATTAAAAGATCCGGAAATAGTAAGCGCATTTCAAACCTTATTATCAAAATGCCTCAGTGGAATGAACGCTAATGATATCTCTGGAACGGCGAATGAAGACTAACCCCAAATAAACACATGCTTACAATACAAAATACAATACGATACAAAAAAAAAATACAAAGTCAGCTACTTCTACACCTAGGGTATACCAGTAGGAAGTGAGCCAGCTGGGTGTCGGAAGCAACTGTCCAAATGTCCGAAAAAACTGCCAAAGTCCGAATATCAGGAGAGATACTGGGTGCTTCGAAGACAACAGCAGCACGGTAGGACAGAAATCGGTATTGGAGCTATATGCCCTTGAGAATGGAGATGACAGCTCAGATAGGTGATAAAGGGTAATTGTTTCACTTTCTTCAACTATAACTCGAAAAGGATTAGTGAAATGATACGGGATATTAATGCGGCGCCTGTTAAGGCTATAAAGGATCACCTCATAAAATAACAAGAATTTTTGAGACCAAACCACGATGCGCCATCTGTTATCCCGTATATATGTTCGCTCGTAAGCCTTACGTTTGCAACTGTGAACCGCCAATAGAATAGGAAATAACCTCTGTAATCCATAAATTTAAGACCAATAAAATTCCGGTTCATATGCTGTAGTGTTTTCCCACAAAGAAGAGTGATGTATAGATTAATTATTTATTGCAATTTACGGAGAAGATGATCTCTGGCTGAACAAATGTTGCCCATCATCATTTATAATTCACTTCAATAAATGTATTCTTTGGGTATGGCAAAAAGAAATAATACCAGAAGAATGGAAAGGTGACAGGAAGGTGACAGGAACTGGGATAATTATCGAGGAATCAGCCAAATAGATATCTCCAGAAAAATTTTCGCTTCCCTTCTTCTAAACAGACTCATGACAATAGCAAAATGCATCCTAACCAAGCTGGATTCAAACCGGAACGCGGTTGCATTGACCAGATCTTTACGCTAAGAAGGGTACTGAAACATCGCTTTAAATACCAGCAACCTATCGTCTTGTTTTATCGATTTTGCAGCTACCTTCGATTCGATTAATAGAGCAGTGCCTTGGAAAATGATGGAATGCGACGGCGTCCCAGAAAAAACCATTCGGCTCATAAGATTATCTTATCAGCATACCTTAGCAGCATATCACATGCAAATCAAACCAGAGCATAATATCACAGACCTTGAATATGCTGATGATATAGTCCATTTTGTCAATGGTTATAATGAAATGCAAATAATGTTAATGCGTCAACAAGCATCGAGAACTGGACTTAAAACCAATGAAATAAAATGAAAATGTTTTCAAAATGAAAAATTTTTATCAATTAATTGCCTGTTGAGGAAATTATCGACTTTAAATATGTTGGATTCACTCTAATCCCAGATGTCCAGGCAAAAACTGAAATTATAACTCGGATAACGACAACCAGAAATATATTTTTCCGGTTAATAGATGAACCTTTATGGAACCATTGCGAAATCAGCAAAAAAACTAAAATCTGCGTCCATATATCCGCGATCTTGTTATATGGATAAATGGCAAGAGTGGAAGATATTAAGAAGCTATCAGCCTTTAACCACTCATGTCTAAGATACATTTTACGAATCCGTTGAGCGGATAAAATTGCACATGATCGCATACATCTTCGCTCAAATAATGTTAATAATGTTATCACAGAACGTCGCTTTCACTGGTTAGGGCACGTTCTCCGTCGTTCACCACAGGAACTGATTTCCTCGCTGAACCCTGTAATAGTTGGCGTAAAAAGCGAGGGCAAATCCAAATCAAGACCTGGACTGAAAGACTGAAGCCAGGAAAGACTTCGAACGTATAGGATATAGACTTAGACGATGGAAAAAGGAATGGCTTCTATTACTAGCGATGGCGTCGGACCGAGCAGTTTGTAGACGTCTTACCCTTATAGCCAGCTTAACCAGTAATTAACGCTTACTTAATGGAGAAAAAAATTAAACAGTGGAAAAGTGTGGCGAAATTTAAATAAAATATATAAAAATACGATTTCAAACCATTTTTATAAAAATTGGTCAAATTTAAAAATTCAAAAACAAAAAACCGATTCATTCTTAAAATGGATGAGACTGACTAAAAAAAATAAGAAAAACCTCCAAACCATAAAATATTTATTCCTTCTAATTTTTATAATTAATAATACTTTTATATTTCCATTAAATATTCAGTTCTGCTAAATCAACCACAAATCACCAAACATAAATTCAATTTTTTTTTTCAAATTTATATGCAAAAAAAATTACAAAACACAACCGAAAAACGTTTAAATAAACTTTTCTCAATTTCTTACTCTAATTTTTTCAAAATCACAATCAATTTTAAAGACGTATATTTCCTGTGGACATTAGCAATTCGAGGAATTTTCTTTGGAACTATATTAAATTTGTCCAATGTAAATTTATGTAAATTTGTCCAATATAATATATTGTCGATTTTTCCACTTATATTTTTTTCTTCGAATATAGAGGCTGACAATTAAATAACAACTTTTTTCATAAATGAAATACAAAAATCGGTTTTGCAAATTGAAAAAAAGATATTAATTGAAAATGTAATACACAGCATCAAAAAAAACTGTTGAAAAAGAACACTTAAAATAAAAGAAACACAAAAAAACATCAATCACTTGTTTGATTTTCTTACGATATAATAATTCCCATAGAAAAATAACTGAAAGCAAAAAAAACGTTTCTGCCTGATAATCGAACGATCTGTTGATCTGATTTTCTTGGAATAATAAATATTAACGATTTTACAAGTGAACCAAGTTTACATCAACGAATATAATTAATGATAATGATAATAATTTGATTTCGATCAAAATAAACATCTTAAAACATTTAAAAAATTGTATAATGACCAACAGAAAAGACATTAAATACCTTTAAAATTCCAAATGGCCTAATAATTTTTAAAAAAATTAATGACAATGCAGCAAATATCAAAGAAATACCTGTTTTACATTGACATCAGAATAAAAAAGAAAAAATAGAAAAATTATCGAAAAAATAAATAAGCTGGCCAATTTTACGCAAAATTGGTAAAATATGAGGATAAAAAATTTCTGACAAGTTTTAAAAAAAGCTTCATTGGAAAATACAGACCATACTATCTAAAAAAAAATTAGAAGAAAACACTTTACGAAAATTCTTTGCAAATGACGAGACTTTTCAGTAAAAAAAATTTGAAAGAACCCAGGGAGTGAGTTCTTCTTCTCCTCGAAGAGTTTGAACAAAACAATTTAATATTTAAAAAAACATGAGACAATCTTATCAACAAAGCAAAAGGGAAGACGAATGAAAAAAACTGTTCAGATGAATTGGCTAAAATAAATAATCGACCGAGCGTTCAGATAAACCGAATAATCAAGAGGAATTACCATCAATTGTGCAAGAACTGCAAGAATTACCATCAATTTTTGTTGATTCCCTAGAAGTATCTGCCGTTACAGTAAATTCTTTTGGAGGTTTATCATCGTCAACATCACATTCTTTTGTTACCAGAATGTTCAACTTTGAAATGCTCTCATCATTCTGACCAATAAAACCCTGAAATCGAATAAACGAAATAAAAATGAAGTACAATAAAACTATAAGCATGAAAAGATATGCAATATACCTGTGCAGGTTCGATCCTAACTGGGGACGGTTCAGGCGTTAAATAAATGTCACCAGTTTCATTTTCAACAAGATCCGCTATTTCTGGAGCCTTCCTCGAACATTTAGCCATAAATGCTTCTGGTGTCTCATCTTGGAGCAGACAAACTAATACTACTGTCATGTTATCACAACCTAAACCGCCCATTTGGCAATCAGGTGCTAAACATCGTGCCAGCAATTCTTCACAAATCTATAAGCAGTAAGTATATAACCAAAAAACAGGATTATTTTAAAGCAACTCAAGACCGGCAAAAAACAATGGGAGTAAATGAAAAATCAAAGGATTATCGAAGCATTGAAATAAAATATCCATTTCTATAACATTATAACTTTAATTAGTATTCAAATTAACTAGACCAAAAATTCGCTAAAGGAATTTCGATATCTCAAAAAGAATAGCTATAAACATAAATTTGTTAAATTACATGTCACCAATCGAAATTTTACTTTTTCTCTGTTGGATAAATGTTGGATAGCCAAAAAAATAAACGAACCACTTCAGGTTCACGCCCAACAGCCAATCTGTCTCTGCAAAAATCGATAACTTCTTGATTTGACATAACGTCCCAAATACCATCACAAGCTAATACAATAAATTCATGGTCAAGCGTCAATTCAAAAACAATAACGTCGGGGCAAGCTGAAAATCAAAAAAAAATTCTATAAAAAAGATCTATTTTCGATTTAAATAATTTTAATTCTCCATATTATCGTTGATAAATTTCACTACTCTATTTTTAAAATAGAGAAGCCGTTTAGGGTTTAGCAGTTATTATTGTTTTTTTTCAAGAATAAGAAAATTATAGAAAAAGTAGAAAGCCTCTATTGTTTATATGATGTTAAGCAAAGTAATAACAGTCAAAATAGCAGAATAATTAAATTCTTGCCAAGTAGAAAAATGATTACCTGTAACAATTTGTTCCTCGGCACTTTTCTGCTCATTTTTCTTGAAAGCAAAATCACCCAAGGCCCTCGACAAAGCCAAGTTTCCATTCACACGATTAAACTCAACCCAACCGCCAGCTGCCACTATCCGCTTAGCTTCTCCTTCATTTGCAGGCTTGTGATCATAACTAAGAGGAACCGCTACCCCAGCGACACAAGCTACGGCTCGAGAATCACCAACATTACCTTTCAATTTAAGAAAAATGTAAGAAGAAAAAATATCTTCTATACAGTAGTAGTAGTGAAATAACATCATTTTACTGTAAAAATATCTTTTTTTTTTTTAAATAACACTCATCATTACTTTTTAGATTCGCTCTTTTGGCTTGTCGCACTAAAGTATGCCATGGAATCCCTTGGTGATAGAAGTATAGGTGAGTCACCAGCATCACACGGATTTTTGGACAAGTTTATTCCTGCCGAAAGTAAAACCTTAGCGTCTGCACTTTGAATGAGCAATAACCCATTGAAGCATTTTCTATTCTCTGTTTTTTTTTTTAGGAAACACTCCCACCGGACGAAGAGTGGTGCGTCAGCGGATTTGAATTCAAACCTCGATTTCCGGCGGTAATTATTTTACCACTGAACTACATAATATATTGTAATGAAACAATAAAATTAAAATATAAGAAATTTTTTACCACAAAAAATTTTTCTATCCTTGATAATGACAACCACAGCTGTTGTGCCAGACATTTCATCACGCATATCTTCGTCATTTTTCATCTTTTCATCCAATAGAAGGAAACCACTTTTTATTGCATCCTCCATTTTTCCTTCGGCTTAAAACCTATTTCGTTGTTTCCTACTTACTTTAGCTTAATTTTATTTTAATTTATTTTAATTCTTTTCTTTCTCTCTTTTTAACTCTTACCTTTTGTAAAACAATTTCTCAACGTAAAACTTTCCATTAAAAAATACTTTTTTCCAATGATTATGTGAGTGAGGAAGAATCATTAAAAAATTACTAAAAAATTTCACAGTTTAGCTGGTTCTACAGATTGTTAAAATGAGGGCCTTTCACCCAAGAATCATAAAGATAGGAGTACAAAAGGGTTTTCATCCAGAAAAAATGGCCGAGTAGCGCGATTTCTTCGATAAGCCTCCAACCTCACAAATTCGATTCCTCATTTCTATATGAATAAAAACGTAATTGGTACTGGCCTCCAGTTCTATCGCCAAGTGCCCTCAACAAAAATTTCCAACTACGTTAACGGCCAGCTAAGTTTAGCTAAACAGTGAATGCTAATGACTTTCTTCCTTTCTTATCACCCAGCTTTCAGTGACATATTCTAATTAAAGCCGTGATGTTTAAGCCAAATGAGAAACCATTTGATTATTCTTCCACACTGTAAACTTAATAATTTTAAGAGGAAATCATGTAATGTTAACCATAAGCTGAATTTGTAACAATCATTTTATGCAAATGAATGCCAGCATATTGCGATACTTTTGCTCCTCCATGACCATCATAAACCGCAAAAAATGCAGCTTCATTATCATCTGGCACTGCCAATAAATGTGTATGCGCATCCTCCATGTCTAAAATTTATAAACTGAAAACTGAACTTCCAGATAAAAATCTTCAAAAAACAATGGAAAATCGAAACCTACTTATTCTCCACCCTTGCATGCAAGAACTACCAATTTTATATAAGGAATTAGCACATGAAGCTGTCTCCTTCGTTGTAACTGGCTCACTTAGTGTTTGTCCCATACCTTAAATTATTTTACTATGGTTTCAAGATGAATAAAATAATTATTTCATATAAATTCGTCAAACTTTTGCGTTCCACGGCTTTTAATATTTTAACCTTTTTCCGAAAACTAAAACGAATGGAAGAAAGAAAGGAAAAAACAAAGAAAGATTCGCAAATTCTGATTTCTTTGCAATATAGAGGCAGTGCGACCAAGTGCAAAGACAACGGTTTCGGCCGTCGTTAGTTCAGTTCCCTTAGAGAGAAATGAATGTCGACAAGAAATCGGAGTGAGTGTGGCGACCCACTTTCGCTCCAACCTCCGGACGACCCTCGTGTAAACTGTCTCTTCCTGCTGAGCAGTCGACGAATCGACTCCAACCGGCAATGACAACTGCTAGCCACCGCCATCCTTTTCCTTCTATTACAATTAATAATAAACTAAACACAAATCACTGAACATTTATAAAAATAAGAAATATTTTTATTGTTTTTGAAAGTTTTATTTTTTCAACTTTATTTTTCTTATTATTATTATTTAAACATTTAAAAAGACGAAAATTCTTTTGAAATATCTTTTGTAATTTAAATATTTTTAAATATTTAGAAGAAATAAAAAACCCCACTCCACAAAAAACAATTTCAAAAAACGAAACAAAAAATGCAGAAAATCAAGACGAGAAAAAAAGTTGAACAAATCGCAGCGCAGAAAAAATTTTCGTCAACGACAGTCATAAATTTGGCGCGAAATTTAAACTGAATTTTTTGAACACAAAATCATCCATCGTACTTTTTCCAGCAATAAAAATCATTTAATATGATTTATTTCACTATAATCAATCATATTTCACAATAATTCTCAATTTTGGAGTAAAATTATAGAATATTTCAGAGAAAGGCGGCCCAGGAATGAAGAAAGCACGGCCGGAGCCATCCTGCCAAACGTCTTAACGGGAAATAAGGTCAGATTAAGTATAAAGGAGTATTGGCCGCTCAGAGGACTTGTTAGGATTTGGGCTGGTGCAGGGCTTGGTCAGGCTGAAACACACTTGTTTAGAGAGTGGTTCCTGTTGTCCTTAGGTATATTGAATTGAGCGACTAACTGTTGTAGCGAGCAGAGTCAACATAAATAATAATGGTACTGTTTTTTAGAAGGAGGTTAATGAAATGTTTTTTCAAGTGTTTTTTGTTCTAAAATTGACTTTTTAAATTCATCTTGTAATAACTCGCACCATTACTGATTTACCTATTATTATCTATGTGGATGAGACCAGGAAATATTTGGAAATAACACCTTCTTCCTTCTTCTAGCCAGTATGTAGAATAGACATTTCTCTCCATATATGTATTCACTCATTCGAAATTTCTCCTAATAGTTGGTTCAGATGCTTACTGGTGCTGTTCAGTTTGTATAGCACCAGCTAGAATTTTAACTATCATTAAGAAAGAACTACACAGCCGTCTTACGAAAAGCTTGCGGAAATATGCTCCCGATCCAATATTCTCGACGTTTTCTTCCGTCGATTCCCCCATTCTTTTCAATCGACCTCTTTAGAATTTTTATATTATTCTAGCATGATTTTGCATATTATATGAATTATTATAAAAAATTATTGTAAATATATATATTAGCAGTTTTCAAAATATTCTTTTTCTATGACTTTTTTCTGGATGAGTGACACTTCCGTATTCCCTTTCCATTAGAAAGAGGAATCTAGTTCAAGGAAAACTGAATCATTCAATAGCACCATTCCGAAGAAAATTTAATGTTTATGCAGTCGAAGTTCGTGTCCTCTTGCAAATAGTCAATACGCTACTCTACTCCTTTCTCTACTCCTCCTCCCTACTTTTTATACTTATTTACTGAATCGAAGATAGTTTCAAAATGAGTAAAACTCGTTAGCTGCTAAATTAGTCAGATATTTCGAGCGGTGTTCTAATACTTTCAAGAGGAAAATATTGCCACCACAGGCACAGACTTGACCTAAGTTGGTTCGCGGCTCATTTCATTCCATTCATTCAACTGTCTTTTTAGATAATTTGTTACATTTTGCGCTATCCTTTATCTCCTCAAATAATTTTAATAGTTATTTAGATTCACAGGATTAAAAAAGGTCTTTACTATTGGTATTCAAAACTCCCAACGAACAAACGATCTACAGCGACAAAAACAAAACGAAAAATGGTTTCAAACTGAATCTCTTCACACGAACAAACATATAATTACAAATGTCTGGTCTGAATTTTAGAATCTGCAGTTATACTAATTTGCGGCGTAGGCTTGTTTGCCGATTTTATTATTTATCAAATTCAATTTAGTGCGATCCACGATTTGTGAGGTTGTAGGGCATTTGGTTGAACTTTTTATATTTCAGTTTATCTGCTTGTTTAAGCACTAATTTCCCTTCAATTTTCAGTTTTATATTTATCCAGTTTTGAAATTAATAATTAAATTAAAGTTGTATAAATTGTTTTTTCTCATAACAATTCGTTTAAAAAATAAAAAAACTTCTCGGTTATCGTAAAAATTCGTAGTCCCATTGAACGCAATTTTTAATTTTCTTTTAATTCTTTTAATTTTCAATAATTGAAAGCTTCAAAATTTAAAAATTCCCTCGAAAATGTAAATTAAAAATTCAATTAAAATTGTTTTTTAAAAGCATTGTTCTTACTCGGTTATGAATAATTTTTTGCCAATTTCATTGAAGTATGTTTTTTATTTTTGTAAGAATTTTTTATAAGTTCAAATTTTTATTTAGTTCCTTGTTCTATCAAAAAATTTATTTCATCTACTGTTAAACGATTTATAAACGATTTCAGTTTTCAATATTTTTACATTTCAGATCATTGAATTTCCTTTTCTCTTATTATTCTCAATGAGATTATTTGGCACGGATGCAGTGTGATGATTTAACTTGGAATATTATAAACAAAGGGCATTGTTCATTTAAAATTTTGTAAATTTTTGGATTTTTTTAATTTTTCATTTTTCTGAAGAGAAAGTAACTGTTTTTCGTTCTTCCTATAGCTTTTCGATGATTAAATAGTTATTTCAGGACGAAAACTCAAAAATTCTGTCGCAATGAATACAATTTAACAGGTTTATGCAGTCGAAGTTCGTGTCCTCTTGCAAATAGTCAATACGCTACTGTTCGTGAGGAAAATGGTACCAAATTTTATGGTCGTTTAACCAAAATAATGTTAAAAATAGTTTTTGTCGTACAAAAATCTCGAAAAGCTTAAGAATGACAAGCAACGGACTCTTAGGTTCTTCGAGTTCCGTTTTCTGCTTCACTGTTTTTAGCTATAAATGTTTTAGGGATATGTTATTTATATATGAAAGTAGTGGAAAGAAGTCATTATCCGCAACGTTTATGGCAAAAAGTTAAATTATCACGTAATATGATTTCCGCTGTCGAGCAAATTGATGAGAAACTTATTCATTGGTCAAATTTTGTTCGACAGAAATGTAAAGCACGTCTTCTTCGCATCCATCAATACCTAATTAAAATGCGTAAAATGAAACTAAGAGAGAGGTCTCCTAAATTTATCAAAAATTTTTTTTAATTATTTTTAAATATGATACATCGGTTAAATATGATACAATTTGTGGAAGAATGGAAGAAACCAATTTTTACCAAAGACATTTAGAATTTTGTGAGAGGAAACCATTATTTTCATATTCTTCTAACAGAGTATACCATTAATTATTCAACTGATTCCATGGACCACTTTTATAAACCTCACGTTTCTAAAATTTCACTCTATCTGAAATTTTTTTTTTTGCATTTTCTTTTCTATATCTCTTGTTACTTTTTTTTGTTTATCGGCTTTCCTTATTAAAAAATATTTCAGGCAGAAAAAAATTATCCCAATACAACGCAAAATTGAACGACGTGAAATACGCCGCGAAGAAAAGGCACTTATTGCAGCAAAGCTCGATAACGCGATTGAAAAAGAATTGCTTAATCGACTTCGAGAAGGCACTTATGGAGAAATATATAATTTTAGGTCAGTTTTTTTTTTGATACGCGTCCTTCATCATAATTATTTTAAGAGTTTATATATAGACAAAACATAGGCAAAATTTGACTTATTTTTGATTATTCGCGCGAAATTCTGTCACTTCCACTTATTTATGATTAATGATTAATGTATTATTTAATGACTTTTTGTAGGCAAGAAGCTTTCAACAGAGTTCTTGAAAGAGAAATAGAAAGTGATCAAAATGAAGTGGAAGTCGATGATGAAGTATTTTTTCATACAAATTTTTGAAAAAAAGGATTTGCTATTCATAGAATGCAATTCTTTGTAGAAATCCTGCACGAAAAAGTTACAGAACAAATGTATTTTTAATAAAAGATAATCCCCTGCAATATAGTTAAAGAAAGTTCTGTGACAAATTAGCTAGAAGTTTAAAATCTAATTTGCTATGGATGAACATTCTCACTGTTGGCCTATAATTAAAAAGTTTTTAGAATTTTCATGTACTTTTAAAAATGAACCATGGAGTAAAAAAATATTGAAATAGAAGAGCTTCGTGAGACAAAGGTCCAGCGAATAAAATTTTGATATTCTTTAAGATTATTTGAACTAGATTATTCGCTGGATCATCTGTGAAATTTATTCATAAAATTTATTTTACTGATTTTTTAATTAATTCATGACAAAATATTATTAAAAACTCAAGGACCATTTTCCAGGATATAGGTATGGTGCAATATGTGGCTGATTTTGATCAATCCAGCGATGAAGACTCTGACGACATAGAAGATTGTAATGGCCATCGTGACGACATTGATGATGAAGAGAGCATAGATGATGATGAAAATGAACATATGAAAGGAAATATGGAACCATTTAAAAAAAATGTATTTGATTTTCTATTGATAATGCAAATCTATTTTTCATTTCCACTATTAAAATTTTTATTTTTTATTTACATTCGACCAGCTTAGATTTATGTGGAACATCTTGTTCATTTCAATACCTCATGAAAAAAAATTTTGCAGGAAGTAAGCAAATTTGATAAAAGTAAAATGAAAAGAAATTCAAAACCGGTTCGTCGACAACATCAAGTTATAGAAATAGAATATGAAACAGAACGACAGATGAAAAGGAAAGAGAAAAATTAATATGAGAAATAGAAAACAATTTCTACAAGATCAAAATATCATTGAGTTTTTGATTAATTGCAATTACGACTGAATTTACTTGTATTCGGTTTTAATCATTGAAATATTAAATACTTTTTGCATTGAGCTTCCTTTTTTGAAAAAAAAGTTGTTTAATCACAATTGAAATAGTCACTATTTTTCTTTAGCAATTGGTCCAATAATTGTAAAGGTCGATGAAGTTGTAACTCAACCCAGCATGGAGTTTCTTTAATTGAAGAACGACTATACCCTGAGCCCCAACCTTTCACGAATGATATCGCTATCGTGCAGCAGACCTGAAAATTATTTATAAAATATATAAGAAAGGCCATAATCCCCAAGCTGTAGTAAAAAGCTTGTGATAGCGCCAGCGTGTTAGGCTTACTCTTCGCAAATCGTCAACTCCGGTACCGGCATGTTCGATTAATGAGGGTGTTAATGAAGTTGCCGAAGCATAACCAGCTACTGCGGCAGCTTGTGCAACAACAGCGATTCGAGCTGATTTGCTTTGTTGTTCCATTTCGGCGTAAGCCCATTTTAGATCGAATATCTGAAATTACAAACACCAAAAAAATTAAAAATATCTGGGTTATTAAAATATTCAGTTGAAATTGTCAAGTTGAAATTGTTCTGCAATGGATAACATCAAAAGCAAAAATAAACAACTGAGTATCATGAAGAACCAAAAATTATACACTGACGGAGAATAAAATTAGAAGAGATTTGGATTATTTGAATTAAATTATATAATTTCTTGATTATTTTTATTAAAATTAAAATTGGAGAAAAAACATGATCCGACGACATACATTACAGTATTATAATATTATGGCAAGAATTCTAGAATTTGCGGAATTAATATTTGGAAATCTTTTCATCTGGATGGGGAATTTACTGGATGAGCAATCGCATGAAGGTTTAATGATAGTTTATCCTCGTTCAAGAATCTTCAAACCATAGGACCATTTAACTTCCATATAGGATCGAGAATACGATGGTCAAATGATGTGTTTTGAACAATGCTGGGCTTCATGATTGTTGTCCACTGACAAGGTTGAACCTTTCAAACTATTAAATGTGAAATTTGATGTCTTAAGAACCATTAGCATTTTCATCCTCAAATAATTCTGTGGTGAAAGGATTTCATCATAGTAATAAAATACAATTAGCCAATTTAAGAACAGTCAGTGCTGTTGGAAGAGGAAAAAAATGCAAATTAGAGAAAGTGAGAAAAATTAAAAGTGGCTCCAGTTTTTTTAGTTTTTTTCGTTTAGACACGACTCAGATTAAGAAACACTTCAGCCTTATTCAGTGAAGATAAAAAATGGTGTGTATAAGAAAAAAAAGACTTACTTTGCGGTTAGGAGCACCAGAGCAAAATTTATGTACAGTTAGTCCATAGTCAATATTATGCTCAAAATCCAAGTAATAACTTCGAACGAAGACGGATTTATGTGACAGACACTCCAAATAAACACTTCCATCTCGCTGAGCTGATATTCGTACACCTTTTCCAATATGCAACCTACAATGTCTGGTAAAATTTTGTGAATATAAAATGTAAAAAATTAATTAATTATTACCTAGCTCTTTCAGATGCTTCGCATCGATGAACATTGGGCAAAGCACCCAAACAAAAACGACCAAGTTTCGCACCAGCTGGATCAACTCCGCCATCAATAGTAATCTGAAGGATTTCCCATAAAAAATATGCTGACACTTAGGCAAAGCCTTTATGCAAAATGAAAAAACCGTAATAAATTGTTAAAACCATTCAAATATATAAGCACTGGAAGCTAATTTAAAGAATATATTTAATTAATAGAGAGCGATAATAGCGATAATAGAAGAATCTCTTACTTCTGTTTGCTCCTTTCGTACTTTAAAAGTCTCGCCAATTTGCGTATCCAATTCGTAATAATTTATCGAACACCAGTGCACTGGCACTAAAAAATTAGTTTTGACAAAAAAAAAGGAAAAAAAATGATACAATAATAAAAAAATAAAAGAATAAAAAACAATAAATGATTCCAAAAAAAGCGAAAAATAAATTTGTAACAAATTTGTAACAAATAAAATAAAAATTATGTGGGTCCACCTAAGATGCAAGACTGATAGCGAAATATTTATTGCCGACAGTTATAGTTTGCTATACACTACAAATCAAAATATTAATAAAACTTACAAATCGTTAAGGGCAAATGTACAGCATTCAAATCATCTGAAAAAAAAACCATCTGAATATAATTTGTTAAATATAATTAATTTTGATAAATTCAAAGCTGAACTCATTTTATAAAAATAGTAAAACTAAAATAATCGATTATTTAATTTAATTTTAGACAGCTTTCAGAAAATTTCCCATAAACCTAAAAAATAAAATGAAAAAACCAACTAACATCTTAATGGTTTTGTCCGATAATCCGTGCACGAATCACGATAACCAACTAAAAATATAAAAATAGAAATAAAGATATAAGATTAAATGGAATAATGGATTAACATATATATTTCAAATATTTTTAATATTTAAATAATTCATAATTGAATAATTAAATAATTGAATAATTCATAATTAAATAATTGAAAATATTATCTGAGAAAAATTCAAAACTATATTTATGTTGGAAAAGATTCAGAAAATTTTCAGAAAGAAAAATTTTTTAAAAATAATAGTAAATGAATGAAAAAGTTTCAGTAGATGAACTAACTGAACTGACTCTGAGGATATACTGTCGATGAAGGCCGATTCAAACCACACAACTGGTTTAACCAGTGATTATTATTGATTCCTGATTCACTACCATGGATCACTTCTGAACCTGACGAAGAATCCTCCGGATAACCAGTCTAATAAAACAGATAATTAAAGCTCAAATATTTGATCAGCCATTCATAATAAAATAGTCGAGGAAAATATTGGGTCATCCAAAGAGCTCCGTGCCTGACTTTGGGATTCGTATTATCCAAGTTGGCTGAAATCACGTACTGCACTACTTACAGTGATTTTACGCTTATTGTAATACCATAAAGAATAACTAAGGTTGATTTTTTCTGATACGCGATTTTTGACTATTAACACCAAGTTCAAACTTCAACAGAGGTGAGTCAGTCAGTTCATATTCATATCATGCAAACGCTTTGGGTGATGATGCTCCTAAAGAAAGAAGGAATAGTGCAAGAGCGAAAATAAAGAAAATGAAAATGTGAGAGACCCTCAAGTTCTGTAAATGAATCTATGTAAACAAAGAAAAGGCTTATTCCATAAGGATTAGTGCAAAAAGCAGGTTTAATGCAAGACTTTGGTGCAACACCATGCAGATTCCATCTGCATGAGGGAGGAAGAACAAGCTTAACAAATCGGACGCACGAACTTTAACTGAACATCAAATAATGATGCGATGGGAGATGTATTGTTGAGATGCATTACGACTAATAAATCCTTTTCTTAGATGAATTTTTACTAATGATGAATCCGTACAATAAGAGAAAAATATTAGCACAATGGATGGATAAGGATAAACCCATTTAATATATGTTAAATTCCAATTTTCGCTCAAAAAAGACTATGGCCACTGTTTGGTGACCAGAAGTTGGACTGATCCACTAAGCTTTCCTAATAAAATCTGGCAGTACATTTAGTTTGCTCAGTTTTATAGAAAAAACTGAAAATTAAAAAAAACAATCAACAATGGTCAACAGAATAGGTCCATCATCTACAAGACAACTAGACCAGTTTACCGAATCGAATTTTATCAGCATAAAATATTTCCAAAAACAAGAAGACTTTAAAATGTTTTCCAGCAGCTCATTGCTCTAGAAGCTCAAACTACAAATGGAACAAGTGCATCTGCATAATGCTGACAAGTCTATTCAGTGCAATAATGTTTGTTTTGATCAAAAATATTAATTTTCGTCGGAGTGATAGTCATTTCATTCAAAATTCACGACATAAAATCGCGCAGACTCTTTGGATGACACAATAATTTATTTTAAATATTTCAATAAATGAAAGTACTATGAATTATTTAGTAGGCATTCTTATTAAAATAAATTTTCATCTAAAGATTAACTAAGAATTAAGTAATAAAACAAACTTCGATTTGCATAGGCTGTGAAGGCATAGCTTGATTAGAAATGTGCAACATTACATTTGCTTGTAACTGCGATATCATGGCATTTGTAGCGATAGAATTAGGCAGCACTGTTGAAGATGATGAAGGCATTGTTTCGAGGCGTAAAGCTGACATATCTGTCCAAAATAACTAAATCTATTACAAATAATATTAATATCTTATATACCTCTAAACTTTATATAAGAACTTCGCCATAAGTATTAAATAAATTTACACGTTAGAATTCAAAAAAATACCAATATTTCCAATACCCGATGAAACTATTCTTTCGTAATGATAAGGATTTATGCAAATTAAATCCTGAAATAAAAACAACAGTAATAATACAAAATCCAAATAACAAAAAATTCAAATTGATATATAATAAAAATGTATAATTCGATTAAATTTTAAATTCCAAATCCCATTAAATGCTTTTAATAACATTTTCTTTTCAAACTAAGATTTCTGGTTCGGCGCGTATAAATGACCAGTACACTAAAGAATCACTTGGATGCAATTATAAATGGAGATCACAAACAGCCACCCAAATGAAGAAACATCATTAACTTGATTGTTAATAAGAGTTAATAAACAAAAAGATCTTTTTTTCGGGAAAATTCAATAATTCCTTTTCTTAATATATAATTTTTAATATATAACATATAAATATAATTTACTTGATTATCGACAGATATTGCACAAATCGGCAACTTTTGCAATTCATTTTTGTTCACGTTCGGCCAACGCCAAATGCGAGCATAAACGACATGTGGCACACCCTTCCTTCCCGCTACCTGTAATCTTCCATCCAAAGACCTCTGAAAATAATTACGCTCAATAATTATAATTATTAAAGTCAGATTTTAAAATACTCGGAGATTATATACAGATAAAGCTAGACTGAATGCGAATTTTTTATGAATAATATAGAGGATTACGAAGGATGCACATTTTTCATGAGAAATCTGTGGGACCCAACCATACACTGCATAGAGAGACGATATTAGCTGAGGTAAAGATCTACGCATAAAAAATCTGAATAATTAATCATATCTTTACCATAAGGGATATCATTGAGAAAAAAATTAGTATAATGATTCAGTAAAATCCATCATTAATGAATACAATTATTTTCATAATTAGTAACTTGCATTAAACCATAAAATCTATTGTTCATACAGTTCCAAAATAGAATCTGATTGCCAGATCTTAATTTATCTTTATCTTTCTTAGACACAATGGTATTCTTTGATTCCTGAATCGACAATCTCTAAGGACTCCAGAAGAATTAGTCAATTTATATTTATAACCAATTTATAACCAAAACATTTAACCCTATTTTTCAAAGTTTTGAAAAATTTCGATGTCTTATTTTTTATTTATGGAACATAGAATTTACAAAAAATAAGTAGGATGTTATAACTGGAAACTCAGAAGAAAATAGAAAATTCCAACTCTAGCAATTTATAAATTAATAATATTATAGTAATATAATAAATATAATAATCAATATAATAATATTAATATAATTAATAAAATATCATAGCAATGGAAATATCTAGCATATAAAGTTTCTGCTTGAAATTTTTTACAGTCCAAACACAACAAAAAATATTTCGATATGTCCAAAAAAAATTCATGAAAAAATTTTATGAAACAAAAATTACCTGAATAGTGACACAAGACGTTGGTTGCTTGCCAGCAGATGTTACAGCAGTTATCAAATTTTCCAGTTCCACTCGTTTATCTTTTAATTTTTTCACCAAACTTTCAATGGCTTTACGAACAAATTCAGCATCTTCACCCCCCTTAAACATTTCGTATTAAAAAGAATTAAATTCTGGATTAGAAAATGAGAAAAAAATATTTCACACAAATAATCTGCCTGTTGATAACATTGCAAAACATGAGCTATTTGAGCACACGGATCACTAGCGGAAGTTGTAGCATGATGCGATGATGAATTCAGCGAGGAATTTGAGCTCACCACTGGGGTTACACAGTTTGATGAAACCATTCGAGGTACTGTATTCACAATTAATCGATTATTTACTGTCTGAAACAATGAATAAAAAACAATTTAAAAAAGTAGAAATTACAAATTTTTAAGCTCTTTATTTTGTCATATCTAACAACATTCTTGAAATAAAGTATTGTTGACGAAATATATTAATTAATTCGATAGAAATATTCGGATTTACTTATGGAATCAATCCGCATTTCCTCAAAAAATTTTTTCCAATTTCTAAGATAAAAAGTAAATTTTAATAATCCAAAATGGCAGAATGGCAGAAAACAAAATGAAATAAAAGGAAATGAAATAAATAATGAAATAAAAATTGTTTCCAAAAAAAGATCTTAAAAAAAAAGAAAATAGAACCAACCTGAGCGACGAGAGGAACAGAAATATGTTGTTGGTGCTGTTGCTGTGGCATTAAAGGTGATGAATAATTATAGTAATTACGATCAAACGATATATTTGCAGTAGGAAGTTCGTATGCGTCTGACACTGCTGCCTGCCCATAACCAGTTAATAATCCACAGAGCTAAATTAGATCCAAATTTTAAGAACCAGAGAAAATCAATTAAGACCAGTATCCAAAAATCCAAATACGGATTACAACTTTGCACAAAATGAGCAAAACAGATTTTAAAAAATGTCTGAACGAATGAAAAACGTTTTAAATGGTATCAATTACGAAGGGATACAAAAATCAGAATGGCAGAAAAAATTTTGCGATTCTAAATGAAAGAGTAAATTTTAATAATCCAAAATTGAAACTTTACAAATGATAAATCAAGAAGTAGAAAACCTGTTGTTGCTCATGTTGCTGCTGCTGTTGCTGTTGTTGCTGATGTTGCATGAATATAGTCTGACGTGGATCTATCGAAAATTGAGGCGAATGATTGATTAAATGTTGATTTGATGGATTGATTAACTGATTACTGGCCATTGAATAATTTATATCAGTGAACTGCTGCGGTAGACAATTCATTTGCGAGCATTTGATAAATCTGAAGCAAATTATTTTAAGTTGAAGAAAAAAAATTGCGAAGAAATGAAGCGATCATCGAAGAAAATTAATTTCTAAAATTTTTCGGAACCTTTCATTTTACTGTTTAAGAATTTATTTAGAAAAAATAAGCCTTTTTTCAAACTCGTTTTACTGAATTTTTGACAAATTTCCTTTACTTCAAATTTCCTTTTATAATGTCAAAATTAAATAAAGAATTGAGAATTTCACCCGAATTAAATTTAAAATGAAATGAAAATTTTAATTTTTGCAAATATCTGCGCCATGTAAAAATATGCGACAACATTCGAAAGAATTTTTCCATTTTTTTTCGACAAACATCACTTCAAACTTTCCTTTTAAAAATAAAGAAGGATCGATTTAAAAGAAAAAAAATTAATTCAAATTAATAAGAATTTAAAAAATTGAATTAGAAAAACGTATCCCAAATTGAAATTTGGAATTTTCTAAAAAACTTCGCTGACTTTTAAGCTTATAGGCGAAGCGAATATAAAAAATTTAGCAAATTTATAAAAATTTGAAAACAATTTCAAAACAATTTAACGAGTTTTAATTTTTAATTTTAATATTTAATATTTTTAATTTTTACGTTCTTATAACTTTTTAAATAATTTATTATTTTAATTTATAATTTTTTGAAATTATTAATAATAATTTAACAATTCCGTTATCATTTTCACAATTCTTATTGTCAATCACTATTAATTCATATCACAAATACAATTATCATTTATCATTTACCACCAAAACAATCAAAAAAAAATGATTCACAAATAAAAAAGTATTTCGAAACATTTCACACCAAACAATTTTTTATTTCGCATTTAGTAGCACTATTGCGAGCAGCTAATGCAGCGATGTTTTCTTAGCCGTCCATTCTGCGTCATTGGGCTTTCTCATTTCGAGCGTGGTTCTGCCTGTGTGCCGGACAGCAGTGGTTTTCAAAAAATCCAGATGGTCTAAGGGACCGGTCTGCACTACTTTTCTATCACCAGGTGAGCCCTTAGTAGAATTACCAACAGCAAGCCTAATAAGAAACGACGAGATGAAAATTCCGCACATTATCAAGTTAACTAGCTCATTGAATTTCGACGATGGTCAAGCCAATATATACAATTTAACACGGCAAGCAAAAATTTAGTGGAGTTTAAGGAGACATAACTGTTTGATTTCAATAAAAGAACGGTGCTGTCTAATAAGGTTAAACAAGGTGTATAAAGTATGACAAATTGGGAGGATCAAGGCGACTCTATGGTGATAGCAGGTCCTGAGGAACAAGAAGAAGTTTATGGTATTACTGAAATATAGCAAAAGAGTTCCGCCTAATTTAATGGAGCATTAAACGGACTTTTCCAGATTTAGATCCAGATTCAGCTCGATTTCCAGATATGCTAAAGTAACGAAGATTTTGAGGAAGTGGATAGAATGTTTGGTACGTTTCAAGGATTGCGCAGAGTCTAAAGGTTCCAAGGAGAGATAACTCAATTTAAGGGCTGGAAGTGGCACTCGATGCGTTTAACACTTCTAATCCTTCTAAAGATTTTTTTCCGTGGCCGAATCCGAATCCCCATTATTCTACCTTAATACTTCGCGCTTTGCACATCCTTTTCGACTCCTCAGCCTTCCACAGCCCAGTCTTCATAATGCTACATTTCTTAATTTTATAACTGACGTTTCCTGTTCTGAGCCATTAACGAGTGTAATGGAATTGGGTGGCATTAAGAGGCTACAACTGGCTATTAAACAGTTAGAGCAATAGAAACATAAAATGCTCTAACTAATAGATTTGGCAAATTAGTGCGGTGGGGTTTTACAAGTGCTTAGAGAATGTTTCACGGAAATGGATTTTTCACAGAATTTGACGCTTTTGGGCGATATTAAAGGACTTACTGAATTTTGAGCTGAATTTTCTTAGGCCGCAAGCCCGTTTTCCAAAAAAACAATATGGCTTAGCAATCACTGTACATTACACGAAATAGTTAACCATGTTTGCCGTCAGATTGGAAATATTTAGTGAAACAAAAGATTAAATTTTCGTCAGTTTTTAAATGTGAATGAAATTGCCCTTTCCTTTCACTCTCGTTTTCTCTTCATTGAGCAAAGCCAACTTCATCTGTTCATCTGTACAATTTTTTGTAAGAACGCTTTCTGGTTCAGGCACAGTCTGCTGGCTGTCAGATCAATCAAATTTTGCCAGGAAATCATTTGGCGATAGAAGTGCGGGTGAATAGCCCGCATCTCGCGGGCTTTTAAGAACGTTACGTTTACTCCTGCTGGGCATAGAATCTAAGCATCGCCGCTCCCAACTAAGCAACAACCCACTGAACCAATCTATTTTAATCTCATTAGTCGTACTATTAATTTAAGTATTAAATACATGCATAAATATAATAATTAGTGAAATTAAGAATTTAAAAAATTTATGAATCAATAATGGCATTAAAATTACATTAACAGTGGTAATCAATAACGATCAAATAAATATGTATATAGAGAAAAAACCCGCGAGATTTCGGTAAAAATAAAACAAAAAAATCAGTATCAGTAGGGATAGGATAATCGAATGATAAGCAAAATAAAGCCAAGCTGTCACAATTTATCCCTCTGTTTATTAATTCTGTGTATTAAAAGTGAAAATTATAAATAATCCGGATCTAAGCTCTATCTCCGAGCAACCAAGAATTAAGAATGATGAATACTTTTAGAAAAAATGACATGTAATGAATGATAAGTGGAATTGTAATCGTTTAGTCTGTGGACAATGACAACAAGTAAGCTAGGATTCTTCCCATTTTTTGAACTCTCCATTAAAAGTGAGATAAATAATGAGTGGCTCCTCCAAATTAAAAATCCAGCTGACTGCCTGGGGAGATTAATTGATTATCCAAGAGATTGGGACTATAGGCAGAAAGATTTTTATTTTGTCGTCAATTAGAGGCCAACCAAACTAGAAATATTGAGTGCAACACGTATAAAATGAATTGTGTATGTGATAAAATTTATCAGCGGAATAGTGGAATATACTCTTTATCATTCCTTGCATGTTTACTTTGTGTCAACTCGAATCGTTCGACCATTCATACTTTTCGCATATTCATCGCTATATCATCATCTATCTGTCAGCACTCGTTATTAATGGTTTCACTGGCCACCGAAAGTGAAATTCTTTTTCTAAAGAACTCGGGGAAAAATATATAAAATATGTAAAATATACATATGTAATAGTATTATATTCTAGGAATGTAGAAATATTATTAAAGCGAATTCGATGAAGATATCAGAATGAGACTTAAGATCTTTTTCAAACCAGGGAATCATTTGGTGATCGAAATACTAATGGATTCCTCCAACAGGCGAATTTGACTTTGATATTAAGCCTTAGGCCGGCTTATTCCCTTTAAGAAATCAGTAGAAAACTTCTCACCAAAAAAATGAAAGATTTTTGATTAAAAATATCAATTTTTTTTGTTATTTCGCGCAATAATTATCACTTTTTTATTTTTTTTCTGAAAAATTTTTATTTGTAAATCCAAAGGCTCTAAAAAAAAATATAATAAAATCATATTAAATTATAATAAACAAATAAATAATTACTAAAAATAATCGAAAATATTAAAGTAAAATAGTGTAAAAATTTTATTAAAGCCATTGTATATTGATTATTCTTTTTATTTTATTAAATTAATATTCTATTTAAAATTTGTAAATCAATTTATTTTTATATTGCTTTGTATGGTTAGAGGCGAGCAATTATCCTTTGGTATGATTAAACTTATCATTAAAGTGAGCTAAACCGCTGGAAACATCTCTCTATCCCTACGCCCAGCCGATTTCCGCCAGTTCCCATCATTGCCATATTTATAAGTTTCCGTTTCTGAGCTTCTTGATTTATTGCCTTACTGAAATCGGCAGAAACTAAAAGAGCCTTTTTAACAATGGCCCATCGTTCCAATTCTTACTTTCATCAGTCAATCTTCATTGGTCTATGTGGCTCTCGATGCCATCCATCACTCTTAGATCACTCTTAAATTCTGGTTCAGCTAGGCTCACCTGAATGCCTCAACTTAATAGTCAGCTAAGCCAGAAATAGTAGTTGCTGACCGAAAAATGAAAGAGATCGTTAATAAAAGAAAATTTTCATTTTAAATATTATTTCTTTTAATTCTTTTGCATTCCACAGTTTTATTCACTTTGATCTTTTTGTTCGGATGATTAATTTAAATGCAGTGTAAATCCATTAAATCCACTGAATTGCAACAAAAATTGGACTTAGGAAAAACTTAGGAATATTATGAATAAAATGAAAATTTTTCCCTTTTTTGCCAAAAATATTTGAATATTTAAATGATCAAATAAAAAATGAAGAAAAAATTTAATTTTCAATAAATAATGGCTTTGTTTTCCAGTGAAAACTAAATAAATAATGCAAATAAAAATCACTTGTCATCACTACTGTCATTCTCATATTTAACAAAACAAGAATTCATAAATTTTGAAATTTTTACCATTGCTTTTTTCTTGATAAAGAATATTGTTATTTTTGCAATTATTTGTGATAAATAGTAACTAATCATTTGATAAAGCAAAAAAATCTTTTGGAGATATATCAAGGTCAAGCACCTAATTTTTTGTTTGTCTGGATCCACTGATTGACTACTGGAATGAGATTGTTGTGCTGTAGAATCTTTTAGGGATAAAGATACCTGAGTTCTACATTCACTCTTATTTTATTTTTAACGAGAGAGGCTAATTTGCCAAGACATAGCTATAGCGACAGAGATAAGTCATCTCAGCATTACCCCAATTTTTGAGGACAGATTTACTCTTGCCGGGCTATCAGAATCTCAGCATCAGCGTTCCATACTTAGAGCAATAACTGAATGAAGTTATCCTATTCTCTTTTGCTTTCGCAATTCGGCTAAATTGCAATCCGACGAAGGAATGAATACGTCGGCCAGATTCGAGCACAAACCATTCTCGATTCTCCTCTTACACTAATATTTATTGAAGACCAACCCAAGCAGGGTGGCAAACGCCATGTGTTTGTATTAATATCAACAGAAAAATAACAAATAATGAAAATTAATGATAAAAAAAAGAAAATATGACAAAAACAAATAAAGAGGAAATAAAGGGGTAGAACAAAGTAGCACAATTCGAAATGTATAATGGAATGGTAAAAATCGAGTTTTCACACTTCCTGCATGATGTGAACTTTTTAAATAATATCATAAATGATATTATGTAATCTTTTTTAATAAATGATATTATCTAATTTTTTCTAAAAAATAGCTAAGGATGACGCTTCTTCTTCTTCTTCTTCTTCTTCTAACAGCTCTCACAATTACTGGTTAGGTTGACTCCAACAGCTACAAGGGTAAGACGCTTCCAAACGGCGCGATCTGATGCCATCGTCGACAGTAATAGAAGCCATTCCTTTTTCCATCGTCTAAGCCATATATAGCTGGTCCATCTATAAGTTCAAAATCTTTCCTGACCATATCAATCCAGGTCTTGATTGGCCCACCTCGCTTTTAACGCCATCCATCACACGGTTTAGCAAGTAACGAAATATGCAACAACTCTTGTGGTGAACGATGGAGAACGTGACCTAACCATCGAAGGCAACGCTTTATAATAACATTATTAATGCAAATGATATTTGAACGAAGGTGGATGCGATCATGTGATATTTTATCCCTTCGACGGACCCGTAAAATATACCTTAGACAAAAGTGATCAAAGGTAGATAGCTTCTTACTATCCTCCATTCTCATTGGCCATGTCTTAGAACCATATAACAAGATCGAACAGCTATATAGATGCGGACTTTTGTCTTAATGGCAATTTCACGACGGCTGCATAAAGGTTTCGTCATACCGGAAGAACGCATTTCTAGCTGCCGTGATCCG